GGCCACCTTGGACTTCATCAGCAGGACCAAGGTTGGCACAAGGAGGTGGCATCTTGGGCAGTCTTCAGAAGACCTGACATAGGCATGCTACAACAGCTTCTCTTTCCTTTGTTTGTTTGTTTTGTACTTCTTTTGTTTCTAGCATCTTTGCTCTGGGCCTGAGCCCTCACCATCCCTTGTACCTCCATTGACCTCACTCTCATGTAACTAAATCTTGGCATTACCAGAGGAGCTATGCCCTCTCGTCTTCCATAGTCTTAGACTCAGATAGGACGTTAAACCAATCAATCAATCAATCAATCAATGAAGCTACTGCTCCTCTCGGCTTCCATAGTCTTCGACTCAGATAGGACGTTAAACCAATCAATCAATCAATCAATCAATCATGAAGGCTCAGATTGCAGATGAAGAAAAAGGATGCAACACAGCGGGACACACGAAGACCCAAAACAGACAAAGAATTGACGGGGGCCTTGGCTGAACTCAGGATAGTACTCCTGGGTTCTCGAATCTATACCGTCATGATTTGTCTCGTCACAATTCTTACTATCGCGGCGCTGGCACAATCCTTCGGTAAACGTGATCTGATCTTACACGTGACTGGCTTTGCCATTCTTTTGCAATTTTGCTCTTTCAAGGAGGAGCCTCAAGGTCGAAATTATCACCGCTACTGCTGGGTATGTGCATTTAGTATAGACAAAGTTCTGAAAGGTTCTAAAATCAGGTAACTCATATGATGCAGATTTTTTGCTGTCATGATAGTCTTTATTTCACAGCCGGTTATCAAGCAAACCCAGTGTCTTGCGACATATCCGTCTCAGACTCCAAACGAACGATACAAAGCCCATAAATATGTGCGTCACAATGAACATGATTCTCGTACTTGAAGAATCTCGATACATTATAAAAGAAAGACAAGGAATAAGATGGAAGCCTTTGGGCACAAGCCATCTGTTGTGTGCTGACATGTGGGATATGCCATTTACGAGGGCTCCAAATCTGTAGGGGTTGGGCAAAAACACTAATGTCTGCGAGGATGCATACCTCCATTTGAAGTCGAGGATTTCTTTGTCCCCTTCGAAGTACCGTTTGCTGACTTGATACCATTCGAAGCAATTGAAGCTTGAGCTGGAATGGCTTTATCTTGCGTGGTCTGGTAGCGATCTTTCACCATGTTTGTGGTGTTCTTTGGGCGTTTCGTGTCCCAGGCCTTGGTAATCTTCTCGATTTCCAAACTGGACATCTTTTTGGCATCCTCAGTCTTGGCATCTCGTAAGTTGATTTCGACTCTTTTGAGGGTCAAAAGATGATTGATTTCAGTCAATTCAGCTCTGAGCTGTGTAACCTTCTGTGCGTTCTTCTCTTTCTCAACTAGGTCTTCGATCTCCTCGATCCTGCTCTTTAAAGCAGACCTTTCGTTGATGAGATGGTTTTGGCTCTCGTCTGTAATAGGAGTTAGTGAATGCATATCACTACTGGCGTACACCAAAAGCTTGCCCTTGCTCGAGGAGTTGACAACACCGGACTCAAGATTGAACACCGGTCGTGACATCAGGTTGTACTTGCAGATCGTCTGAGCACCTATGATCATTTCAAAGTTCCTTGCATGGGAGGAAATTAGGAATCGCATCTGGCGAAACCTCTTCAGACTCGTGTTGTGATGCCATGAGAGAAAGATGGCAGCTTCAACAGGGAAAGGCTGCCCGGCCATCGTGACACCACCCTGACTCTCCAGATCACTCAGATCTTGGTAGTCTGACTCAGTGAACCCAAGGGCGTCCACGAAATCTTTGGAAACTATGTTCCCATGCGAACAGCCTGTGTCCAGAAGGCACAAAGTCTTGTGATAGTTCAAACTATTGAACTTGGGCGAAACATGGATGTCCACAATCCACGGCGACTCCTGACGATGAAACATCTGCAAAGTCAGCCTCATACATATACCCAGGCCTATGTACGTACCTCATCGTCTGGGACAAGAGATGGAATCACCTCAATAGATTCTTCCATCTTCGCCATCAATGTCCTAGGAAAGAATACACCTTTGATACGATCCATCAGGCCGACACTCCGCCCAAACTTGTATGTTTGTTGTCGCTGTACTTGCTTTTTTTCCAGGTCGGCGACTTCAAAACCGGGGATGTCTTCTTTCTCTTCAACGGTAGTGACGTGCGACTGAGTAGAGCGGAATGATGGAGCGGCAGACACAGAACGACTGCGCTTACCGTTGATAGGGCAATCGGGAGGAGCAGCAAGGAAACGGTCGGGTGAGAGCGACAAGGCTCTTGATTCTGTATAACATGACGCTGATTAGCAGAAGTCGGGCTTAGTCCGGGGCGGCTAAGCTCACCACGTGTCTCTTTCTCAGCCATTATGGCAAAGTGAGTTGTTGAGAAAATGCTGTGTAGTATCGCTGTGAGGCGCGAACGTGAGGCGTGTAACGTGCGACAAGGAAACCACAGCAAGGGTTGACCGGGTTATAAGTACAGTTGCAGCCCCCAGATTCTAAGATAAGTGGCAATCCAGGTGGAGGTGTTCGACCGCAGGGAACGGTTCTACTCGATTTCTTTGTCCGCGTGCGCAACCTCTATTCATGGGTGGGACGTGGGTGGCTAATATCGTGTGATTCTGAAGCGATAAGACTAGGGTGGCAGGCAGCCAGAAGAGTAGTTCACCGGTTGTAGGCAGTCTTTCGTCTGCTGCTCCTTTGGCATCTTTCTGGGGCCAGAACTAACCGAGTGTGCAAGGAAAGGTGCATTGAGCACCAAGGAAATCTTTCATGTTGGGCTGAGCGGAAACCGCCCTGAGAAAACCTAGGGTCCGAAGACGACCTCGTTGGAGCTGTTCTTTGTCAAATCCTCTGCTTCGCAAGTCAGCGATTCGACATGGCAATTTTGCCACTGAATCCATCTTCCAGACGTGATTTGTCGCTGCGCACAGAGGTGTGTGTGTAAGTCCGGGGTGGATGGACCGTTGGTTCGTGCCCAATTCCCCACGGTGAAAACCCTTCGTCGTCGCGCATGCACCGAGATATGATTCGTTTCAGTGCATTCGGAGGATAGCAAACTAACTCAGAGCCGTGCTCGCCCCCACACAAACGCCCAACAACCTGAGTGGCGCGTCGAGCAGAGGGCATCCAGCTTTGTGATATGGAGCATTTACCCCCAACCATGGGCTGGAGACAACTAATGACGCCTCGGTCCGACGGTCAAATGCGCCATGCGCCCTCAGAGAAGGCAACAAGGCAATCTGTCGAGCTGAAAGCTGTGTCGATGAGGGGCGCTGCAGGGTGGTCAGCAAGGCGCAGCACGTCCCAACATCCTTGTTCGACCGGTGAACAGCACTCACAGTTGGCATGGATTTAGAGGCTGTGTTGAAAATGTTCGTAAGTGAATTGAGGTTTCATGGCGTGTCTAAGCACCAAAAAGTCAACACATCGCGCTGGCGTTGTTCTAGGATGACAACTTACTGTACGAGCAACGAACTTCGCTAGCGCTGTCACTAGCGCCACCCATGACGCTTCCGTCTCGGTCACGGTGGAACCAAACTCTCTTCACCTTCTTGTCTCGCTGATACCCCAGCGACGGACGTGATCAACGACCGCCAATCTTTAGCTACACCCACATCATTGAATGGGGTTGCGTCTCCACGCAAGTCTACACACATTCGTGCAATACAATGGAAAGAACGTCCCGGAGTTCGCAGAAAGAGCGCAATAGGCTGAGGTAAAGATGTTCGTCCGACTCAGGTGGGCATTTTAGTTCACGAGCGCGTCGTGAGGTTATCTGGGTTCTTTATGCGCTCGATTATCCAAAGCCCAAACTTGCTTGCAGGCTGCGGTCATAGCCATGCGGCTGCGCGAACGCACCATGGTCTCACCAGCCTCTACTACGATGCCTTTGCGGCCAGGACCACCGATAACGTACATATCGCGTATGCAGATCGAGCAGAGAGATGCGTATCAGGGTTCATCTGGTGATGCACAATTGGGTTGCGTGAGGCTAGAACTCACCTTTGCATGCAGCCCATCTGCAAACCCCTCTCTTACATGTTATCAGCCGAGCTATGCTGCAGAAGACATACTGCTGACAGACATATTGCAATATTGCTGCGGCTGTGCTATGGATACTTATCCCAACTTCGAGGAGCCCACCTGCAGGTTACACTTGACCGATTCTCCTCTGCGCAAGATGCAATCAATCGAGATGGAGTCACCACGCGACTCGATGGTGAGCCATCGCTCAAACCAATCCACAGCTTTCGATCTTTCAGCTCCACCTAGTCCGAAAGACAAGCTGGGTGGGCATGGGGAGCGAAGAGCATTCTCGGAGGTTGCAGCCTCAAAACCACAAAGTGCATTGACTGAGGATACTCCAAATCCAGGACCCCTTGCCGAACAGACACAGCCCGCGCATGATCGACCCGGCTGGCCACGTCTTGCGGAGGTCATGTCGCAGGTACCGGAGTTCGCAGCTTTCCCACGCTTTCGAGAACTAAACGTTAAAAACCTCCTTTACTACCAAGTTGAGCTGGAGCTTTTGCGTCAGCAGATTGAGAGAGAGGAGGAGGAGGAAATGCTCAATGTTGAACGTTACGATAGGATCGTGAAGGGAGCCAGCACCGAATACCATAAGCTACTCATCAAGCTGAGAATCTTATTAAGAGAGTACAGTACGTTGACTTGATCTGCTACTAAGCCCTTTCACACCATTGACTATTGTCTGACCATCGAGCATTACAGATGAGGCACTTCTGCAACTATCACAAGTTTCTGCACTCTCAGATCCTGAAGAATACAACATGCGGTCTCTTCGAAACTGGCTTTCTGATGCCAAAGGCGGCGATGGCGCCATTCGGGACGTGAACGGCACAGTGGAGACTTATGGCGACAGAGATGACATTCACCACACAAGTGATTACCGTACGGTCCTCAGTGCTTTGCTATGGGCGAAACCACCACCAAAGGGAGACTTTGACCTCGTAGTCACCCACCCAGAAGCCAAGATTGATGGGCTTACCAAGTGGACGGTATACTATCTGTACCCTTACTGGTGGTCGATCAGAGATCGCTGGCGGGGAAAATTTGACGAAGAAGCACAGCGCAGAAAACTGAATGATAAGAAACATCCAGAGGAACGTAACACAGTGGAGCGAAAATCAGAAGGCGCCGCACTGCGCTTGACTTCAAGTTTGTCGACTATTGTCGCCTGCTTGATCCCTGTCGTCGCCATCGTGGTGCTGAAGCAGCTCTCTCGCACCCGCGACCTTTTACTCTGTATTACTGGCTTCGCGATATTCTTCGCTGCAGGTCTTATCTTCCTTACTCAAGGGACGAGCTCAAGAACGGAGATCTTTGCTGCCACTGCTGCGTAAGTATCATGGAGCTCGAGTACCTGACTTGAGAAGTAGAATTGACAAAAGTACAGATTTTCAGCTGTGATGGTTGTCTTCATATCACAGCCAATCATCCAGGTACCGCTGGGTAGCGAGGTCTGAAAGTAAGGTGAATGTAAGACTGCATCGCCAGAGCCATCGTGTCGGAATCTTCACGTCGCTTGACATCCCGATACCCCGCTGCGACCGATATCTACCTCCAGGACCCTCATTTCACATGGTCAGAAACTTCAGGTTGCAATTGAATGTAAGCACCAGCGGTAACTGTAGGAGCACATAGTCATCTAGCAAAGCTGAAAGGATGTTAGAAGTACTTCAACCCACGTGTAGCAGATATATAATCTTTCAATCATGAAGCCAAGCATTTAAGTCGCCTTGAGCAGTCAAACCCCCATAGGATCCCTCGTGGGCCTCCAGGCTACGACATCGGGCGCGGAAGATTGCTACAATGGATTTTTGCCCCTGACAAGTCTGTTGTTGTGTGCTGCAGGTCCCTCACCTACCAACCAAGACGCGGTAACCTCACGCAACTCCTACAACCTGCAACCGCCCACATAAGAAGCTGCCTCCCTTCACCTTGCAAGTCTTATTCCCAGGAGCGCGGGAAATGCGTTCTCTACCATTTGCAGCGTTTGTGGCGTCAGACGCGTCAGACGCGTCAAGGGCGCGCCAAAAACTCCCGAGGTCGGCTTTCTTATCGATAGACAACCTTGGATATCGACGTTAAACCCGCCCTCTCTACGTCAGTCCGTATCAAATATTACCGCGCGTAGTCGATAATCTCTCCCGCTACTTCACGCCGTTACGACTATTTCCACGACCACGACTGCTATCATGATGCAAAGAGGCTCTTCCTCCGCTCTGCGCGCCGTTGCGCCCGCCGTTTCCCGTTGCACCACCCATATTCCCTCGCGATCCTTCTCCTCGACACAGTTAGCTTCCTCCGACCTCGATACCGCAGCGTTTGGTGAACAACACATTGCTAAAGGCATTGGCCGTCTTACAAAGCACGTCTTTGAAGAGGGCAAGGGCACGTTCATCACCACCGATAAGGGTGTGAAGCTTCTTGACCTGACATCTGGGATCGGTGTTGTGAACCTTGGTCATTGCCATCCCAAAGTCAGTGCGGCTGCAGCGGCGCAGTGCACCAAGATCACACACGCTCAGGTCAACATTGGTTTCAGCTCTGCGCAGATTGCTCTTCTCAAGGAGTTGATTCCTATCCTCCCGCACAAGTCCCTCGATACAGTCTTTCTCTGGAACTCTGGTGCAGAAGCAGTTGAGGCAGCAGTCAAGCTGGCTCGTGGCGCTACAAAGAAGCCTAACATCATTGTTATGCAAGGCTCTTACCACGGCCGTACGAACGCAACAGCCTCGATGACACGATCCAAGACAATTTACGGCGAAGGCCACGGGCCGTTGATGGGTGGTGTCTTTGCAACTGCATTCCCCTACTACAGCCAATTCGGCGGCGCAACTCCGGAAACACCCACCGAGGAGCTTGTCAATCAGGCTCTTCTCCAGGTCAAGCTCACATTGCAACAACAGACCTCACCCTCGGACACCGCCGCGATTATCTTAGAGCCTGTCCTTGGCGAAGGAGGCTACGTTCCTGCTCCCCCAGCGTTCTTGCACGGCTTGAGGAAGATTTGCGACGAGAACAACATCCTGCTAATTGCTGACGAGGTTCAGTCTGGCATGGGTCGCACTGGTCACATGTTCTTCGTAGAGGAGTCCGGTGTCCGACCTGACATTCTCATCTTTGCCAAGGGCATCGCCAATGGCTTTCCACTTTCCGGAATCGCGAGCTCAAAGGATCTTATGGATCTGCAAAAGCCTGGATCGATGGGTGGCACATACGCCGGAAACGCCGTTGCTTGCGCTGCTGCTAAGGCAGTCATCGAGGTCTTCCGTGAAGAGAAGATCCTCGATAATGTCGCGGCCCGTTCTGAGCAAATTTTCTCTTTCCTGAAGGACTTGAAGGCGTCCGGTACCAAGGCCGGCAACCTGATCGAAGACATCCGTGGCAAAGGACTGATGGTCGGCGTACAATTCGCAAACCCAGAGCTTCAACGCGACTCATCGAATACTTCTTCAAGGAACGCAAAGGCTCAGCCGCAGATCGCACCAAAGGTGGTCCAGGAGTGCGTCGAACGCGACATGCTTCTTCTCAGCACTTCGGTATTCGACGTTCTGAGGTTCATCCCGCCGCTTACCATCAGCGAAGAGGAGTTGACCCAGGCATGCAATATCTTCAAGGAATCCCTTGAAGCTGTCGCGAAGGACTTGTAATACAACATCATCTACACTATCAATTGAAGCGTTCACTTCTGTTCTCAATCCGGATTATCGTTCGGAGAAGCATTTGTATGTTGTTGTCCTGACGTTGGTTCCTTCCCTTTGTGTTGCTTCCCCAACGATGTCACCTTGCGCAAGAGCGCTGTCTCCACTCTGAATACTGTTTCTTTCTCCTGATCCCCTCTCACACGTCTTCTCGTGCGAAATGCAACTTTCCCTGTCCATTTGCTCTTTCCACATAAGCACGGTTCTGCTGGGTTGGTTCATCTGCTGGTTCTGCCTTAGTGGTGCAACAGAGTCGCGGACGCTTGCAATGGCGTCTTTTCAAAAACGCCTGGATTCGTAGTCGCCTCAGTATACACTCAACATACCACTGGGCCTAAAGATAGGTGCACGGTGTATCAGCCTGAACAGCAAATCGGCCGGTACGCAACGAACAATGATTGGACAGCACAGCCGTCAAGCGAAGATCAGGCAACCATTGGACAAAAACATTATGTTCGAGAGACTTTGTAATGCTGAATACCCCCGGGGCTATCATGGATGAACCGGAGTCCGGATGGTAAGACGCTGTCGTAGTTGGACGCGACGATGTTCTCGAGTGCAAGGAGACGAACATCATCCCGCGAGGACAGGACACCATTGCCAAGATACGCACCTGGCTTCGACCAACCGACTTTGGTGGCGAAGACAGTGCATATCAGAAGCATCTCTCATTACATCCTCCAGGAACTGGTGCATGATTCCTGGCCTCAAGCACGTAGCAGCAATGGCACGGCGGCGACAAGTATGGGATGCTCTGGGTGCGAGGTAGTAGACTTTTCGACGTCTGTAAATACGGTCTGACAAGATGCAGGCATTCCAGGCTCAGGCCCTCGTTCAGGGTTCTGCTCGGCAGCTTCAGCTCAAGGCCTTTCTCAGGGATATCAAAAAGTCTTGGAAACGCCAAAAGTCAAGCCAGCCACGCGAACTAGACAGCATGTCCACTCTCGATCTCTGGCAGTACCTACGGGTAGCTTTGTCACATCTGAGCAGAGCGTACATAGTAGTGGGCGCTCTTGATTAGACGAATCATGGACAAGACACGCATACTTCTCTGCATCATCTTTCGAAATTGGCTGATTGAAGGCCCTTTTAAGTCAAGATCATGACCACGAGTCGCCCTGTAGCGAGCGTGGAGCTGCACTGCCTCCCTCAGCCACCAGGCTCAACACTGCCATTAGGCAGTATGCCTTCAGAGCAAGGAAGCTCCCATCCAATCACCCTGTCAAGGAGGCCATCCAGATGTTGAGGACAGTGATATGAAAGGGCAAAACTTGCTGCATGTCGTTGCCGGCGTACCTCTAGCTGGCAATTACAGGTTACATACCGAGACTTCTGGTGGACGCTCATGCGAGCAGTTCAAGGAACTCTTTGGCTTAGGCTTGGATGCTGGGTTGGAAGATGAGATGGGCAGAACACCTGTCGATGTTGTGGCTGATTTAGGCCACAAGGGCATGTAGCGAAGTTTCGCGAGAAGTAGTGAGCATTATTATGGATTGCTTAAACTATGATTGGAGATCCGAAGTGCGGGAATAAGGAAGGCAGGGGGGAAGTACAAGTCAAATAGACATTACAGTGTATGGGGTATCATTAGTTCTTAGTCTTGAGCGTACAGTGCGGAACCGGTCGCCTTTCTGGCGCGCTCCTACGTCTAATCGACCTCAATGTCCAGCTCTTTCGCTTCACATCCGAGCGTCGATCTCTCTATGCCTCGTTGATCTAACTCGCTGAACTCTTTGCGCTCTTCGAGTCTCCGTCAATCTCCACCAACTGCACGAAGCTTCTTTCATCATAATTCGACTGCGGCTTCTTTGCATGGCTCACTCTGAACGTGGTCTGTACGTTGATCTCATTTGTAGTGAGTCCGTTAAAGGTGTCCAGCCCGTAGCTTCGTGCAGAAGGCCCTGCTGTCTCCTTTGCGGTGGACTGGTTCGTACTGCCCATGATCTTAGGGAACAGGCGTGAGAGACCAAGACGGATGGAAGGCATGCAGGTGCAAATGATGCCAACTTGGCATTCAATGACCGACCAGAGACTAGCTTCGAGGTAGTCCCACGTCATGTCGGTAGTGTTGGCGAAGTGTACGAGGGAGCGGAGACGGAGCATCGAGACGACGGTGACACTAAAAGTGCTCAGTCAGTGTCCGTTCGGTGCGCGTCTTCAGCAAATACAACTTACAAGGCTCCGACACTGAACATGAGAAGTACGCCAATCTTCTTCTTCATCCCTAGATGCAACTTCCAGATTTGCGTAATTGGCAGCGACAAGGTGATAAAGTCAACAAAGATGCTGTGCGCAGCATGTGTAAACGCTAATGCGTTATTGTTAACGCACTTCCCGGAGTGCTCTCCATCCCACTGCTTCCACGACAAGCTGACAGGGGTGCAAACGAAGGTGGCAGCGAAGCCGAACGCTATCATTGATGCGATCTGGAAGTAGATAACGGCCCACACGATCTGCCTGAACCGCTTCTCCGGGAAGATTTGAAGGAAAAAGAGCAGGAACGAGAGCTTAATGAAACCGAGAGTGGTGAAGTACGCAATCTCGCTGATCCAGAAATACTGGGGTTCGATGTCAGTGGATGTCTAGCAAGCCGATGCAGGTTCTCTCACCAGAAGCGTGGTGGTGATGCCCTGAAAGGATACATTCCACATATCAAGACCTAGCCCAGTGAACGACATCTTGTAGCATACAGCGAACAGCACGGTATCTAAGGCCAAGACCATGACCATATTGCCGTCATCAAGCCACTGCAGGCGTCCTACGGTGGACCGCACGATCCACTGAGCCGTCATGGCAATGACCGCCAATGTGTAAAAGGCTACATTGATGGTTCGATAACTCTTTGACTTGTCCCGAATCGGCTTATCAGTACATGCCTTGAAGGTGATATTGAGGGAGCTCAGCTCATCCTTGCGACCGCATGATGTAGTGATGCATTCTCTGGCTTTGTCCAATGTTACAGTATCACGGCACGCGCAGGACGCGTCCGAGATCGAGAGTGGGTGACATGTCGTGATCGAGAATGTGCTGTTGACACAATCTTGCTGAACCAACAGTCAGTGCCAGATATAGCAGTTTCGGAGAGTATGGGATAAAGAGGTACTTACTGCGCAACTGGGCAGCAAACTGAAGTCGGGCGTTTGGGCGCGACAAACAGTAAGCAGAAGAAAAAGTAACACGGCCACTCCTGTGGAAAAGTTTGACCGCATGCTGTGTGGTCTGATATATCGACACAGGTATGGAATTCGAGAAAGTGTACTCCGAGGGGTCAAGGATTTCGTGGAGCGGGTGATGAGCCGCTGGCGGTAGAGGTCAGGTCATACAGGCGCCCCATCAAACGTGCGTTCATCGGCGAAGGACCCCTTTGCAGGGCACCTGGTTTCGATTCATGATCGCAGAGTGATGCTTCCGTGCCGCAGTGGGGCTGGCCAGATCCCCCAGACGATCATCCTTGCCCGTCTGCAGGGACTGAGTAAGGCTGCCAAGTAGATCAGCGAGTCGATAAAAGTCCGGTGTTTCTCACTTCCTGCCCGCTGCGGATACCGCGCCGTGTATAGCAGTGGCTCCTAAAGTTCGGTCTACAGACGTGGCAGCCTGGAGGTTTGCCAGCGTGCTGAGACGCTGACCCCGATCATTGATTGAGAAGGGGGACCTTGTGGAGTGTCGGTGGCGTTGCTCTCAACCTCGATCCTGAGAGAGCACGCGCTCGCAAGGAGGCAACCCTGATGTAGCTGAGCTGGGATCCATAAAATCAAGCGTCCGAAGGTACCTGCATACGGACCGATTTTATCAAATCAGTACCGCGATACCTGCTCTTATTTATGGCAACGACCAACCGAGCGCGTTATACGGTGTTTGTTGAGGTTGGAGCGAGTCAAGACGCACTGCGGTCGATCTGCGGCTTTACCCGGCGAGCTATTCAGGCGACCGGTCGACTCGTGCACTCGCCACGTTCCAGGCAGGTCTACCGAGATAGATGCGGCGAATGATCTGGAACAACGCAACAAACATGTCTTCTAACTTTCCGACTTCTTGGGCGGATAGTCTGAACAAATAATCCAGACAGGGTAGGATCACCACTCAAACGAGTACATGTATTGTGGCGTTCGATCGGCGCGGCCGGGCTTTTTCGAAAGCCGACTTGAACAGGAATAGACATCGTTGTAGCAGGAGTACCTTAACCTGTTCTTCACTATTTTGCCCGAACGCCAATAAATCAGGCCGGCGCAATTCTCAGCAATATCTCTTCTCCTCCACAATTCCATTTCCTCTAGCCCCATCCTGCTGTCCTCTCTCCTCCCCACATCCTTACACCCGCCACGCCATACAACACTCACACAACACAGCACCAACTCTCTACACCCACCCCACCGACTGCACACTTGTGCCATACAAACTTCACTTCTTTGAGCTGCCATACCGACTACAAAACATTCACAACAACACAAGCATTGGGACAACCTAGCGCGCTTGCTCTGGGGTCTCTGGCATCCTAAAATCGTCAAAACCCATCTCCACACAGCACAACAAAGCACTCCATCCAATCTTGAAGCGACCAGACCTGTGGGAGGGGTGTGCAGCCAAGTGCAAACCGATTCCTCTCTAAGGGGGGGGGGGGTTATAGAAAGCTTAAATTGAGGGGCGCAAACTGCTTCTGCCCAGAAAAGACAGGATGAGAAGCCTCCAATGGTGCTTGTGAACCCTCTGTAACAAGCAGCTGTTAGAAACAATACGCTTGTTGACACTCCAAATCCAGAGAATGGGAAAAACTAAGTCCTGGCTCCCACTCCAGAAATGTGCACACCACCCCCCAACACAACTGCTACCAAAGAACCACAACTCATCAAGCTTTCTGATCTACCTATGTTTGATGGAAAAAAAAGGGACTACTAGCGCTTTTGACAACAAATGAAGAACAAGTTGGCCCACAATACTGGGAGGCTAGGGTCTGGTGCAATCTACATCTTCAGCAGGCTGAAGGACCCTGCTGCAAATGTGGCACTGTCTGTTGCAATTTGTGCCTTAAGCAAAGCTCGTAGAGACACAATTCGATTGGTTCTTGGGGATGAGTGGAGGTACATGTAACGCCTTCGACCGAAAGCGCTCCGATAGCGTCTGGTTCCTGCGGGTCTCAGCACACCGCTCTCCTTCCTGTCGCTAACTACTTCCTTGTCAACTGGACAAGGGTAGTTCCGATTCCCCTCCGAACTGTGTACTTAATCAGTTTGGCACTGTCGTTAGATAGAGTAGTTTTTCTGTATCCTTTTGTACAAGACCTATAGGTGTAGGGAATTCAATCCTAGTGTTCTCAATGTCCCAGCACTCCCATATGCCTTGCAGTGGACTCACACTTACTTCGGACATCTTCCCTACTGGCCTGCGTTGTTACAGTACAGGGAGTCTGTAGGGGTTTGACAGTCACCTAAGCAAGGCTTGGGTGGTCAGGGGTAGACTATCTAGGTAAAGTGGTAATAGCCTTTGTAATAGTTGAGGTAATAGCCATGAGTTGAATTCATGCTACGTGTTCTGAAGTTTGTGCGGGCACATGGCCTGAGCGTTGCCGCGACCAGACTTTTGACCTAGTACAAAGGAGCTCGTTTTTTTTGGCTGATCAGGGGCTTGTGCGCGATCATCCCCAACCATCTCATGTCAACACCATACTTTGCATATAGTAAATCAACCACCACAATGCCTGCACAGACTATTGCGCATTGCAAAAACTTCAACTATAAGCAGTACAAGAAGGCCCGAGCTCCTAAGACAAATTGCACTGAGTTGAGGGTGGTTGAGAGGGCATTTGCGGTGGGTGTAAGAACCGTACCAACCGTTTCTTCCTCATACTACTCACACGATTGCTATTCGACTCCTAACCAATCCCTACCCTACTACCTACCGGTATCCCCCGAGCTACATTGAGCTGTTAGGTATATAAGCAGGGCAGTGTACATAGTTATGGTAGATAGTTTTTTGAGTATCCTTTCGTACAAGACCTATAGGAATAGAGGTTTACTCCTAGTTCTATCTATCCCAGTGCTCCCATACACCTCGTAGCGGATTCGAACCCATATTGGAGTCCTCTCTTACCTGTGTCGTTACAGTGGGCGCTCTCACCGCAATGCGGGGAGACTATGCCAACCAACGTGATCTTGCAACCACTATGGGACGGTCACAAGGCACCCTTTCAGAGTTGCTTAAACGGGTAGAAATGAAGGCCAACAATCATGCTGTAGCTCTATGGGACGATATCCTTTATGAGAACGATTTAGGACGCGGCAGGAGCCTGTTGTTGACACGTCAACAGAAGGAACTCATCATCCAGATTGCAACGTCCTCACGCGATGCACGTGAGAAGGAGCCCTGGCAGGCTATTGCCGATGGCAATTTCAAAGATGTTGTACCAGAAATGAGTATAACAACGTTTGAAAACGTCATGTATGAGGCAGGTTACGCACGTCGCGCACCAGGCTGGAAACCTTCACTGACACCTGAGCAAGAGAAGGAGCGGGATGCCTGGGCACACGCCCACAACCCTGATAAGTACAAAGAAGGTGACAACTTAGGCTACGACTTTACCCAGGTAGTCTTCTCTGATGAGACTCCTGCTCGAATTGGTGAAGAGCGAGGCATGATAAGAACCTGGTGTTGTGAAGGAGAGAAGTATGATACCAACGTCAAACATGATTGGAACAGGCATGATTGTTGCCTGCAGTTCTACGGCTGTTTTTGCTACAACTACAAAGGTCCTTGCCACGTCTATTACCCAGAAACTGACGCAGAGAAGGAGGCTGCTCAAGTGCACCTTCAGGAGCTCAATGCCAATCAGAAGACTTGCAACAACAAGCTGCAAATCTACGCACGCCAGGCCTTGAGTAACCTCAGGGAAGCAGATGTCAACAAGCGCTATAATACTTGGAAAAAGCAGTATGTTCCAAGCAAGATGGACTACAAACGTGGGGAGCGTGTACGTGGAGGAGTTGATGGTTATCAGCACCGTGAAGGAGCTCTCTCAAAGGTCATCCCATGGATCAAATTGCTAGAAAAGAAAGGAGTCAAGTGTGTACTACAACAGGATGGAGCTCCTGCACACAGGTCCCGAATCTCCAACGATTTTCTCATTGTTGAGCAGGTGGATTGGCTGTGGTGGCCAGGTCACTCTCCTGAGGTTAATGCATCTGAGCATGCCTGGCCGTGGATTTGGCGCCACATAACAACGGAATTTTCACCAAGTTGCAACACTAAAGAGTGTGAGAATCAGTGGAAACATCAGTGGGATGCTATACCTATAGAGGTAATAAATGGGTGGATAGAACAGATACCAGAGCAGGTGCGAAGAATCATTTGGGTGGGTGGGAAGAACAACTATCATGGGTGATGCACGCACCCACAACATCACTGCAACACCACAAAAAACTTGCGATAGGCTAGTTGTATGTATTTCAGCAGCTTCACATAGTCAGATTATCGCAAAATGTGTTGATTTCACTGTTTTGGTGAGGATTACTATGGGCGTTGTGAACTGCAATCATGTTTGGTGGCCTGTGCGTTCGGTGATCGGCCAAAAAAAACGAGCTCCTTTGTACAGTATAACCATAGATCAGAACATCCGTGACACATCTTTGACAACACACTGAACATCTGGCATTAGTTTTGCCTCACCGCCCACTCTTTCCTTTGTTTGTTTGTTCTGCTTTACTTTCATTGAATTGAACTCAAACTCATGTAACCAAATCTTGGCATTACCAGAGGAGCTACTGCCCTCTTGTATTCCATAGTCTTAGACAGGAAGTTGAACCAATCAATCTACAATGCTAATACATCACGCACTTTCACCACTTGTCCACTTGCGATTGACTTGTTCGCGCAGATGCCTGTCAATATTGACAGCGCTCCGTCGACATGGGTGGCGGCCCTCATGTCCTGACTGATCTCGGCACCTTGCTCACCAAAAAGATCCGCAAGCAGCACTTCGTCTCCTCCACCGTGAGCACCAATACTGGTCGGAATTTCTACATCGACTGGCTTCTCAAAAAGCTTCCTCAACGTGATCAATCGAGTCTCGAGTGAGCCTTCGAGGGACTGATCACCGCCGCTGTTGACATAGCTGTTCTCAACCACTTCCATCTCCAAGCGCCCACCCGTTCCGTTTATTGATACTCTGAAACCTTCCCACGGTGCATAAGCAGTGAGTGAATATGTCAAAACTGCACTATTCTGGTACCGAACCATAATATTCATGGTGTCTTCAATACTGATGCCGTCGCCGAATACACTCTGGTCTCGGTAGTAGCTATCCTCGTGTTCAGCGTCGAGGTACATCTTCTTCAATTTGTCGTTCGTCTCCATGTGCAGCGCGAAAGGATCTGATTTTGCAACATCGCTGCCGTGCGCTCTGGTGTAGAACTCGGTCACACCGCGCTTCTCGGCGTTCTCTCGACCATAGAACTTCAAATCGCCCTGTGCATACACTGTCTCCGGTCGCGAGTTGAGCCAAAAGTTCACAAGGTCGAAATGGTGCGTTGACTTGTGAACCAACAGCCCTCCAGAATTCCTTTTATCGCGGTGCCAACGTCGAAAGTAATCGGCACCGTGCGATGTATTGAGCATCCACTCGAAATGGATACTTGTCACGGTTCCGATCGCACCAGAACGCAAAAGTTCCCATACTTTCGTGTTATGTGGCGCATATCGGTAGTTGAAGGTTACGCGGACCTTGTTGCCAGTTCGTTCCACAGCATCCAAGATCTCTCGACACCGTGGCGCATCGATGGTCATGGGCTTCTCTGTGACCACATTGCAGCCAAGTTCAAGTGCTCGTACGATATAGATGTTGTGCGTGCGATCGATAGTAGTTACAATCACTTCGTCTGGCTTGGTCTCCTCGATCATGCGGTCGAAGTCTTTCGCCTTGTACGTTGGAACTCTGGCATGACCCAGTGATTGCAACTGCTCATTGGCGAAGTCAAGTCGTGTTTGATTGGTGTCACAGAACGCTACGACCCGAGATGTCGCCTTGTAGGTTCTTGCAATTGCTGAGTAGAAGAAGCTCGAACGTCCACCAGTGCCGATGAGGGCATACTTCTTTTGTTTCGGCTGCGCGTCACCCATAGTGTCGTTACTGTAGAGTAATACGATGTTGAAGCTTGGTGTTGGAGGCTTGATCTTGGCCAGGATATAAAGAGGGAAATGTCCCACCGAAGGGCATCGGCCGAATCCTTCTCCGTCACATTCGGGCCACACTGCGCCGAACAATGCAACATCGCCATGATCGACAGTCTTTAACCGGTGGTTGACCATGGCTGCTCCATTCCCGTGGTATGCCAAGGCACGATCAGCTGTGGGGAAAGGGTTTTGCGGGGAAGGTTGCTGTGCAGGAGGCATTCAGTGCAGTGCGGGGCTTGGCTCGGGTCCTCCAAGAAGTGCCAATTCGTGGAAACTGATTACCGCCATCACCTAGCTGGGTGTTGATATACAGAAAACTGGTCGCATGGGAACGGCTCGTGGCTTACCTCGCGACGAGATGTTGTGGATGATATATGGCAGAGCGGGTCCAGGATAGTGGAGCAGTCACGACTAGCACCTTTCTTTCCGCGGATATGGTGACCCACGACACCAAAGACGCCATCACTCGCGTCGAGCAAACAACGACGGTAACATCCAACAACAAAAAGTACGTTGATACTGCAGCAAAATGGCTTGCAGATGCGCACGTTGAAGATGCAGCCTTTACCTACGAGGAGGAACGCGCAGTTCTCAAACGAATCGACAAACGTGTTTTGGTTTTGTTGCTGGGTGCCTACTTTTTCCAACAACTCGACAAGTCGTCACTATCCTACGTCTCTATATTTGGTATTCAGAAAGACGCAGGGCTAGTCGGTAAGCAGTACTCATGGCTCGGATCCATCTTGTACCTGGCGCAGCTGGTGATGCAGCCTCTCGCTGCATTCCTGCTCGTCAAGCTTCCAACAGGAAAGGTCATCGCGGCTGCAATCTTCTGTTGGGGTAGCAGCCTCGCCATCATGGCAGCGTGCACCAGCTTCAAAAGCCTGCTGGGGCTGCGATTCCTTCTGGGTAGCTTCGAAGCCATGATAGCACCCGCGTGCGTTGCGACTACCACCATGTGGTGGCGTCGATCTGAACAGACGATGCGCACTGCGTCCTGGAACGCAATGAACGGTGTAACATACATCGTTGGAAGTCTGTTCACCTATGGACTTGGTCATATCAACAGCGACTCGATGTACAAGTATCAGATCATATTTCTATTCTGTGGTCTTTTAACCGTGGCGTACGCTTTTATGGTGTTGGTGCTCATGCCGGACTCTCCAATGAAAGCGAAGTATCTTACCGAACGCGAGAAGGTCATCGCTGTCGAGAGACTGCGCGCCAACCAGATGGGCATTCAGTCTGGTCAGTGGAAGTGGGACCAAGTGTGGGAGACGTTCATCGACTTGAAGACTTGGTGTTGGTTCGTCGCCATCATTGCGATCTCGTGAGTCCCCAAAATTAGCGATGAGAAGCTCTATTACAGAGAACTTCACTGACAGTCTCCAGAATCGCTAGTGGCGGTATCTCCTCTTTTGGCAGCCTCATTATCAAGGACTTTGGCTACACGAACTTTGAAGCCATCCTGTTCAACATTCCATTTGGCGCAATTCAGATCATTTCGATTCTCGGCTCTAGCTGGGGTGCAACGAGATTCAAGCGCAAAGGTCTAGCTATCGCCCTCGTCTCAATCCTGCCTGCTGTTGGCACAGTCATGATGTTGTCAGTACCTCGGAGGCACAAAGGCGTTCTTCTCTTTGGCTACTATCTGGTATCATGCCTAGCTGCCATCACACCTCTTTACTACACCTGGCACGTTCAAAACACTGCTGGAGACACTAAGAAGAAGTGCACTTCCGCCATGGTCTTCATCGGTATGTGCACTGGCAATGTAATTGGCCCTCTTCTCTACTCAGTTGACGACGCACCTGAGTATCGTCCTGGGCTTATCTCGAACCTTATTATGTTCATTCTTGTCGGTGTCATCTCACTACTGATCCCAGTATATCTTGCATTCTTGAACAAGAGACACGCGAAGCGCAGAGAGGAACTAGGAAAGTCGGCGGTCAGAATAGACGAGTCAATGCTGAAGAAAAACGAAAGGGATGTTGCAAAGGGAATCGAGCTTGGAAGTGATGAAACGCTGCGACAGGAGCAGGACAATGGCTTCTCGGACAAGACTGACATAGCCAACGAGGATTTTATCTATGGCGAGTATGCTCAAACACTATGTACTGTGCATTCAACTAACCTTTAGTAGTGTACTAGAGAACCGAGAGCACAAGGCGCGGAGGTAGTCATACTCTTCAAGTGGGCAACCGTTCGCTCATGTACACTCGCATCCACTTCTACTTATTGCGTCACTCGTAAATCCCATCTTCATCTTGGCTTCCTACTCCCGATGAATTCTTCTTACTACTTCTACCACGCTCTCCATATCTAATCGCCATTTATATATCCCCATTTACAGTGGCTTCTCCAGAACCCACATACACTGTTTTATGCTGCGACTGCTACGTGCCGCCACCTGCACACAAATCCGGAGAGTCACTGGTCGGTTCTGGCGCCTACAGATCTGCATTTACCATCGAAACCAAACTGCTCCGACGCCACTCGGGGCACTTCAACCCTCGGTGCGTCTCATCCTGCATTTTCAGGTGGCAGTTTGGATGACTTCAGTGCATTATGAGCAGCGCGACAAGAGACTCTATGTGACGGTTTATGGAGTAAAGAGGTCATGTGTGCCATGTGTGTTGGTGCAGTTCTCTTGCCCGTTTCAACAAGCACCTCCTGCTCTTGACTGCACGAGATAAACGTTATGTAAACAGACCCTGATGACTCCCGGGGGAGAGACAATCACAGATCAACACAATATACTGATTTTACTGCTTCGTGCGGTTCCCCCCTGACTTACTGCCTTGCGCAGTTACAACTCATTCATTGCAACTACCGCAACACTCTAGGTTACTGACCGCCTCCAGGCTTCTCTACAATGATGCAGGAGCCTGGCAGATATGTTTCGTTCTGACTCACGAAGATCCCGCCCTCTTCAAAGCCTTCGTTTGATTTGCAGACTGAAGCTGCATCGTCCATCCGACGCCTACCAAGACCACGGTCAGTTCCCTCTTACCGCAATTCCTTGTCCAGTTGTTCGTCTTCGTAAACACCTTGGACATGTCCTTCATGAGAAATGCGCTTGATGCATTCTTTCTCCGTGTATACGTACAGACGCAAACTTTGCTGACCGATCTCATCCCATATATAATGACTGTCACAAGTTGCTGCTCCCGCCCGCCCCCCCCCCCCCCCCCCGCCCAATGGCTGAAAACCATGATGTTATCAACCCACAAAGTTGTCCTTTGGGCCAAAGAGCTAAATCTCATCGTTGTTCCGAGTGTCAAGGGGATTCAGCAACCTTTGAAAGTCACCGATATCTACGAGCATACAGGCGAAGGCTCTTCTTTGCGAGACCTAATGAACGACATCATCATAGCGACCGGAAATGGAGATTAAGTACGAAGCTCTTGCATAAGTCGCCTGGGTGAAACACCTAACAACGGCTTGGGGTAACGATGAGTAGTACAGGCAATCTGTCTAGCTCAAAGGTTGATTGAGATCCAATGACAAACTTGATTGACGAGGTTGAACACGAACCATAAGGGTTGTGTTCCTACTTGCTTATATACAGTCCACCAGATCTGCTCGTTGACAAGCAGAGTCGGTCCTGGCCAATCCGGATAGATTGCGCCTTGTTGACGAGTATTGTATGATGCTCGTTGACGAGCATCGTGTCATGCTCATTGACGAGCATCCCTCAGGCGTCGGCTGGGTAGCCTTGCCGTGCTGCGCCTTCCCCCAGGCTTCCGTGTTTGGTTGGCGGTTACTTATTACCCGTTGTCCTATCGCAGGGCGTAGGATCGTAACACCATCCAACAAGGTGCAATACCAAAAAAGTGACCTGGATACCAAAGTAGAGCTTCAAATTTGATCCTAGCAGGTTGCCAGCTTACCGCAATGCCTCAAGTTCTCAAAATTGTAAGTTTTTGCCCTGAAAACTTGGGCGATGGGGAACACCAAGCATTTTGGTATGCGGGCTTTTTTTGCAACCGCGTGGCTCTCATAATCAAGTGGTCTGTGCTGCACAGAACACGGAAAATTCTGATCAAGAAGAACAGCAAAACCAGCAGGACTGCACCCAGGCTGCACAGCACAACAGAAGCCTAGAGGCTCTGAAAATGGAGGCAATGGCTGTTGGGAGTGTGCTGAGATGAATTCTGATGAATTTGGGATACCAGGGGGCCTGGGGAAAGATATAGGTGTTGACCAGAAGTTGGTGTAGGTGTTGAAGGCCGCCCTGGACTTCATCACGAGGACCAAGGTTGGCACAAGGAGGTGCAGCTTAGTTCAATTCAACTTCAGTGAACCTCGATTTTATTTGTCCAATACTTATTGTATTCAGAACCGTCATAGAGCACGATCCGAAGGAGAGCAACCTCGAACTCGATTCATCAGAGATGGCATTACAGCAATGGACGCCTACATGGAATACGTGCCTGCGCATTGCGACCCTAAAGAGAACAGCGTTCCGACAGATCCTGAAGACTGGGAGTCTGTTACGACTCATCGGAAGCACCCTCGGCCCTCGGACCAAGGTCGTCCAATCTACCGTCCACGACGAACTTCCTCTACTAAGGCGGTCAAGAACGCGCGTATTAAGTATCGTGCCAGGAACACTGCTTCCTTAAGGCCTGACAGAGAAGGGCGCGAGGAAGCATGTGGGTTGTGAGAGTTGTACCATTCATAGGAACCGCTTCCCGTTGGCAGAACCCGGCGGTCACCGTTCCGCATGTACTGGATGGTATTGGAACTGATAGACCTCCCATCGATAGACGGGAAACAGATGTATTGTGCATTTGCACGCTCAAACTTGTATACAGTCTACTAATACAATCATCTCATTACTCAGTCGCTCATCCAGTCACCCCCTCATCGTCGAATCTTAGGGTAGTAGTGCTAATACTTCTTCTTCCTCTGCCTGACATGCGGATCCTGACCCTTCCTATTCCTCTTCTGCCGATCCGTCGGCGGCTTATACGGCTCCTTGCCATACTCCTCGCGATACAAGCTCAGCATATACTCATCGACATGTCTCTTCTCGACCAGGCCTTCCAGCTCTGCTTCTGCAGCAGCGACGGCTTCGGAAGCAGCGCGTGTTGCGTTGCTGGACTCGTTGAAGTCGACCTGGTCGTCGTGGATCTCGTCAACGATCTCTTTCTGCGCGATGGAAGCTGCGTTGCGGTCCTCGGTGTCTTCAACGGTGTTCATAACACGCGCGTCGCCTAGGATGCCGGCACGCTCGCCAAGGACTCTATCCATGGCTGCGCCGGCCTCATCGGAGGTGTCGATCCCGCGATCGTCTTCTAGAGCGTCGCGCCAGGTGACTTTGTTGAAGGTGTCGGTCGTAAAGTCGCCCTTTTGGATGATGACGTCGTCGAGAAGACGCTTCTGGTTCGACTTGCGCAGGATGTTGGCTTCGATTGTGTACTCGCTGACGAACTTGTAGATGTGGACATCGCGTGTCTGACCGATACGGTGTGCTCGGTCCTGGCATTGTTTGTCCATGGCTGGGTTCCAGTCGAGGTCGTAGAAGATGACAGTATCGGCACCTGTGAGGTTGATGCCGAGACCCCCAGAGCGAGAGGAGAGGATGAAGGCTAGGATGTTGGTGTCAGTGTTGAACCGATCGGTGAGAATCTGGCGCTGCTCGACTTTGGTGGATCCGTCGAGACGCAGGTACCGGTGGCCGTGAATGTTCAGGAACTGTTCCAGAATATCAAGCACTTTGGTCATCTGGGTGAAGATCAAGACACGATGGCCTCCGGACTGAAGATCACGAAGGAGGGTGGCAAGTCGCTGCAGCTTTCCGCAGTCATACTGCAGTAGACGCTTGTCAGGGAAAGCGATGGATTGGCGCATGCGGGCCTCATGGAAGGGATCGCGCTGACGGGCCATATCTGAGGATCTGATGAGCTCTACACCTCGCTTCGACAGTGTCAAAGGTGCAAGCTCTTCCGCGGCAACTGCTGGTGTTACGCACGTGAACTGGGTGATCAGGGGTTGCAGAGCCTCTGCGCGCTGTTCGAGTGTAGGAATCATGTCAAAGAAGTGTGTCACTTGCTCAGTGCACCACTCGTTTGCGGCACGAATCGACTTGGGCGATCTGAAGCCGAGATCGCCATGATATCTTCGAATGATATCGTATTGCAGCTCCTCTTCCTTCGGAGGTATGATGGTCGTGGACTGCCCGAACTGGTGGTTCGTTGAACTGGGTGGATGTGGCGGGTATGCTGGTATCGGCTGAGGTTGCAATGGTTGCTGCATCGGATAGTAGGGGTTCATCGGCGGTGGCTTAGGTTTCAGTACCTTGATGCCAGCTCGTCGAGGACCGAACGTATGAGCATGCCAGTCGACAGTCACAGCATCAATGACCTCTTTCCCATAGATCGGATGGAACTGTGTCCTAGCCCGTGTAAGGGCGAGGCATCGTTGTAGATGATCACGAACAGCCACTTGCTCGCGGCGTGCCAATGCTGACATTGTAGACTGAAGTGAGGATGTCGCTGCTGGAGAAGGCTTGTTGATTCGGCGGGTTTGCCGCTCAATGAGATCTTCTAGAGGCCGTGTCGCACGAATCTGTTGCGAGCGCCGAGCATGTCGCATCTGAGTCTGCTCGCGTCGAGCAAAGACCATGTTCAGCGCGTCAAGGTTCACTTGCTTCTCCTCCAGGCCCTCATGTAACCGCTTGCGAATCAACAGATCCTTGATTTCGAATTGAGCAGCCACAGTTTTTGGCATCGCCATCGATGTAACAATGGCGCGCGTCTCGAAAAGATCTGGGTGGTTGCAGACTTTCCGTAACGACATCAAGCAGTTGATGATGGACATGTAGTTGCCAGACGACAAGATCTGCTTTGTGTCCGCACGACCCATGAAGCCATCGTAGAGCTGGCGCTGCCGCTTGGACAATTTGCAGTACACAACGTGCTCGTACTTTCCAGGCATCTGCTTCTCGACTTCCGCCTTCAGTCTGCGGAGCAAGTACGGTCGTAGAACCTCATGAAGCCTAGCGACGATCTTTTGCGCTTCAGCGTCGAGTTGCTGTCGACCTTGTTCCAAGATCTGCGACGTTGGATTCTTCAATGCCAAAGTAAACTCATCGAGGTTGGCGATGCGGCCTTCGCCAGCGAAGCCTGCGGGCATCAAGAAGTACAGCAATGACCACAATTCATCGATATTGTTTTGCAAAGGCGTGCCAGTCAACAACAGCCGTCGCTCGGTTCGCAGGGTGAGCATGGTCTGCCATCGCTGCGACTTGAAGTTCTTGATGTTGTGAGCTTCGTCGAGGATGAGATAGTGCCAAGCTCGCATCTTGAACGCGGCGGCATCCTGAAGAATGAGTTGGTACGAGGTGATAACGACATTGTACATGTCTTTGCCGGTGTTGCGCCAACCCATGCGCTTACGCTTGCGCTCGTTGATGTCGCCGTAATAAGTCAGGATCTTGAACCCGGGCAAGAACTTCTTGAACTCCATCTCCCAATTGAGCATGACGCTCGTAGGAACAACGACTAGATGTGGACCCCAGACGTTTCGAAAGCAGGCGATGTAGGCAAGGAGCGAGATGGTTTGAATTGTCTTGCCCAGACCCATCTCATCAGCTAAAATACCATTCGTCTCTGTGTCGTAGAGGTTTGCGAGCCAGTCAAGACCGCCGTGTTGGTATTCGCGAAGGGTGCCTCGCAGCAGAGGAGGGATCTCTGCACGGGGGGGAGATGAGGTCTGCCGGGATCTGTTGTGCACAACCTGTGCTTCTTGCACGTCGTCCTCTTCCGTTTCCATGATGATATTCTCTTCCACAGACTTCTTTGCACTAGTCTCAATGACCGAGGACGGCTTGACTGATGAGTCATCTCCGTTGATGCGAGTGTACTCGGTCTTGGGACCGTCATTGTCACCGTTTGTTCGAAGCTCTTCGACACCACCGTTTGCGTTTGCGCATGAAGAGGCATGGCCGTTCACACCATTGGTGTGCACGGAACGATCATCTGGAAGCTCTTCTTCAATCGACGTCTTTGCAGCCTCCTTCAACTTCTTGATGTCACTGGCACCCAAGAAACCCATCAACCCGATATCATCATCATCATCATCATCATCATCATCATCGTCGTCGTCGGTACCGTGATCCGAGGCTCCAGTTCCTGGCTCTGCGTCCTCATCGTCTCCGTCTTCAGGATCGTCGCTAGGCCAGGCTTCGCTGCCAGACCCAGAGCCATCGTCTTCGTCAGAATCCAGCAACGCATCATCGACCTGGTCCAGCTCGACGTTTGCGGGATTGATGAAGTTTGGTTTGTTCTCCTCGTCACCCGCACCCGCATGCCAGCCGTTAGTGTGCGCCGACTGTTCGCTCGGTGTGACAAGAGCATGGTCCATCTCGAGGTCAGGGTGTGGTGTGGGCGCAGGAGTGTCATCTTCCGCATCGTCTTCCGCATCGTCTTCCGCATTCGCTTCGTCTCCTGATTCTTCCTCGGTCGAGCTGCTGTCTGGAAGATCAGGCAGCTGCTCGTACTTGGCGCGCAACTGCTCGGCGGTGAGGTTCGCATCGTCGTCCTCTGCATTGTTCTCCTCACTGTCGTCGCTCGACGACATAACATCGTCATCGTTTCGAATCCTGGACGTGTCTGATGCTTCACTTCCGAGCTCGGCCATCTCGTCTTCGAACTCGCGGTCCTCGCTGTAGTACGAGGCTGAGTCGGCAGCACCGCGACCTAGAATCTCTTGAGCCTGATTGAACATGTCGTCCATGGCTTTGTGTCCGAGCTGAAGCTGTTCCTCCTCGTACTTGGCCACACGCTCTTTATCGATCTCCACTCTGACGAGGCTCCACGCATCTTTGACGTCCTTGACAAGCTGCTTGTAGCGTGTGATTTGGCGGTCTATCTCCTCCTGGTCGATTTCGTACTTGCTCTTACGCTTGTACTTGACTGCCCAGCGGTCTTGTGCCTCACGCGCGAGGATCTTAGCCAGGCGCCTGTGGTTTTTCTTCTCGTCAGCAAGCAGTCTCCCAAAGTGCAGGGCATGGGCAGTGACATGGTCCCAGTGCCCGTACTGTTGAGCTGGCTCTGGAGCTGGTTCAGGTGCAAAGACACTGCAAGCTGCCTGACTCAAAACACCGCTCTCAGCTGCATCCTCGATGCGCATGCGCCGTTGTGCCTCTTCCTCGGCCTTCTCGTCCGTTATGCGCTGCCATTCCTCCCCTTCGAGCGGATCATCTTGCGCAAGGAAGGCTTCGAGCGAACCGTGATTCGATGCTGGCGCGGCGTGGAGAGGGTGGCGCTTCGGAGGGTCGAGCTTGCGCAGCTTGAGGCGGAGGCCGGGCGCAGAAGCCGAGGGATCGAGGTCGTCCGCGTAGAGGCCGCCGTCAGGGTCATGTCCGTTCGTCATCAGCTGGTCATCTCCTAGTCCGTCAACGGAGGTTTGGGTAGCACGCCGCGTGCGACCGCTGCGCTTCCGAGTACCATCTGGCGACGCATGGCGCAGGACTGGCGAAGTAGGCGACAGCGGTCGTGCTGAGCCTGAGGGCTTGCGCTGACGCTCTGACTTGCGCGATGCGGGCGTGCTCACAACCGGTGCGGACGCCTTCTTGTTGAGAGCCGGTGTTCCCTTCTTAATGCCATTGGTCTGAGATGTCTTCTTCGCGCCGACACCGCTCTTGGGTGTGCCATTTGTCTGCGGCGCCTTGGTCGTGTGCCTTCCGGCGCGTTTGGCCGGCTCAGGCGTCGGCGGGGCTGCTTCTCGATTTACACGTGACGACTTCCGCACGCCGTTCTCGAACACAGTCGTTGGTCCGTCGGCGCTGAAGGACTTCCAGGGCGGCGATGCGGCGCGCGATGCTGAGCGCGGCGTGGACGTGGAGGACTCTTCCACTTTCCGCCGCTTCGCCGGCCGCTGTGTGACGCCACCATCATCGATGCCATCCACAGAGCCTCCTTCCTCTTTTACGGGCACCTTGACTTCCTCCTGGGTGCCGTCACCATTGGGTGCAGCGTTGTGCTCGATGTCGGCGTTCGTCGGGTCGTGGCGGGGGATCACGTCGCGGTCGGCAGGCGTGCCTTGTTCCATTCAGAGAGGGATGCTGCCTCGGAAAGCCTCGCAGCAGGGAGACCACCCGGCGCAACGCCAAATGAGCATATATCGCCTCGATTAAAACGCCGCTGAATGCCTCCAGACCCGCTGATGATGCTGGTTTTTTCAGATTTGTGCTAGTAATTCGCGTTGGGGCTGCAGCGGCGTGCGTGTGTTTGTGTTGTGAGGATCAAAAGTCGTGTTCCTCGGGGCCAGCCCAAAAAGATCGGTCCACGCGCACTAGCGTGAGCCTTGTACTTAGATCACTCCATAACTCCAAAAGCCTGGAGGTGGACGATGCCCAGAGACTATGGCAGGGCAAACACACGATAACCAACAACGCTCCATGCATGCTGCCTCTCACGATGAAGTAGTGGTCTGCGATTCTGCTGCGTCAAAACCACAACGCCAGGTCCTGGGAGGTCCTCAGGGAGTCAAAGATGGGGTAACAGTGCTTCCGTTCCAGCTGCTTGCCCTCGGCCATCGTCCGCGCCACGAGGAACCAGTTCTCAGCGTTGCATTGCAAGTCTCGGGCTGGAAGTGCAGCCTGGAGGTAGTCAGACTTCTGGCCCCAGGGAGGCAGTCATCCAGTGGGCAAGGACTAGAACTGTGCTCATGACATCCAAGTCCTGGCCACATTGAATGCTGGCACTTTGCCAATCGTCGGGCATCTTGGCTGTGTACTCCTGCTGCGCGAAATGCTGTGTCGGTGGGCCTGGAGTTGATCCATGGATGGGACATCAAGTCCGTCGCTCAAAGCGGATTAGCGCGTGATCTTCGCCAAGCTCCGCCAAGCTCACTGAGCTCATCACGAACCTCACGTCAACCAGCAATTACACATCGACCCCCGCAACTCCGCCTTCACGTACAGCACCACCCCAATTGCTCTCCCCCAGCTGCTGACACCCGCCCAGCATGCTCTCCCGGCGCATCGCAGCGGCGCGCCCGCTTCCCGGCTCCGTGCTGCGCTCGTCCGCCGTCCCGCAATTCACCCAGCGCCGCACAGCACTCACCGCACACGAGCGCGCCGAGCTAGCCGACCCCAACCAGAACGGCGGTTACATCAACCCGCCCCTCGAGAAGCGCAACAACCGCGACCCCTATGCCGACTGGTGGGACAAGCAGGACCGCCGCAACTACGGCGAGCCCTGCCACGAGGACCACGATATCCTTGGTGCGGTCTCGCTGCACGACTACAACCACTTTACTCCCGGATGGGGAGGCGTGCTATTCGGAACTTTCGTTGCGACAGTGATTGGCCTGTGTGTGGCTGTGAACCAGATCTACCCGGACAAGATCAGTGCCCCCAAGACATACCCCGATGGTCTGGAGGCTGAGCTCGGAGGAAAGGGCGCTATGCTGGTGAGTCGTTGCGTGAGAATCATGGAAACGTTGCTAATGGCATGACAGGCCAGGAAGCCCGGCGCGGAATGGTAGAGGAGGATGCTGAAAAAAAGCTATGTGTAAATACCACCGGTCAATTCTGCAATGGACGCTTTCATATGTTACATCTCATGCCCAGATCATCGCAGATCATATCCTCCCTTCCTTCATAAACCCCTACAAAGTACCCTACAAAGTACCTGGTGTCTCTCGCATTTCCTCCCCCTTCCGACGTTCCTCTCTGCTGCGTCCTTCACCCATGTGTTCTGCGACCGCGTGTTGTGCTCGATAGTTACATCAAAGTTACTTGGACACTTTGCCAGCGTAGCGGCGTCTCTGGAGGTAGTCTGTTAGACCCAGCTCCTCGAAAGAGCAGTCCTTGTATGGCTGCTGGAAGGTGATGGTCTGGTAGTGCTGCTTCGTCGATAAGACCTTTCCGTTGAACGTATCTTGCTCGACATGTGCCTGTAACGCTGTGCTCGCGGTGCCGTCTGTAAGGGTGCTGGTTGTTGCTGAGCCGGAGCCGATTCGAAGAATCGGACATCGCTATCCAGGTCAGTATCAAGCTCCACCTAGAGGCGATACAACACTTTCAGCACGACCGTATCCAAACTTCTGACAGTTACTACAACGATGCTTGCGCCAATTCTGTGGTTGCGGGTAATCCCGTGCGTTATGGCCGTCACTCTCGCAGTTCCAGCATCGGGACTTGGCCTCCTGTTGCCGGAAAGGGCAGTCGTTACGCTCGTGTCCCGGCTGCCCGCAATGGTGGCAGTTGCGTGGGTCCAGGCGCTCAATCTGGCTTACTGTCTCTCTTAACATGTAAGCCTTCACGTCTTTGACATCTCCGTTGCAATTGACCTACTCAAACACAAGTGTCCGGACCATGTTCTCTCCGGGAGTGGTCATGTTACTTGGCACAGCACGCCTTACACTGAATCTTGACCCAATCATTGCGCGGTATAGTCAAGTTGCCAGGCGCTTGTTGCTGTTTCACCAGATGGCTGAGCAAGTTGCGCAGGAAACCCGTGGGTAAGCCTAGCTCGTTGTCGCTCAGCTCGGCGAAACCCATCGTTCAGCTACTACAAGCACGAGCAGTCGACGAAGGGGATCGTTCTCTCTAGTCTCACTATAGATGAACTCTGCGGCGGTGGCAGGAACCTCTCGTTCATGAATGGTCACGTAGGAGGAACGCGTTCAAGGCGTGGTTCTTGGGACCCTCGACTAGGTAGGCTTCAGCGAACAAGTAAATCGCCACGATATCTTCCCAAGGTGGTGCGTCGTTGTCAGCGAAAGACCCACAGCTCAGTCACTTGAAGAAGAGTTGGAACGTGTGAACCTCGACCGGCAGATCAAGGGTCGCGGGTGCGGTGTCTGGGTTCCCTTGACTCAAGATGATATACAAATACTCAGAGTAATGGCACAACAAGCCTCGATAGAGCTGAAACTCCTTTGTAGGCTCGTCGCCTTCGCCTACTCGAACACTGATCATTCGGTCGAAAGCAGAACCGTCAATGTCAGCCGGCTGTTCTGGGTTGGGGTTCGGTGCAGAACATATGAAGGAGGGCTTGACGCGGGCGAGATGCAAAAGATACTCGGCGGTCTGGACATCTTGGAGGCGTTCGCGCAGCGAAGATGTTGTTATCCGATGGTCGCTACACAGTGTACAGGGTGACGTGCGTTGATGTGTCAAGGAATGTCGCAGTGGATGAGGTGAAAGTCGAGTCACGTGTCGACGCGTTCGGTCGCTAGCGCGGCGACAAGGACTGCAGCAGGCAAGAGCCCGGGCTCAGCGCAAAGGACGCGATGAGAATGAGGTGAACCTGGGCAGTTGATCGTCATGAAGCTCACGACTGAGTGCGTGGAATGACGCAGTAAGCGCACAGTATGCAGACGAGATGTGGAGAGATCTAACGGATTAACAAATGCCCTGGTTGCCCTCAAAGCTCACGACTACGGTGGACCGCAGGGTCGCTGCTTGGCTCGTGAGGGCATTCAAATACCAGCAATGCTCATAGTTGTAAGGCAGTACAGAGACCGGTCTAATAACCTAAGGCTTCCTGTTCACGTGTTAGCATGAAAAAGACGCGCCAGACATGGCGTCCGTATACTGTCTTGATGTGCTTGAGGCGTCTAAAATGTTCCTGCCGACCAGTGGACCTTGTTTGAAAATCATGCATCGTGTTCCAACCACTTCACACTCCAATACTTCCCAAATTCAACATACGAACAAGAACTGTGAACAACCCCAGCATCTCCAACATGCACTTCTCCAAGCCCGCCATCCTCAGACTCCTTGCGCTCACAACTCCCCCTCTTTCATCGCCCGTACCCGCGGCTCCAAAGGACTCCCCTGCCATTATTGACAGTATGTCCAAGTTCGAATGCGTCATAAGTCCCTATGCAGCCACACCCTTCATCTTCATCTCGTGGTCTAACACAAAACATCAGCGCTCATGCCTCCATTGACCTGGTTACAACCTCGAGGCTAAAACGAGATGAAGTTTTGCGAATCGGATCATTTCGCCGCCCAGCAATGGATCAACGCCAAGGTCGCGCCATGTTTCCTTGATAGATGCCCAAGTGATAAGATACCCGAAATTGAGCAGGGTATGCGTGTCCCTGAAAGTATTCAGCAATATCCCTTGTCTGCACTTCTTCGCGAGCAAAGGCATCCATGAGAGGTCTTGGCTTCCAGAAGAGCAGCCATGACCACCATAGGTCCATGATGAGGTAGAGGTTTTGCCGCCAGCCGAGGTTCCAAGGGCTTTTGTCATCATATTTGGTTTCCCAAATATCGACGCCCTCTTCTGTGCAGATATGTACTTCTCCATCGTCTTCTCCTTGAGAGTGACATTATGAAGACCAAGCCGTCCCCAGAATTGAGGGTGATGCCGAGGGTGTGGATGAAGAAAGGACCAATGCACACCAGAATGGCAGCATGACTGTTGCCGTGCTGGTACGAATCGGCTTTGGGATAGCCCAGGAAGCGACAATCAAGCAAAATAATTGATGAATGGCCATGAATACAATCATAAGTAAACATGGCTTGAGATTGTGGAGCCAAACCTGACCAACCCAGAACTCGCAGGTGTGCTCGAGCATGAGGAGACACTTATTACGGTGCCTACTGTGGTAGTGACGGCCTCCACGAACATTTTGCAAGGAACGCGGAATGGTCTCGAAGTTGTGTCGGGACCGGAGACTTGCATGACGGCCTGTTCTGGTGGCGCAACGAGCTTCCAGCGCGGAGCAACCCAGCAATATGAGTACTGACAATATGCGAGGAGAATAAGCCAGGGGAGCCCGGTCAGGATGAGGAAGGTCCAGAGGATGACTGCTGTTTCGTAGTGCCACTTCTTGGGGTTTCCGTAAACCGAGATCTTCTTCGGCACAGTCTACGAAGACACTCGTATATATTAGTAACCGCGATTTGAAGCACAACTGATGCATTGGGTCGGGATGCTTGCATTGCTTACTGGCAAGCTCATAGCCGATGAGCCAAGGTGAGAGAACCGCTTGCGCGAGGAGGAAGCAGATGGTGAAGCAGAAGTAGTACTGCCAGTCTTCCATGATGGGGAAGAGGGCTTGAGGAAATGACGAAAGTTGCAACGAATAAAGGCAGGAGAGAGCCGTTCGCTGCGGTCGTCGAGCGTGATAAAGCTGGAGGGCAAGAGTGGAAGTGAGCGCAACGATGAATTTACAACAAGGCTTGACATGACAACAGTGACCGCAAAAGGTAGGCGCAACGCCGACAACACGTAAACAAAGCTCACTTTCCACCTTCCTCGAACGATTCTGGCGGCTACAATGACGTGCGGAAGTAACAGCCACGCGTGATGGACCTTGAGGAAGCTGCAGCGAGCTGCTCGGTGAACCCAGAGGGCTGGCATTATTATTAGATACTACCTGAAGGGGTGCATCAACGCCATGCTAAACATAACAATGCAGAGGTATCTTAGGCAAAGGAAAAATGGTCTACTCAAATGCGCGTCCAGACGTCCTATCGCCCGCGGCCCATGCCTAGACCTGTCATGCGACCACCACCAGCGTTCAAGCTCTGTCGTACAATCATCTCTGCGGCCTGCGCAGCGGCGAGTCGCTCCTGTTGAGTTTGTCAGTACCCGCGCTCTCAACACAAGCCGCATGTAACATACCTTCTGCCTGCTCCGGTCCTTTAGGTACCTCTCAGCTTCTGGCCTCATTCTCAGTATCCTCAGAATCATATCGTCATTCGGCTCAGCCTGTGCTTCCTTCCTCTTCTCCTCCTTCGCCTTTTTCATCGTACCCAGGTTCCTGCTCAGCATGATCGTCTTGTGCTTGCGTGTCGGCATACCCACAAGCCCTGCAGCACCGCCAAATTGGTGACCCATAGCAGGCGGTGCAGACTGCCTGTTCAATCTGGCTGCTGTCTCCTGTTGTCTGCGAGCGCTGGCACCGGCCATGGCCTCGCTAGTGCGGATGAGGTCTTCTGTGGACTCGAAGTAGAAGAAGTTGAGGTTTTGAAGTTCGTGGTACTTGGGCGATTTGAGGACGTCCATAGGTACACCGTCGACATTGCCGTCTTCATCAGCCGCGTGGAAGAAGTCGAAGAGTAGCTTGAGCCACTTGAAGACAATGTCGAGCTCCTGTTGGGTCAGTGGGCGCTGCTGAGACAGCTTGTCGGAGAGGGGCGGGACGAGCAATGACTCTATCGTTGCTAGCGCTTCCTTCCATAGACGAGTCATGACCATGATCATAGCAGCATCTGTAAGGGTCTGCTTCATGATGGCGAAGTTCTCGTCGAAGTATCTGAACAGAGGGTCAAGGGCTTGTGTGACGTCCTGTTGCGTGGGACCTTGGATGACGGACTGCGGTCGGGCTGCACGGAAGTAGTTTGTGACTGATGTTACAGAGATTCCTCGGTTCAGTAAGGCTTTCAGCGTACGTCGAGAAAGGGTGTGATTGATGAAAGACGAGAGCTAGATCTGTCAGTGGATGCAACTTGAAGAACGGAGTGTGTGCATTACCTTGTCTGTGATCTTCCGTGTCATGTCTCGCTCAGTCCTCTTAAGTGTCCTGAACGACTTGCCGAAATAGAACTGGATGTCATCTCGCTCGCCTTCCATACTCACACGCAACAGCAAGCGACCTTGAGTGTCAAGGTCTAGCCAGTACTCGCGCGGCATGTAGTCTCTGAAGTGCGAGGGGTCTAGCTTGAGCGAGGTTCGACCAACACAATCATGATCACCGAGCGTGTCCCAATCCCAGATGGTAGCAACAATGTTGAGCGGCCCGTTCGTGGTGATGTCGATCGTTTCATCCCACCGTGGGTTCAGGTTGCCATAGATGACTCGTGTCTTCGCAAGGCGCTTCTGGTACTCATCACCGAGGACGACATATGGATCACTAAGACCGTTCATATCACACGCCTTGAGGTCCTCCGCTTCGATGATCTTAATTGTGAAGACGAAGTTGTTGTTTCGAATGCGTTGAGTTGGAGGAGGCGCGTACTTCTGGATGACTTCTGCACAGGCATCCACTCCAATCTCGCGCTCCAGCTTATCGAGCTGTTGCATTGCGTATTCGATGTTGTTGAGCTTGACGAGAGACTATGACAATCAGCATGTAGACACACTCTGCGATTCTGAAACTTACCTCAGGCCAGAACTGGAACGGCACAACCGCTTCCTTTTGTGCATACAAATCCTTGGCCATTGATGCCCACTGTTGTGTTCTCGTCTGACGCGCTGCAGCTTCTTGCTCTGGTGTCAACCGGTCCATTTCCCTCGCGAACTTTTGTTCGACAAGATCGCAGTACCTAGCAAGCGCAAGACCGATTGACTTTGATACGGCTGTCATGAACTTGGCATACTGTAGGTCATCGTCCCAGTTCAACCCTACAATCTGCTCAATACTCTGGTTGAAGGATCGGAAAATGTCTACAACTGAGATACTGTGTCGTTCGTCATCGGCAGGAACAGGGTTTTGTGACTGGATCTGAAACTGATCCACCTTGAAAGCATTGTCGACCCAACCTATGAGGTTCGAATCGGTCATCTCGATCCAACGCCAGACGAATTCCTGCAGCAGACCCTCGATGTTGAATGCAAAGCGTCGATTCGGCAGAGCATCGCTGTGTATGCGACGGATCTCGACCATCTCTTTGTAGAGATCGAACCCATCTTGCACCGGTACGTCTTCGCCCTTGGAGTGAGCCACGTCCATGATGCGTGAGACTATGTCCCTCGCATCTGTCGCGTATGCTGGAAACATCTCTTCGACTAAACACATCATCGGGCTGACACCCATAATCTCGGGTGTTTTGCGGTATCGCTTCTGGATCTTCTCACATAGCTTCACCACTGCGCGTCCTAGCTCGATGACATGATAGAATTCCCAATCCTCCTTGGTGTCAGGAATGTTCTTAGCCAGCATTTCTCCATACACGTCACCTGATTTCCGTCGAAGTGCCTGCCGCAATTGCTCTGTAAACTGGTTGAGATCTTCGTCGGGCGCATCGAAAATGGGATCTTCATAAATGTGGCTCGTGATGATGTACATGATAGGTCCTAGCGGTGGCGCTTTGGTGTCGTAAACGAACATCATCAGCTCGAAGAGCTCACGAAGTAGCGCATCATGCAGTGATGATAGAATCTGTTGGTTGAGCAAAAAGTCGTGTACGGTCCATTTCGAGCGATCTGATAGTACATCGGGTACTGGCATCTGCATCATGCTCATCCTGTTTGACTTCTTGTCGGTTGGTGGTGGCTCCTTCACATAATTGAACGCAGCATCCAGAGTGTCAAGGTCCAGCTCTTGGTCGAGATACTTTTCTCGAATGACATCCAGGTACAGCATGAAACGCGAAGGCTGAGGCAATCTCCACCTGAACGCGATCTCATTAAGTAGATCGTGTGACTGTTTAGAGAGCAATCCGGTATACTCAGTAGCTCCTTCGTTGTGTTTTGCATCGGCTAGATCATACGTAAGGGCCTCCTTGACGATAGCGCGGTAGTAGCTGCGAGGGTCGGACGGAATGAAGGTATACGATTCGTCACCGTTCGCCAGGTCGTCGCGCATACTGAGTCCGTCCATCGCTTGATCAAGGCCGTATGCTGCGCCACTTTCAGAAGATTGCGAGCCTTGCCTTGAGCCTAGGTCAACTGATGCGTTGTGGGACCTGAGCTGCGCCGCGGCACCATGTGACGAGCTCTTTGCTAAATCTGGGTTTGCTTGCAGGAGTTCCATAATCAAGCGCGAAAGCTCGGGTGTTTCTTGATTCTTCCACAGCTCGTATGCTTCCTCTGATTCAAAGTCGCCCATATTCAGCGTCTTCTTTGTCATCAGACTCAGGTTGGTCTGGTATGTTTTGAGATCTTGCAACGCTGCCTTCTCTGTCCAGGAGTCTTTGTATCTGGTAACGTCTGCCTGAACGTCGGAGTAAGACACAGAGAAGATTCGCGAGACAATCAAGACAAGCGGCATGTCTTTGACCTCGTAAGACCGTTCCACTAGCACCTCAATTGTTGTGCCACCTTGCCCACCGTTGCGCTGGCTCTCGGCTGTCAGATCTTGGTCGTGCACCAACAGCTTCTTTTCCATGGTCTGGAGTCGCTGCAGCAATTCGGGCCGGTCTCGCTGCCAGTCGTGGTCCCTCAGCGTCGAGCTGATCAGGCGGATGAAGAGGGCCAAGTGTCGGTCCACCATAAGCTTATAGCTATCGTCCCCCAGCTGCTTGCCTCTCTGCATCTCCTTTGTGGCATTCGAGAAGAACATCAGGACCAAACCCTCTACCTTCCTGTCCTGTTCCATGTTCCTCCTGGCTTGCGGCTCCTTGAAGGCATTCAAGAACACGGCGAATGTACGCTTGACCGCAGGGTCCCTGAACTCAGGCATCTTCTCTGTGCCCATCAGAACCTTTGTCATGCGCTTCTCCAGCTCTCCCATGAAACCATGTGGGAACTTGGTACTCTTGGAGTCGCGTATCGAAGCAATTTCTGATATGACGTTGGCGGCAGTGGTAGTCGAGACGCGCTGGACTGGCTTTGGTGCGGGCACGTGCTGGACGCGCTTCTGCCGGGGCTGTAGCAGGTAGTGGAGGTAGCCCACGCGGAGGGCATAGAGGTAGGCATCCTGGGCGGAGACGGGGCGCCTGCTCGCGCGCGAGGTTGCCGAACTGTGTCGCTGTAGGCGTTCGCGGGCCTGGACACTGTTTATGCGGCGGTTACTGTAGCGTGTCGAGTCCATGTCGGTGTCGTGGGAGGTGAGGATGCCGTTGGGCGCATATGGATCCCAGGCCGGCGGTCTGCAGCCGTATTCGGGTGGGTGGCAGGCGCAATACGACCAGCAGGGGCGTTCCTTCTCTTTGCAGCTACTCTCACTGCTCTATAGACGACCTTGGGTTATTCAGCGTCGTAGCCACACTTTACCACAACTACGTTGTATGGGATACGAGCTCGAGGGTGTGGCGGGAGCTTCGCCGAATGATGGGAGGCTGCGTCACGTCGGGCATGGAGAGCTGACAACAATCAGGTCATGAAACAGCTTTTTAATTAGCCATCGTCATGGCAATGACACTACTCGACGTGAAAACGCCAGCAATACGATAACAGAGACCCGGAGGAGAGCCGCACTCCCTTTGTTCCTTGCAGCGATCGTTGTGCGCCCTCCCCCCTCGCCTTGTTTACAGTGTTCCAGTTGGTCCCGCACCCATATGCAAGTGCCCAGCATCATGACATTGCACGTGCGCCACACCTCTAGTCCTATGATTGTCTGTGTCAATGCGAACCACCTAACAGCCTTTGCTGCATCGTTGTCAGCCATGTCCGGTATGCTTGCTGCCATGACACCTGTGCGGAAAGGGTACATTCGCCGGCAAGGCTGAAGTGCGGAGGTCGCTGACGCCGACGCACCTGCCGAGCAAACCACCTTCACATGCTCACGTGGCCCTTCTGAAGCGTCAGCAACAACGCACACAACGAACATTCGGCGCACCGAACCCCACCTAGCCTGCCGTAGATTGCAGGCGTGGGACTGTAAATAAGCTTCACGCAGTGTACCTGAAAGCCTCCCAGCCTCGGCACGGCGTTCGCGGGTTGCAAGGCTTGGCTGGTCACTGCATGCCACTGCCAGTGAAGGAGCATGTCACTGTAGTTAGCAGGGAGCTTTCCTACCCCTGAGACCGTCTCTATAAAGGCCCGCGACACGTGCACTCTACGAGTTAAAGCCACACGACACTGCCTCAGACAAGCTCATTCTCACCACCGCAATGGGTTCGCAAAGCCCTACCAATGCGAACGACCGCCCGCGCCTGACCGAGGCCCAGAAGAAGGAAAACCACATTCGCTCAGAGCAGAAGCGCCGCGAAGCCATCCGCGAAGGCTTCGATCGCCTGGCATCGATCGTACCTGGAATGGAAGGACAAGGACGCAGCGAGGCAGTAGTACTGGAGGCTACAATCAAGTACATGCGCGAGAAGATTGTGGAGCGCCAGAAGACCGTCGCAGATGCGCAGGCACAGGGCATCAACACATCAGCATGGGACTTGCCCAAGGAGACACTGGACGCTTGCGCGGCGCAACTACAAAGGACGAAGAACGAGGAAGCTCAGATGGACGACATCAACGGGAAGAGCTAGGATATGACTTCCCGGAGATGTCTGGACAATCAGACGAGAGAAAAGCTGCATAAAATCTCTGTGAGCATAAGTCCCTGCGCTTGCCAGTCAGTGCACTATGGAGAGTGTAACAAAAGAGCCCGAGAACACGTTGTACATAACGACAAGTCTTGGCTGGCCATGCGTTTCTACGAGTCTGCAAACTTGTGGAAGGCTTGCAGGCTGTATCATTATCCGGCGACATGCGTCGCACAGTGGCTACGGCGGGCTACCAACGACCTTCACCAGAGCACGGACCGCAACCCTTATCGATAAGCTTTGCACAAAAATGTTCCCCACGTTCACATGCATGTCACGCGCCTTGCTCAGACCTTACACATACACAAGATGGCTTTCAGCTTCGGCTTCTCTGGCGATGACATAGAAGAGGACCCAAATGACGTCTTGCCTCAGACGCAGGAAACAAGTGTTCCTGGCGCCGATGTACCGCCACCAATTGAAGCCAGAGCACATGACCTAGACGAGCTGGTATGTAGACAATCTTGAAACAACAATCAATGAACAGGTCCAAATTTTGCATGTCAAATCGTCGAGGTTATACAGTACTGACCTCAACCAGCTGTCCAGCCTCCCAGACAAACTCTCCTTTTCGAACCTGACCCTCACATCTCCCAAAGGCTTCACCACCCGGCTCCCTCGCCGCGAAATCTTCGATGTGCGCGTGCAAATCATGGCCGAAGACGACGGCTCCTCAGAAAACGTGCTGGCCGGTCTCGAAAACACTGATCTCCAAACCAACATCTACGAAGGCGGGTACAAGACCTGGGAATGCAGTCTCGACCTCGTCAAATTCCTGCTCGACCGTGGACCGCGCAAAGACCTGGACGACATGGTCAGGGTGAATCATGTTGTGGAGCTGGGTTGTGGGAGTGCGGTACCGTCGTTATTGCTTTTCCAGTACGCCTTGAAGAACCAATTGTCTATGGTATTCACCTTGGCGGATTACAACGCAGATGTCATACGCCTCGTCACCCTACCCAACCTCGTTCTCGCATGGGCAGCTACTTTATCACCAGAAGACAGCGCAAAGCTGCTACCAGATGGCAATCCCTTACTCGACACAGAAGAGGAGCACGGTGATTTGTACCTCACGCCTGAGATTCTCGCAGCGTTCAAGCAGCAACTCCAGTCCACAGGGCTTACTCTCAACCTACTCTCTGGATCTTGGACGCCGACGAACAAGTTCCTGGGCTTCGTCCCTTCGACACCAGAACTCGACACGTTCATACTTGGCTCCGAGACGATCTACTCCCCAGCCTCGCTAACCGCGTTCGCGGAGACGATTTCTGCGCTGATGAGCCGGGTGAAGACGGGCAAGGCGATTGTGGCGGCGAAGAGGGTGTATTTCGGTGTTGGTGGTAGTGTCGATGCGTTTAGAGAGGAGTGTGCGAACCGGGGTGCGGTGGCATATGAAATGGAGTTTGAGGGGTTGGAGACGGGGGGTGTGAGAAGGTGTTTGCTTGAGGTGCAGATGTGCTGATCACAAGAGCAAACATGAGAAGCCATATCAGTTCTTCGGCCGCGAGATATGTCACTATGATGATGATGAGTTTGAGATAAGACTAAGGGTATCTACACACATTCTAGGCCACGGAATTATCCAACAACTCGCGACAGCAGTGCCCCAAACCAACCATAATGCAAGTCACAACATTCAAACCATACTACTTCGCCCTCACAGTCACAGTCGACGCAGGCAACTCCCTCGCACCCCCCTCCTCCCCACCCCTAACCAACCTCCTATATGTCTCGCCCTCGACTCTCATACTTTCTCCCCTGGCCCTCCTCAACCGCTCCACCCCCTTCTCAATCAGATCCAAATGATACGCCATCGGCAGCTCGTCTCTCCACCCCAGGACCTCCGGCGCCGCAACATTCTCCCGTAGGTTCTCCAACTCCGCCTGGATCTCACGTAACTTGATGAGTGTTTCGGAAACGTGGGTGAGTGCCTTCTTGCGGTACGCGGAGATGTTGCGCAGGAGGTGGAGTTGCTTGTTGTGAGTTCTTACTTTGGAGCTGTTGCCGCCGAGTTTGGTCCAGAGTTGGGCGAGGAGTTCTTCTTGGTTCTTGGTGATGGTTACGTCGTCGTTGGTGGCGATTTGGTAAATGGTGTCAAGTCGCTCGTCGAGGTTTTGGAGTACGGAGAGTAGGGCGACGGCGGTGTCGATGAGTTTAGTGATTTCTTCCTTGTTCTTGGTCACGTGAAGGAGGTACTGGTTAAAGAGGCGTTGTTGGAGTGTTGGTGGTGGGGCGATGAAGGGTCGCGTTAGGGCGCCGTAGACGCGGTCGAGTGCGCCGTAGGATGCTTCTTGCTCAGAGATGCCGGAGAGGACTGCCATTGTCCAGGTGTTTGTTGCAATAATGCGATCCGTGGTTGCGCCGATGCGGGAGTTGAAGCGGGAGAGGTCCATGGAGGCTTCGTTGGCTGCAAGCACGAAATTCTCAAATTCTAGGTCGAGCTGATGCCGCGAGGGCAGTCGAGAGTGGCGGACTAGGGTGCGCAGGTCGCGTATGGCGATTTCAGAGTCCTTGATGGTGGACGGGAGCGTTGAACTATCTTTCGCTGCATCCAAAATCTCCTCCAGACCTGATTGTGCATCCAGCAGACCTTCGAAGTCTACTCGCGGGTCGTCGTAGGACCTTGTCGCACAGAATGGTACAACGTAGGATGAACCAGGGATGAGACAGACTGGTGACAGAGCGACTGTCAGCCCAGAGCGGAAAGAGCCAACAGCCCACTGGACGCTGAATACGAGCACCATTACGGCGAGTGCAAGACCAAAGAAAGGTTGCAGATTGCCCATTGCGTGACCGACTACGCCAATGAGGTAGCGGACTACAGGAAACACAAAGTTATCGTAGAGTAGACTGAGATAGTGCACGATAGTCGGACTTTGTTGTTGTTCAGCAGGCGTGGGTTTTGGCTGGGTCCTCGTCGTTGAAGCGGAAGTGTACGATGTGGAAGAGCGATCAGAAGTCCGCAGATGTGGAGTCTCATTCCGTACGTTCCTGCTGCGAACTTGCGACCTACGCGATGGAGAGCCGTTCAATGAATGTACTGAGCTTTCCAATTGAGGCATAATAAAGCTGGGCCCCGTTCGTTCGGATTGCGTCTGGGGTTCGGCTGGCTTTGACGGTCGTGGAGTCCGCTCAATGTCAGACGATCTCAGGCTCCTGGCTATGGTCTCCTGTGGAAGGGGCTCAGACAACGGGCTTTGTTCTTGAGCGGAAGACGGTAGACTGACATGCTCCTCTTGCGCGACTTCATTGTCTGAGGGCTCAAGTTCAATCTCACTGTGATTAGCAGTAGAGGCGCCGTCGGTCGAATAGTTAGTATCATCCCAGCTGTCACCGAGACTCGCTCTGAGCTTCTTTCGCGAAGCCTTGCTGCCCTTAGCCATGCTTGGAATTGGAAGAAGTGGAAGGAGTATCTGGTGTGGGCTGTTGTCTTTGTTGGTAGGATATGCGTTTGGAAGCGGTCGGCGTGCTATTGTGTGGGATATGCACTAGGAATGTTTGGAGCTCTCAAGAGTAAAATAAACAACAACAAAGCAAGAGTAACAATGGGATAGAGTTTGGTGTAGGAGGCTAGAGTGAAGTGCTGCCGCCACTACACATACATCTTGTGACGTAGCTGCCTGCCAATCAGGCTTCACCAAGCAACACGACGTCCTATCGTCGAGCCTAATCCATGGAAACAGTCAATTGTGGAAGCAGCCGACAACTTCATGAACCACCTTCTTTGCAGGGTCTTCTTTCGAGATGTGTGTCAACATAGTGAAGGACCGGGCCGCACGGTGCCGGAGCTCAAAAAAGCCCCAATTGCTGTGGCTAGTGAATGCCAAGGCGCCAGCTCGGAAAGTGCAGCTCTGACCTCAGCAGCCCACGTGAAGCTTGCCAGTCTTCCTAATGCCACCAGCATTACGTCCAGCATTGCGAGTTCCATTGCGCCAGCTTTGGAGTCGCCAGCATGTTAGGACACCTTTCCGAAGCTGTTCGTGCTCGGCGCCGCACCAACTCCAAGCCTCGGTGAAGCTATCCTCGTCTGAAGCACATCTTGATACAACGGGTACAGGTGCTGCACTACCTACGCCCCCTCTCGACCACCGCACGCTCGCAGCGACGCACAATCTTTTCATAACGTCACCCTACAGTCCTGGCTCGCCACTCATCCTTCCCAACGGCGCGTATGTCTTCCAGAAGCTGCAGGCCTTCCTGCGTGCGCAATACCCACAGTTCGGCTTCCAAGAGGTCATCACACCCATAATATACAAGAAGTCGCTATGGGAGAAGTCAGGTCATTGGCAGAACTATGCCGAAGACATGTTCAGCGTAGAAGGGAGGGACAAGAAGGGCGAGGAGGAAGAAGAGTTCGGCCTGAAGCCCATGAACTGCCCCGGCCATTGTCTGCTGTTCAGCACCGATATCAAGAGCTACCGTGACCTCCCTGTTCGACTCGCCGACTTCAGCGCGCTTCACAGAAACGAGATATCAGGGTCGTTGACTGGCTTGACCAGGGTACGGAGGTTCCACCAGGATGATGCTCACATCTTCTGTCGCCCCGATCAGATCCTGGCCGAAATTGAGCAGACGCTGAAGTTCGTCGGTATGGTGTATGAGACATTCGGTCTGGGTCCGTACAAGCTGCTTCTGTCCACACGGCCGAAGGACAGCTTCATTGGCAACATCGAAGAGTGGGACAGGGCTGAAGCACAGTTGACCACCGCGCTGAACAACATTGGTGGCGAGTGGGCGATCAATGAAGGCGATGGCGCATTCTACGGACCCAAGATCGATATCATCCTGAAGGACTCGAACGGCAAGGAGCACCAGACTGCGACCATCCAGCTCGACTTCCAGCTGCCACAGCGTTTCGACCTACAGTACCAGGCCTCACCAGAAGAATTGGAGGCAGGCTCGACATCGTCGATGGATGCTGGCCTTGACCCAGCCTACCGTCGTCCAGTCATCGTCCACCGCGCCATCTACGGGTCTATCGAGCGCTTCATGGCCTTGCTCATCGAGCACTATGCGGGCAAATATCCCTTCTGGTTGTCCCCGCGGCCGGCCATTGTTCTGTCGCTCAACTCCGACCCTGCCGTCCTGGACCATGTCTCTCGCATACAGTCCGTGCTCTCCGGAGTGCAGTCGCACGAGGCGCCGACGCCCAACCCTTCATCAGCGCCCAAGCCACTGCCGCTGTCGAATATCCACTTGCCGATCGATATCGACACCACTAACCGGCCACTCGGCAAGAAGATCGCCGATGCCAGATCCAAGAGGTACAACCACATCATCGTAGTAGGTAAAAGAGACGTCGATGGTGGTGGCATGAATATGCAGATAGTAAATCAGCCTGCTGAAGAAGCAGCTGTGAGGGTGTTGGAGGAGGCTCTTGGCCGACAGCTCTCAGAAGCAGACAAATCGAAGAAGCAGGCTAGCATGGACCTGAGTGGCGCGAGAAAGTACTTCGAGAGTCTGGTCACTTCTTACTTGTAAGATCAATAGGCATGTACAAGCTGTATACTATGTATGATTTGGGTCTTTAGGGAGCACAGTATATCGTAGTGGCGAGAGCGAGACCGAGGCTTCGGATGGCTCCTACCGAGTCTTAGCATTGCTTTGTCTTCATGACCCTTGCCATCTGCTCACTCGTCGGTGTATGTTTTCATTCTTCCGAAGCTCTGAAGTCCTACACCTTAAGTAGTATTTACATGTGTCTCGTGGGAGATCCTCAGGGACATGGCAAGCTCCCGCTTTCGGAGAGTCCCGCTTCTGTTGGCCGGTCAGCCGTCCTAGCGTTGACGATCTGAAGTCGCGACCTGTCACAGACCCGCAAACCCCTGCCAAGGCCCAGCCCCGGCAACATTTTTCACTTGCCGTTCTGATCCGAGTCGAACGACGCGTGCGCGCATTTGATCTAATCTGATAAACGAGATGGCAAATTACATTTTCTCTTCAAACAAACACCTTTGCCGCTGTCGCCGCTCTCTCGAGTTCTTGTACATCGACACCGACCCGCACAGGAGCCTGCCTTGAGCCATGGACGTCGCACTTGAGCTTCTCGACCCCCTTGTTTTCGACAAGGCGTATGCCTGGGCCTTACCGCACCCTGGAGCCGGCTTCAGCAATTCCTCAGATGTGAACACCCTCCTGGCCGCGGATGCGGCGCCAATGTCTCTTTGGGACCGCGACAACATCTACCGCCAATGCATATCAATTCTTCTGATCACGCAAATCGGCGCAAGCGCCCTCTACTTTATTTTCAGCGCATTGTCGTACTACTTAATTTTCGATCGACGTCTGGAATATCACCCTAGATTCCTCAAGAATCAAGTGCGCCAAGAGATCAAGTCATCAATGACGGCTATTCCATTCATCAATATCTTGACTCTGCCCTGGTTCCTGGGTGAGGTTCGCGGTTACAGCTTGTTGTACGGCGATGAAAAGAGCTATGGATGGGCCTGGCTTGCCATCTCGTCGGTTCTGTACATGGCCTTCAACGACATTGCCATCTACTGGATCCACCGCCTGGAACACTACCCGAGCGTGTACAAGTACATTCACAAGCCACATCACAAGTGGATTGGTCAGTGCACTCTACTACATTTTCAAAAGACGAATGCTGACTCCATGATAGTTCCCACACCATGGGCTGCGCTAGCTTTCCACCCTCTCGACGGCTACGTACAGTCGTTGCCGTACCAGTAAGCATTACTTACATCCACCACGCTACCTGCATTACTAATACGTGACCAGTGTCTTTGTCTTCGTCTGTCCTATGAACAGATACTTGTACCTGGTTCTCTTCGTCGCCGTGCAACTCTGGACCATCTTCATTCATGACGGCGATATGATCTCTGGCCACTGGACAGAGAAGTTCATCAACAGCCCCGCTCACCACACGCTGCACCACATGTACTTTACTGTCAACTACGGCCAGTACTTCACTTGGTGCGACAACTACTTCGACTCGCACCGCGCACCCAGGCCTGAGCTTGACCCTATCCACGATGCCCTCAAGGTCATGAGGGCAAAGGGGCTGGTCGATGAGGCGGGCAACCCGATTGCGAAGCCGAAGAAGGAGTAAAAGCGTTGTCACATCTTTGTGTTGTTGTGTTGATGCATGCAGAGCGGACTTTCCTTGCATTTCCGGCGTTCTTTAGACTTTTATGATCATCACGATCATGCATATTCGGTACATAATGTTAATAAATCACTCCCCAAACGCGGACTGAGCGTCGTAAAGACGCGACCGCCTTCAAAACACATGATTGATTTTCGTCCTATTGCGCATGTGTACAAAGTACGTCAAGCAGGGTTGGAGTGAGGCTGAGAGGGCGGCCGCAGATGTTGCCCAGATAAGTGGCAGGGAGGCGCGGCGCTACCGGGATAAGTCCGTCCGCAGCTGCCTGTCCGTTCAACGCTCCCTTAACCTCAGCCTGGCACTTTTCGCTGCATCTTTATCAGAATGCATACACCTTCCCTACTATTATCATCGCCCTATATTGTTCTTTCATTGTCGCACGATAGCGCGTGTCCCCAGGGACTGGCGCGGGCCCACATAGCGTACCGTGCAGTAGGAGCTGGCCGAAAAGACGCCGTGAATACCTGAACGATCGACGTCATGGCGCACGATGCGGAAAGCTTTACAGCTCTTCGAGACTCCCTACGCGATAGCCTCCGCATGCTGTCATGTGTTCCTAAGCTGGACGATAAAGGGATCATTACGGAAAAAGTTGAGCAACGTTTCTTCCCGGCCGGCACCGCCAAGATTGTCCTCACACACAGCAAGCTTCGTCGACTGTTCAAATTCGTGGCAGACGCCGTATTGGCATCTAGGTTGCAGCCTGAACAGTTGGCTCAGGAAGCCAGTGATGAGACAATATGCAACTTTCTTGCCATCCTGGTGTTTTCAAAATGCGATCTCGAGGCCTTCGTTAGTTTCACGCTGAAGCTGGTGGTACCTCATGGTTCGATTCATCACCCACTAACCCTACCAATTGAAGATCGAAGCATCTTGGCTTCTATTCTGAACAGCCAGTTCGCGGCGGAGGATTTCTATGAACACCAGTTTGCTTTCTTCGCACCCATCCTTGAGAAACATAAGGAGATCAAGAGCAGCTATCGACGTTTGCCTTACTTGCAGGAGAAGTTGATCGGCCAAGGATCTTTTGGGAAGATCTACAAAGTCACGGTAAGTCAGATCGTACCTAACAGTCAAAGGTTGTGCCGAACACCCAGAGCGCGGCACATTTTCACGTGGTCGTTCCAACACAAATTGATACTCGCTGACTTTGTTCACACACAGATCTCTCCAGGCCACTATCGGTATGACGATTTGTTCACGAACGATCGCAAACTGGTACTGGCTCGAAAGGACTTTGTACTCGACTCAAAAGACAAGGCACATGAAAAAGAACGCGACGTGATACGGGAGATCGTTGGAAATGCTAAGAAGCATGACAACATTGTCGAGAATTGGGGAAGCCTTCAAATTGGTTCGACATACTCCCTGTTCATGGACTTGGCAGAGTGCGATCTGAAACAATACATGATCAACAACCCAAACGCGCCGGACTCTTTCGAGGCTAAAGCCGATCTCCTTCATTGCGCAGTGGGCTTAGCTGGAGCCATTGCCTATCTCCACGAAGACCTTGAATCATCAACATTCGAAAGGCTCTCATGCTTTCACATGGATTTGAAACCCCAAAATATATTGGTCGTGCTCGATTCGAAGGGCAAACCACAATGGAAGTTATCGGATTTCAATATGTCGCGCGTCAAGCGACTACGCACTGACGAACATTTCTCATTAAGGCGCAGAGGGACGTTTAATCAGGTTTTGGATATCAACAAGCTATTCAAACGCACAGTCCCCGATACCTCGGACCCTGCCACGACTGACTATACCATCAACCGGCGTGGTTTTGGAACGTACCTAGCTCCAGAAGCTTGCGTAGGCAACGCAGTCTATGCTGAGGGCGACACATGGTCTTTGGGCTGTGTAATTGTTGTTGTGTTCTCGTATCTCTATGGAGGACAGACAGCGGTCACAAGGTTCAGTGACCTGAGAGCGAAACAAGGTTTCGACGCTTTCTTCACATTCGCGAACACGCGATCGCAACACAAGCTGAGCGATGCTCGAAATAGCGACGCTGTGGGGACCTGGCTCCAAGAGCTACGGTTTAAGACAGCGAAGCGACACGCTAGAGAGGGCCTCATATTCGATACTATGTTAGGTTTTCTCGAAAGGGAAGTCTTGATTATTGATCCTACAAGTCGGCAGCAGACCACAGCCCGCGATATCAAACAGAAGTTACTAGATGCCTGCAACGCGTACAGGGCCGTTGAGAGCACCCGTGTTGAGTCCCCAAAGACTCCCAAACATCGCTTCCGCTTAGCCTCCGTCTTCAGTACCAAGAAGCAGTCAACACTCAGCAGTCATCTACATCAATCCGTCTGGAGATTGCCACCATTATCGGGGTCCTGGAGAAATTGCGTGTTTGGGCCGCACGCGGAGCCCTTTGTTTGCGTCACAGATTCGTCTCTGGTCGCCTACTCGCTGGGTCATGTCTTATTGACAGATGAACCCAACGATCTTATCAAGCTTGGTGCTGTCGCTCCATTGAATGCAAGACGCTTATGGAGCGGCAACGTTGCAGCCTCTGCCCAATTCGTTATAGCAGTGACAGACCATGAGAGTTTCGACGTAAGCCTCCCCCTATGTTTTCATAACAAAGTACCTGACCACATTATGTAGTGCTATATCTATCACATACCACAGCCTGATTCGGCTACAAGCAAACTAGAACTTGTGGCTCATTGGGAGCTAGAGCTTCCAAGGATCCGGAAAGTTGCCATTTCTCCAGACGCTCGATACGCGGCATTCGTACTGAATACAGATCCTATCACTGGAGAAGATGCACCTCTGCATATTGTTTCATTAAACTGGCTTCAAGTGGCAGGGAATAATCAGTAAGTCTTTTAGAGCGCCAGGCTACAAACGTCGGACGGCTTTACTCACATTGCCTAGGAAATTGCATTCTATGGTGTCATCCTCGTCCGAATCAAGTTCGACGGCCAGTACTCCGTTGGGTCGTCCGCTGTCACTTCCGTGTCCTGCAGAGGATGTCCGCGACTTATCTTTCTCTGCAGTTGGTGGTCTCTACGCAGTAGTGAAACCTACGTACATCAAGCCCAAGCAAGAGTACGCCATGACTGTTTTTTCGTGGCATATAGAGTCGGGAAGGCCATTGCCGCTTCCGCGCAGTAAGATCTCGCACGACGTGAGTTTTACAACCCCCGTTTTGTCATGATGACTGACCGTAAATGTTAGGGTAAAGATGACCTTTTACATCGTTTGTTCACGTCATTTGCTCCCTACAATACGAGTATGGCATTCACCGTCATCTCTCAGGAGAAACGCGTTATCTCACGTGCATGGGATCCTAAGATCTTCAAACAGAGTCGGGCACAAAGTTGCCGTCTTATGAAGATACTCATGGACAACAACGATCGCAACATTCTGGCCATTGGGACCAAGCAGGCCAACGACGAACTGCAACTGTTTACATTTCCGACTTCAACAACGCAAGAAGAGTTCCAGCCTGATGGAGTAGCTTCACTGCCTGGCATGAAATACGGTTCCAAATTTGCAGCCGCCTTTGCCAGTCAACTGACGCAATCACGGGAACGGCGTTATGTCTTAGTTTCTTCCATTGACGACAACGTCATACGTGTCATTCGGACTTATCTGGATGCTCCCTAGCATCTTTCCCACAAAGTGGCCCAAGTCTCCACATCTAGGCGCGGGCACACTGAGCATTCTTTTCTATATCTGTGCCACTTCTGCTCAAGCTAGGTGGTACGTGAGTGGTCACTGACTCTGCCGGGATACCCTTACTGCGAGTCTCCGATGGTCTCGCCATCAGATAATACAGCATCATCGTCAACGTAGTTATGCCCGCAGCAGTTGCGAAAAAGATCCAAATCTGTGGCGACACCTTCAAATGTCGTGTATTCTGGTCCAATTCGAAGAACTCCATACCGAATATGCCCTGAGACACGTTATCAATACCGAATGACAGCAACCCAAGGGTCCAACGTACCGTTAGCAACGTCCATGGAAGATAGAACAGGGTGATGACGGTGATGAACACGGCGGATCTCGTCAACAGCAACATACTGCTATTCTGCTCCTGAGCGACACCTTGGTTTCGAAACGCAAGCGTATCCGCCAGGAGCTTTGCCGCGCCATCGCTGCGTTGCTGCAGGAAAAGCGCTGTGCGTACGTAAGTCTGACAGTACTGTCTCACGCTTCGAAGATGGAATGCTGCTTGCCCCTGATCGTTCGTTTGCACATGGGCTCTATCCAACAAAGCGCTACCCAGCATTTCGAGTCCAGTGACCACCTCTTCAAAGCTTGTCAGAATGGCACGCAGAGGAAGAAATTTGCTTTCCAGGGATCTGACTCTCGTCAATGTGTCGTAATCAACACGTAACGGCTTGTTGATCATTGTGGCTATCGTGGTGTCTGCCTGAGTAAGGTTAGTAGCACAAACAATGATGAGAGTGCTAGCACTATGCTTACAATTTTCAGCAGCCTCTTCTCGTATTCAGCCAGATACTCTCGCCAACGCATGAAGTATGCAGTATGTGCGACATTATGGATCCATAACGGGTTACAGCTCAGTTCAGATTGATACTTTGAAAGGCTCTCGAACACTCGACGATGTGCCACCGAATCTGGGACTGCGTTGATCAAGAATATCAACGACTTCTTTTGCGCCAAGCTGTACTTCTGATATACGCCTGCTTGGCGGATGACCCAGGGTTCGTTCAGTAATTCTTCTCTGCGTTCGGCGTACCGAAATGTGTAGAAGACCTCTGCAATGCTGTCAGCCGTACAATCGTGGAGATCAGCAACAACGGATGTACCAAAAGTCGATGCATCTTCCCTTATTGTCCAAGGTACGCAAAAGCTCTGTTCTTCGTCTGTACGGCGGCCGAAGAAGCTCAGAGGAACATCTAGAAAACCGGCGTTGATGCCATGATGTTCCATCAACCTTTTCAGCATAGATTTTGTTATCTGTAGCTTTGACCATGAGCTGCTTTGGCAGACGGATCTGGAAAGTGAGTCAGTCACCTCATGTTAGACGATCTCTACTCCACACTCACATTAGCCGCACATGGTACTCAGAGCTGTCTTGGCCGACGAGACATTCTTCCAGAGCTTTCAGGTTAGTACAATGAGTGATTCTCAGTGGTACTGAGTTCTGCGATTGCTTGGCAACAGTTGGCACATCCACGATATGGACTGGTTGCAACAGTTCTGGACCGGATTCGAAACAGTTTTGTGAGTTGTCAAGACGATCCCAATGGAAGCTCGCATTTGCTAAAAATGCCTCCATCTCGTGCGTCATAGTTTAGTTCAAAGAGGATTTCTCAGCGCTATGTACGTGCAGATAAATGTCAAATTATTAAAGCTGAAGCTGACGCTCAAATAGGTATAGTGATGCGCAACAATAACACGGCTATACAGTTGTGCGCCCCATGGTGTGTCAGGCGCATTCGTGCGCAGCCACCCCGGTTTCACGAGCACATTGTCTGCCTTCTCAATGCGATCCAATCATTCGAGTGCACGACTGACATCAGTTAGCCTTTTTACCCGGGTGTCGTTGTGGCAATGGAGATGCATACTCAAGTTCAACCTTCAAGTGCTTTCATCAGTATCTGTTTCGAGAGATGTAGACGGTCCAACTTACATCTGTCACCTCTCGGGGGCCCTCCAGAATCCACTCGTCTTCTCTCATCTACACTGGGCCATCAGCGGAAATGCACTTGGACATTAAACGTTGGTGACGTGCCGTAAGTTTGTAGTTCCCTCTGAACCCAGGCAAGCTGTCAAGCACCTGTTCGAGCCTCTCACGCTTGTAATAGCGCGCTCTGAGGTTCTGCGTACACAAATACACAACCTCTTTGTTTCTACTCTGAAAGATCTAGACAACATATGTCAGCGAAGTAACAGATGCATCTTCTGAGGCTCACTTTTCGCAATGAAAACCCGCAAGACATGGTCAAGGGATGTATTGCCCATTGGCAGGTTGTTTTTTCTATTACTTGCTGAAGTACCCCAGAGTGCCTTATCTGCTCACCGATTGACGACAGCAGCAGGAGCAGCGAGTACGCCTCATCGTGTGCGGGCGGCACAGGAAGATGAACGATTGGTTGACTGCATAGCCCCCACAATATAGTAGGCAAAGTGGGGCCAAGCATGCAGGCAACCGATACGCCTCCCTTGACAGGCTAACCTATTCGAGCATCTTGGAGGCGAGGAGGACCTCGCTGCAGGGAGCTAAGCCTCAGGTTCATGGCAAGGTTGGGCAAGCTTGTTCACACAAATGGCAGCCTAGTCGACCTGATCTCCAACACGTCGTCCAGCGCCAACTCCGTTCCTGCCGACTACGAGGGACGTTTCATGACCACCACTCGTTGTGAAAAGTACTCCAACCATGCCACCTCAGCAAAGTGACAGAGAGTCGCGTGCTGACTGGGTGCCTGACTGGATTCAGACGACATCACCTACAACGAATGTTACGAACGAATATCTAAATCCAGGTCGTTCAACATCAAGATCAGATAACATGCGTCTTTCAGATATCAGTCATGAGCCATCAAGTACCGCTAGCAAGGTCGATGCATCTGACGAAGTCGACGTTGGAGAAGATGATCTTACAGATCTACCAGAAGATGTTTTGGTGATAGAGCGTGACCGTGACAGATCAGTCAAGTATGTGACACATCGTCTACGAAATCATCAAACGTTAATCACAATCCAGTCGACGCCTCGGGGGTATTCACATCTTTGTGAGTTGACTCAAATCCAGCGGCTATGAGCATCTCAGCTAATATATCCAGATGATCACGATTAGTGGGACTCTAGGAGTCGGTCTTTACGTACGCGGCGGTACAATTCTGAGACTCGGTGGACCTGTCGCTGTGCTACTCTCGTTCGCCTTGCTCGGAGCCCTTGCCTGGGGTGTAATGCAGTGCATAGCAGAGATGCTTTGTATCTGGCCCATCTCAGGAGCTCTGAACGTCTATGTTGCTGAATTTGTCGACGCTGAACTAGGTATAGCTGTCGGTGTAGCATACTGGTAAGTTTTGTTCTGTTTGCGCTGAATCTCGTTCTACAAACGTGCAGCATACCGAATGCATGAGGCTCACAGTCAACAGGTACACGTACGCAATCTCTTTTGCAGCTCTCATTGCAGCAAGCGCAGGTATCGCAGAATATTGGCAAACACCTAAAGGGATACAAGGTGGCGTATTGTTCTTCCTGATTCCTGCAGTGCTGGTTCTGATCAATGCTTTCGGTATACGGGTGAGCAGCTCCGAGATCTATGTTATCGACTTACATCGTTGACTGTTTGATAGCTGTACGGACTAGTCGAGGTTATTGGTGGAACATTGAAGCTGTCGTTCCTGGCGGTCATCATTGTCGCCATGATTGCCATCAACCAGGGTGTTGGACCTGGACCAAACCTCGGCACTACGCTTTATCCACCTACAGTCATTGTTCATGACGACGATGCAACAAACAGCTGGGCTCAAGCTTTCTTTGTGAGTTTGTCGGTTGCTGCCTTCGCTTACGTCGGTGTCGAGATCACAGCTGCGTCTGCGCTAGAAGCACGTGTGACGGAAGAACGAAACCCTGAGCAGCCACGTACAATTGGTAGAACTGTGAAGTTCTCAGCCGTGTACATACCTTTCTTAGCTGGCATTGCGTATGTTCTGGCGGGAGTTCTAGTCACACTCAACATCTCGTGGAAAGACGAGAGGCTACCACGCATGAGCTGGGTAACAGGCCCAGAAACAAATCAAACAAATAGCACGGTCGGGTCCACGAACTCGGCTTTTGTGCTCGTAGCCGAAGACAGTCGGATCCCAGGACTAGCAGGGACGATGAACATTTTTCTGATGTTCACTGCTCTCAGTTGCGCCAATACGAACCTCTACGTCGCATCTCGCACACTATTCAGTTTGACTAGGGGTTTGGATGGTGGCTCCAAAGAACCCATATACAAGCGCCTTCTCGCGTACTTTGGAAGAACCAACCGACGACAGGTGCCACTACGAGCCATCATTGCATCTTGTATATTCGCATGGATCCCATTCCTCTACCTGGCAAGTGAGCATGGGCCTGATACGAGCATCGGCACAATTTTGGACGTTCTTTCGGAGATGGGCTCAATCGGTGTCATCATAGTGTGGGCTTGTGAGTGCTGGGCATACATCCGATTCCGTAGCTGGTAAGTCATGTCGGCAAGTTTGGTGAAGTCAAACCACTGACACTCTCCAGTGTCGAGAAGATTAGGAACCGTGAAACCCTCCGCAATATCCCCTACATACGACGCTGGAACCACGGAAGGAACGATCTACCGGATGACTTTCCCTATCGCAGCCATGGCCAGCCGATCACGGCATACGCCTCTCTGTTGGCGTGCCTAATGATCTTGTTCGTTGCCAATGGAGCATCGTTATGGAAGCAATTTCGCATACAGCAATTCCTCGCTGCGTATCTCGCGGTAAGTCACCACTAAGTGTTAGCCGAAAGCCAATTGCTGATGTACTTAGCCTATCTGCTTCCTGCTGCTATGGCTCTTGTTGAAGGTTTTACGAAAAGGCCAGTGGCGCCTGGTAGACTTGTCGAATGGAGAAGAGTTGGCAAGCAAACTCAAGGGTCTACACGAGATTCGCTGGCGCAGTACTGGTAATTCGGATGCAGGACGACCTGGCATTCAAAATCTCTGGGGGCTTCTTTGAGCTTGTTTGGACACTAGGCTGAGGAAAACCAGGTTCTCGTATTAACCTTAGAATGATATCGATGTGTACTAGTCTGAATCCGGCTGCATACAGTCACCATCAGTCAGCACCCTAGCCGCCTGTGACTCAAATCATCGTATACACTTTTCAGATCAATCGCGCATTGTTTTGGCTGTTCGACCTACGCTCTCAAGATTAAGTATCATGTCAAAACCTGCACCGCGCACGCGAGTTGCCTACTTCCGCACATCTTCGACGCCCGAGAGGGGCTACGAGAAGACACGCAAAGATAGAGAGAGATTTCTGGAAACATATGTACGCCAGTCTCAATCACTAGGCATAAATAACGATACGCCTCGTCATTACTTCTACTTCACCGTTTTCACCAAAGATGACCAACAAATCCTTGACATCCTGATCGACAACTTCCCCTCACCTCCCCAGACCCGACCTGAGATATATCGACATCTCATGTGGGGCGTCTTGAAATCCGACATCCACCTCCACACATCATCCGCTTACGCAGAATCCGCCAACGGCCGCAGAACCCTCCAACGCTGCCTCGCCTCAGGCTTCTCGCCAACCGTTCACGACTCCTCAGACATCGACTGCGATAACGACCTCCTCGAGCAATGCGACTACGTTATCGACATCAACTATCTTCCATACCAAGACCTCAATTGGTTCTGGCAGTTTGCGCGTCCCGGAATCCGCCAGGACAACATGCTCAGCAACCCCAAATACCGCGTCAGCCAACACGACATTAGCAAAAAAGGCCTAGCTGGTCGTACCAAGTTCTCAATCTGGGGCCACAACTCCGGATGCTATCATGGAAACTACGATTGGGGTTGTCGAGGCTGTGGGGGGAAGTGTAAGAGGGGGAGGTGTAAGGTTAATCCGCAGCCTGAGAGGGTTGTGCCGGAGACATATAGGCTGCCGGAGAAGGGAAGTACGGACTCGAAGTGGAAGGATTTAACAGCTACAGATGTTTTGTACCGTTATCGACTTCAACATTACCCTCAAGCGCCGGGGAAGTGGCATAAAGGGAGGGATGATTGGGGGAGTGTTGATACGTTTAGTGATGATTGAAGGAATTGATGTTGGAATACGTGGGTTTGGTGGCTGCGTTACATTGAGGGAAGGGAATATGAAGAAAAGTCATGATTGGTGTTGAGACCAGCATTCTGAAGTTGGTTCCCTTGGTGGTTACTCCCTTCTTCATTGTTGCTCCTTCTTGCCCCTACACAGTTCCTTCTTCCGTTGCCCACACTACCTAGCCTCCGGTAATCTGAATACCACACGCGGCCTGAGTGTACTTACTCCGTCGCTTCATTTCCCTTTCACAACGACCTTATTCTATGCTGGGGCCAACATGTCGAAGAAGTCAATGAGCTCTTCGGTATGCAGCTTCGTCGTCCAATCTACAGCACGAATGTAATCAGGGTCAGGCGACCAGTCTCTACTATGTTTGCTCGACGCGCAGTGAAGCAGATAGAGCATTCCAAGTTGCATGCTGATGTGAGCAAGCTCTGTGGTGTCAGTTTCTGCGCGAGTGCTGCTTGTGTGCGGGATAGGTTCCGAGTACAGTAAAGTGTAGCTGCCGTCATCTTCCAGTACAATCTGAAGGAATACAGTCTCCGTGTATGATGTGACGAAGCCGAGGCGTACCCCGAGATGTCGCATGTATCGTGCTGCTTAGCCTACAGTAAATGTAAACAAACATCCCTTAGGCCAAGGACACTTCCAACGTACCGAAGGTGTAACGCATCGAGCCTACTTCCTGCGACTCTGTATCATCCCAGCTTGATTCTTGGATATTGCAGGTTCTATCGAACTCTGTGCCGCCTACCACGCACGCCTTGTACCTACTGTTTTCGAGAGGATGACAGAAGATGGTGATTCGAGGATCTGGGGCTTGACTCTGCACTGTTCTCGGGGTTGGTCAAGGTTTTGGTGACTCCGGAGACGCGGTCCATATCCTATTCCATGCACCTTCCGAACAAACCAAACAGACTGCCAATCTCCACGCCTCCCACGATGTTTGGATTCATTACTGCAAGACGGCTGTGATCAATATCAACGATTAGATGCTGACAGCGAGTGAAGGCGGCTTGCAGTTCGGTAGATTTGTAAAAGATAACCGACGTCGTGCTTGAAGTTTTTCCATGGACGGAGCACGCCAGTGAAAATACCGCGCGCATCGGCTAAGGCGTCGTGATTGTAACTCTGTCCCGTCTGCAGATCTTGCAGTCGTGCGTTAATATATGTCTGAGCGTTCTGGTGCATAGAATTCTCCGTAGACAAAAAGGCGCACACAGGTTGAAAAGCTGTAAAAATTAGGTGCTTAAGGCAAAAGAAGACAGGTAAAAGACAATTTGCTTGGCGTGACTAGCACGTGTTTGAAAGCCAACGGAACAAACACCAACACAACAAACACAAATGTCGGAAAGTCAACAGTTAGGCACTGCGCCAGAGTGACTCCCTGGCCGCGAGTCATCAGCTATGGATATAGCTTTACCAACCACTTAGACGAGTCAGGCTGACGAAGCCCACTCCATGGGCAGAACCTTTACCGTTGAGGAAGGCACACGATGGCGCATCCTGTCTCCGCTGTCGCATCTAGCGCTCGAACAGACTCACAGTCCGTGTGAGGCGAGGCAGGTCTTCACGTGTATCTGCTTAGACGAGCCATGGCGCTCGTACGGCGAGATGTAGGTGAAGATCAAGTTCCAGTATGTCTCAAGCTTGCGTTCGACGTGGCAGGACTGATAGCACGTAGAGTTTGGGCCACTCAGAAGACCATCGAAAATCATGAAAGCCTGATACAAGATTACGACAATGGTCTCCGTCTCCATCCCACGTGCCAGGAAACGAAAGACACACTTCATATCACGCAGCGGGATATTACTTGCTGCACAGCTCCCACGGATCGTCTGAACTACGTCACTGAACAAGAACGGAAATCGCTGGATCGTCTGGGCGCACGGCAGTGTGCAAGTGCACCATGGCTACTTGGCTTCTCGCAAGGCCAGGTAGGTCCGGATATGTATGAAGAGGCAATCGTTGGCGGTTACTGTATCTTCGCCCTCATGACGAAACTGCCAGGGAAGCATTTATCTGTATGCTATGATGAATTCTGCAGGACTTTTGACAGGCGTGAGTTGTTGCGGGAAGCTTTCAAGGATGCGATGATACGAGTCTAAGTCATCAGCTGCTATCGAACATTCATTTGACTGGAAAAACAGATATGTGTGGAAGTGTGGACTGGTACTAATGGATAAAGCTGTCCGGAACATACTCTGGGACGAAAAAAGAAAAAAATGGTAAGCTGGCCAAAGAAGTTGTGCTTTAGATCGAACTAACATGATCTGTTAGCTACATTGTCGATTTCGAGGACAGTACGTTCGTTGGGGAGCGCAAAGACCCATTGGCGTTCAAGGGCAAGAAAGTCGAACTGTGGTGCCTGGGTGAGGAGAATGTCTTAAAATATCAGTATCATTATCTCGGTTGGAATAACGGATACCGCCCGACTGGACGTAGGTGAACATGCAACATTCGGCTCTACTGAAGGGATCAGAGCCGGAGAAGAAAGAATTTCGGCAGAGTATTCAGAATGCGCTTGCAACGATTTGGAGAGAATAATGTGGAAGCTTTTGAAGAAAATTGGGCCTTTATTCTCCGCATAGCATTCGCACCCGAGAAGCTGTTTGTGGCGGGCTGAGGAGCACCAATGCTGAAATAGCGACGATTGAGCACATTAAATGAAAGTATTGTACGAATATAGTTCGTGTATTGAAGTTCGACAGCATCATGCTGGTGCATCCAAAGTTGGCCGTGACCTGGTCCAGGTGACGCGATAGATGCGAGCGCACTAGATGCGCACCTTACCTTTTCCGGTCTAAGTCGGCGTAAGACCCGGTGCCGGCGACGATGATAAGCATGAGGCGTCCCCCGCAACTCAACTTGCGAACTGCAAGAAGCACACCATGGAAGGAGAGTATTTCGGGCAATATGCGCCTCCTCAATCAGATGCAGTGGACGATATGCCTTGGCTTTCTGACTTCATCGCCGGCGACACCGCCACTGAAGACTGGAGAAACAATTTCCCCCAGTTTCCACCAGATTCAGCAACCAACAATGCAAGCATCAGCCCGTTCGAGTACGACTTCACCAACCTTGGGACCCTAGTTACGGTGAACGACTATGCAACAACTCCAGACGTTGTGCCTGGCATGGCAGCCCCTTTGTCGATACTGCTTCAGCAAGTTCAGCAGGAGCGCAACCTAGAATCTGTACAACAGCGGAGATCGCTCCCACAGAAACGGAGCACATACTTCAAGCGCACTTCCGGGAAGTCGTCTAGTCCTATACCTATCATAACACCCGAGAGGACTCATAGCGAACCACAATCGCTTGCAATGCAGAGATGGCAAGATTCCCCGCCGCAAAATGAAGCAGCTTCTTTGTCTGCTATCTGCTCCGCGTTAGAAAATCCTATGACAAATGGAACCCCCAACAGCCCATGGACACCCAACTTTGACGCTTTCCGCACATATCGAACACCGCCCTCTTTGACCAGCGTCGCCAGCAGCGTGTCTTCTCGACATTCAGGTGGCTCGAGCCGATCAGCAGCGTCTGGGACGTCGAAACGTTCCCGCGTTATGAAGAAGACGAGGAAGCCGAAGGTTATCCGGAAAGAAACGAACCCTGAAGACCGCATTTTCAAGTGCACTTTCTGTTGTGATACTTTTAAGCACAAATACGACTGGGCGCGACACGAACAGTCACTACATCTGAGCACAACGGAGTGGCAATGTGCGCCTCATGGTGGATGTGTTGTGCTTTCGACTGGAAGGGCCCACTGCGCCTACTGCAGCGCACTCGATCCAACCACCGAGCACCTTGAGAAGCACAATCATAGCGCCTGTCATGGCGAGCAGGCCACACCACGGTCATTCCGGCGCAAAGATCATCTTGTTCAACATCTTCGTTTGTTCCATGGTATAGAGACGCTTCCACTTGTGGAGGATTGGAAAGTAGCCCTGCCTCCGATCTCCTCGCGTTGTGGTTTCTGCAACGCGAACTTGAGCAGTTGGGATGAACGTGTCAATCACCTAGCTGCACACTATCGCCAAGGCAAAACGATGGCTGACTGGACGGGCGGTCATGGTTTTGGTGCAGCCACTGCGACGCGTGTTACCTCCGCTCTGCCGCCATATCTTATCGCAGATGATTCGAGGAGTCTGGTCCCATTTTCTGCGACCGATCCTGCGTCAAAGGATCACTTCAATCAACTCACCTCGCGACTCAATCAAGAGGGACTACTTGCACCAGGACTACAGGACCAGACTGGCGCCTCTGGATCAAACACCACCATGCTCCCAAAGTTGATGGAAGATGACACAATGATGTTTGCCGATATGTTGGCTCAACATCTGAGTCAGTTCGCGCGGAACAATGTTTTGCGGGGTATCATGCCTACTGATGAAATGTTCCAGCGAGAGGCAAGACGAGTCGCGTTCGGTGATGAGGATGGCTGGAACCAAACACTAGCAGACAACCAACAGTGGCTGAAAAGCTTCAGGCAACAAGAGGACTGGCTAAACCAAGCAGCACAGCTTAGCCTCAATTGATACGATCTGGCACGCTGTTGCCATCAGTTCTGCTATCCAGTACCTTCGCCCAGTCATGCTGCTTAGCATCATATACGATGTCAGACAGCCATCCATGAAGAAGAGCAAGATGAGAGACCATATCGGCCTTGATGTTGACCGCAGAACTCTTTCCCAAGATAAGCGGTACCAACGGCGAACGCAGCTGGCTATCGACCATCATCGCCACCCTCGACGACATAACCAATTTTAATGTCCTCGGTCACTTTAACGGGCGCTGCATACATTGTCCTGCCTTCCTATCACTGAACCATCGACACGGTACAATCTTTAGAGTACTCTAGTCATTGCTGCACGTCCACTTGGCGGCGAAGTAGTAGTTGTTTTGGGGTTTGAACGATGCCTGGCTGTCAGCAGGGATGAGTAGTGGGATAGTGTTCCGGGAGACAACCACCTCGATCCACCTAGGGGCGCCGAAGACTCTGTTTCTGAACACCATATGATCGAATTTTCGACTTGCTCATGTTAGGAGAAGCCATGCAAAAGATCTTCAGTATTGATATGCAGGTTGCCTCTATTCTTTTGCGTAAAGGACTACTCATTAGATCCCTAGAAGTGAACTCAGATTCGTGCCAGCGTCTATATGCCCATACAAATGCATAGTACCTTTCACTCGCTATATTTGCACCACCTCCTCTATTCTTCCATTCAATCACATTCACGTACTTGCACCCCGTAAAGCTTGCGAAGCGTGAAAGCCCACAGAGCCCCAGCGTTCAAATTCAACCACTTCCAGTCAAAAGCCTGGAATCATCCTTACGATGGATGGCTAAGGCGCAGGGCGTGACTGAAGGGCGTGGTTTCCACATCCAGCTAGCGTTGGTGTTCCGATTTCGCAACCGAGGAAGACGCCTTCCAGAATGCCATCACCGACTTTCACAGCAGTCGCGTGTCATATACATACACGGATATCGCAATGCATGCTGACGGTTTCCGGGTCGTTGGATGCGACTGAGGCAGTAACGGATATGGACACTGCTACAGACCCAATAGGCGCTGGGCTCACCCCGAGCTACTCCGCTCGGCCTGATTCCATGGAGCACAGAGAGCTTTAACAACGCTCGAAGACATTTCTCATCATGATTTATCGGTAACCTGACGGCTGATTCTCGTCTTCAGACGCAAGATCAGACTGAAAACGCGGCTGGTGTACCCGTGTGACGGTACTTCCCGACCTCGCTTTCTCGAGCTGGACGGGTCAAACGTGACGGAAGGATATTTGCCTTCAGCGATGGGTGCAACTGGTTAAGTACCATTGTCCATATTCGGCCAACAACCCCACTCCTGCGACCGATGCTTCGACATCGAGTGTTACCATCGATGAGGCTCCGCGGGGTTTGACAGTCGGCCTACGAATCACGAGGGTCCGCCTCGGCGTACCAGATTTCCAGGATCGCAACTTCTATCTTGACTCTCTGTCGCCAACTTGGTCGCACGCAAAGATTTGACATGAACGCTGGACAGATTGTGTGGTAATATCGATTGCTGACTGCGGAGCGTAATGCCCGGTAACAAGAGCCTGCCTTTGAGGCTGAATCCTAACAGCGTATTGGCTGGGGAGTTGGAGAGATGCCGGGCTACTTCCAAGGAGCTCATTAAAAAGTGCATACCCAATTTACACTGTGTATGACATGACGCTGCCAGACTTAGGACGACCGTGGCTGGGTGCAGTGTTGCTTGCACTCATGAGGAGGATTTTGCAAAGCCGTGTCACTAGTCCCTCCGCATCTTGCACTTTGCTTGGCTCTTTTGCAAAATGTGAAGCCACATCTCAGAGGTTGCTCACACTGTTTAAAACTTCTAAAGTTCTATATATTCCAAAAGGAGCATTGCCGGCACAGTGTTTTGTCCGTCTCCACCAACGACCGCGCCCCACAGACCAGCGCCAGGGTCGATGTCGTGCCGCGTGCAACTTCTACTCCAATCCTCCTAAACTTCAGCCTTGGATTAGTTATTCTCTACTTTACAACAGTCATCGTATTGCAAAACACTGTCGCTACCTGCACCTCTTTGAGAATTCGAAGGTCTCAGGCGTCCATGACTACGTATGCAAAGCTGGTGGCCTAAACTTACTCCGACCGTCTTACCAAGGTCTACACCATCCGTACGAGCATCAGCCTCAGAACAAAGAAAAAGACACGCAAGCACACAGCCACAATGCCTCTACTTAAGAGACAGCCGCTGGCCATACTTGGTGTATCTGCACTACCAATCCTCCTCTTCTGGCTCTACACAAGTACAGCCATGCATCCACTCATCGTCAGCGCTGTGTCGACTTTGCTTTCAGCAACTGCATCACAGGCATACTGCCCACCACCAGGTTCGCTACTTCCGCCACCAGTAATACCTTCCAACTTATCGAGGTTCAATGTGCCGGAGTCGGCGTTTGCAGATGTACCCTGGGCTTCAGATACATCTTATGCGATCAAAGCCTCCATCGGCGATGTCACAATCTTCGAACATGCATACTCCGCACCTGGCCGTGAAGTTGGCCAATCACTTCTCGAAACGAGCCTTCGCATTGGTAGTGTCACTAAGACATTTACCATGCTAGCGATCCTTCTCAGTGCCAATAATATCAAGTTATCAGATTCGATCACCAAGTTCATCCCAGAACTGAATGAGAAGGCGTTTGGAGAAGTCACAATTGCTGCACTGGCAAGCCACACCAGCGATCTAGGCCGTTACATTTACGTTGGAGATCTCGCCGTAGTACCAGGTTTCAATCCTGCAGCCTTCGGCCTTCCAAGCGTCAATGAAACGGGCGACAAAGTATCCCCATGCGATCCCTTCCCCGGTGGCCGCACCTGCACACGCGAAGAAGTACTCGCCGGTCTCAACAACCCCGCCTATCACCCACGTTCACCAGACTCCGGACCTCGGTACTCAAACATAGGCTACACCCTCCTCGGCATGGCCCTCGAGTCTGTCCACAAGAAGAGCTCCGAACAAGTCATCCACGACCTCATCATAGATCCACTCGGTCTGAGCAAGACCACCTTCTCCGTCCCCACAAACTCCAGCACCGCCTTGCTGCCTCGCTCCTCAGCAGATGCAGGTTGGTTCGTCCCCGACTTCGGGAACTACAACCCCTCCGGCGGCCTCTGGTCGACACCCAATGACCTTATCAAGTTTCTGCAATCCACACTATCTCACAAGTTACTCAGCAAACCCGAGACACGCCGCTGGTTGCAACCCCGAGCACTCCTGCCTTCACTGCATCAAGCAGTCGGCGAGTCGTGGGAGATTCTCAGGCCAACAGATTTAGACGTCAAGACGCAACGGCCGATTGATATATTCACCAAAACGGGCGGCGTGACAGGGTATGCGGCGTATATTGCGATCATCCCGGAGTACAGCATTGCACTCACGATTAACGCTGCTGGTGGACAAGCGAACAACGCTGTGTCAACGCTGTTCCCACAGCTTGTGAAGCCGTTGGTAGCGTATACGGATAAGCTGGCACGGGAACAGGCCGCGGTGAAGTATGCGGGGACGTACAAGGCTACTGATGCTAAAGGCGCGAACAGTATGACCTTGGCAGTAGATGACGGGCCTGGGCTGGCTATCGCAGACTTGACCATGAGCGGGGTCCCGGTTCTGCGATCGCTTGCCACAGTGCAGGAGATTCCCTTTGAGAATCTCAGCGCGAGGCTGTACCCTTCTGACCCAGACTCTCTAGGCACTGGGAAGGAAGTCTGGAAGATTCTGATTGACATGAAGAATAAGGAAAGGGGCTTTGCTGAGCTACAATGTGCGAGCTGGAATTGGGGCGATGGGTTACGGTATGTAACAGAGCCGTTGGATACTGTTGTCTTCACAAAAGACGCAAATGGAGCTGTAAGCGTAGAGCTCCTGGGTTGGCGAGCACAGCTAGTCAGAATATAGAAGGCGCATGAGTGCAACACATCTGATTAGTATTACCCTATCTATCAATGCGACTGAGCATATGATCCAGCAGTACTCATGCTGTGTATGGATGAGGTCCTACGCTCTGATTGCCATACGTTCAGGTCGATTATGCGTACTTCAGTCGACCTTGATGGCTCCATATATCCTCCCCACGAACGCGTAAGCTGCCAGGAAGCCGATGGTGCCAGTGAGCAGCCCATACACAGCGCAGGCGAGGAAGCCGTAGGCAAAGAACAACATACTCGACACGAAGCCGCTGATGTGTAGCTTGGTGAAGTAGCAGTAGATCAGATAGGCATACACCCAGATGGAAGAAGCGCCGCCGGTTGCGAAGGAGTGCCACCACCAGTGGTAGTTTTCTGAGCACAGCAAAAAGTATGTGGCAGCGATGGTGAATTCGACAACAGTAATTGTCAATACGGCGCTGACGACTCCTGCATAGCCGAAGGCGTAGTAGTATGTCGTCTTGTCCACCCACAAGCTCTTGACAACGAACATGAGCTCGACAAAGATGACCATAAACGGGAAAAGGCCGGCAAGAAGGAGTTTCTGTCCACTCTTGAAGTACCATCGCTGATCTGGGATTTGACGAGGAATAATATTTGCTCTGATAGGGTGCGTGTATGCGCCCATACGCTCGAAACCGAACCAACTACCGACGTAGACGAGCGGAAGCTGCACGAAGAACCAAAGCATGATAAGTGCGATGAGTGTACCGAAAGGTAGTGCCGTACTTGAAGCCTGGATCCATACAAAGAGGTTGAGGATGAAGATCGTCGCGAATAGAAGACCAGGAACTAGGGACGCAGTGATAATGACGTTCTTCTGCCACGTCTGGCCTCCAAATGTCTTGTATATGCGAGCTGAGAAGTATCCGGAGAAGACACCAGCAAAGACGAACAGTCCGACGCCCACGCTGATGTAGCCGCCACGGAAGCTTGGGTTGAGGACGCCCAACGTGCTGAGGACAATGAGACCAAAAGCCATGTAGAGGAGCTGCATTCCGGAACCAACGAGAGGAGCGAGGAGGCCGCCGTAGGCTGGTGCTCGGAAGACATCGCCATGCAGGAGCTTCCAGCCCGCTGTGTCTTCGATCTCTTCTTCGTCCGAAACCATGTTGTCTATATCCAAATCAGCTACAGGTCCAAGGAGGTTGCTCTTCTCTCGTTTTGGCGACGACGTTTTGCGACTGGACTTGGATTTGATGCCAGCCAGACCGATGTCCCGATGACCGCTGATGTCGCTGCGAATCGTGCGCGTCAGGACAACTGAGAGAACAGCGGTCAGCAGGCCGCAGATGACCAAGGAGTTGACGATGGCCAGCCAATGTACGTTTGCGCTGTCGTCTTGAGCTACAAAGTACATGTCCCAGCGGTTCTGCCACTCCAGACGGTCATCTTCACGCCAGTAGACTGAGTATGTGTAGGGTATTGTCAAAGTCGTAGGCTCGTTTTCGGTGTCGGTGCTGTTCGTGCTATTGGCTTGAGGAACAAGGAGGAGCGGCTCATGTTCGCCTTCAATATGTGCTGGAAAACCGGACTCGTCTCGATCATTTGCCGTAATGCTCCTTGGGAACACCTCGAATCCAACAATGACCTTCTTGCCCTTATCGCCGTCTTTTCCTGGCGCACGGTGGTACCGAATGACAAGTGTGACGTGATTGTTGAGCAGATACTCTGCAGGTCCACCCAGTCCCAACCTTGTCTCGTCCCCGAGCTTGAATCCTGCTGCGTAGTACTTCCTGCTCTTGTCTGTTGTCTGAAAGCTCGTGGCGCCGGGTAGATTATCTACGATCCACTCAGCAACGTAACCGTCCCGTATGAGTTCGTTTGCTCTCCTTATGCCTTCAAGGTCGATCGTCTGACTGCACAAGTATCGCACTTCCTCATCGACACCCATGACCAGCTCGTAGTCAGAAACGACGATGCGGTCACCACGCAACACCTCGCCCAGATTGAGAGTTATGCTCGTCCCGCTTGTGAGATGTCCTGCGCGTAAACGACCGGTCGGTGGGCAAACGAAGGGAAGTTCGGTGAATGCATACTGCAGTTCGCTATAGTCAGAGTACACTTTGTTGACGAGGAGTGGTATCGTGTCGCCGTCACGGTAGCTTTTGTACGAGAAACCTGCAATCGTCAGCATGCACGTACTCAAGAAAGAGCCCCGAACAAACTGACCTGGTATATAGAAAGCTTGTGTGAGGGCCAGCAGTGAGCTGGCTACTATCGATGCGCGCATTGCGAGTGTGCTATCGTGGTCGTGTCTAGCAACAGCGCGGGCGGCATACGATGTCGAAAGGTGTCGCAGCAATATGTGGACATGTGATAGCAAGTTGGAGATACAGAGCCGAGCGAGCGAAAAAGTGTAACGTGGTGAAAGGCAAGTTATCCAGTAACGGAAGTGGTGACGAAGCGCGAGTGACAACGAAGGGAAGAGCGACAAAATGCGCGAAGGCAGCAACAATACCTGGTTCGGAAAGTACTACGCAACGAAAGTTACCTCGAGCATCACGACGAAAGTGCAAGCACAGCTCCAGACGTGCAAAATGAGCACTGCGGTGGTATTCGAAATTGACACACGCCATGACGCGTTCACGGCCGATCAAGGAGGCTCTGGCCCCACAGCGACGTCCAGGGTCGAGATAGCATCGCGAACATCATGAAATCGCAACTCATCCAGCTGCAGGTTGCGTGTTGATGGATCAACGATGCAATGGTACCTGGTATTGAAAAAGAAGGTGACATCGCTGTAGCCAGGACAACAGGCAGCGATGCATATCGATAAGCTTTCAATACGGGGAATACGAACCTGGATCCACCGCGTCGGTAGCCGCTCACGTGCCATCCAACACAACACCAAATCTCACATGAGGTGTGGTTAGTGATCGTCATATCATGTGGAAGGAGAGCGTGCGAAGCAGATGGAATTGCTTGGACTCTTGTTGTATGATGTGCATCCACCTCGTCGACCATAGTAATGGTTGGTGAAAGCACGCATTCACGATTACGGAAGCCTGGACGCACAGTGAAAGGTCACTGCACGGCTATATCAGATATGTCCAGCCTATTGTTGACCTTCCATTACCTTTGTAGTCCACTCCCAATCCACCTACAAGTGCACTCACTGGTTCATGATCCCTCTCTCAGCCCTACACTCACCCGATCCCAGAATGTCAGACACCACGGTCGAACAATGGATCTACAACCTCACACGCCAATACTCGTTCCCCATCCGCCCTTGGGATTTTGACCCTTCTGATCCTTATGCCAAGGCAATAGATACGTTCCAATCTTTCACCAGTAGGATTGTCGCAGCTCTCCGACATGACGACGTTCGGAGTTGGTCTCTCGTCCAAGACGGAAAGCTGAACAAGATCTACGACGACCTGCCATGCTTCAATACTTGCACCGAGTACATGAAATTTCGGGGTTGGGTGAAAGATGCAACTTTTAAGCACCCCCAGCGACGTACACCCAAGCAGCACCAGTGGCTCTGTATCGTTGATTTGCAGGAGTCTGAGCCGACATATGATATCGAAGCCACAGTAATCCAAGCAGCAGATTACCTTTCGACCTGGAAGAAACGCGCATATGCCATCGAGAACCTCATGATAGACTGGCCCACACAGTATTTCTTCCGCAGCAAGCATGCCATAAAGGATGCCGAGGAGGATGGTACTGACTTCGGTGACTCGTGTTGGATCTGCGCAAATGACTTCGACGCAGATCTCCATCTACCACAGCGAGGCCCTTGTGGTCACTATCAATGCCGGCGGTGTTTCCAGAAGGCCCTAGAGCATGCTGCTGCGGAGTACACTTGCGCGTTCTGTCGTGCCTGTCTGATCTGCGGTACGAATTCTTGTAAGAACCATATCATCCCTCGCGAAGAGGCGCCTCCACATCCACTCAACGATCTCCTGCGGTGGGAGCACTTTGTCTGCCCAGTAGGTCGATGCACAGCGATAGAGCCGCTTTGTGGTTTCTCACCAAAGCGATACTGGAGCCTGCGAGAACAGTCCAGGAAAAATCGCGTCAGATTGACGAAGATATACTGGTACCTCAAACAAGATCTTACTCCGGAGCATCGGGCTCATGTGGGGGAAGAACTAGATCACCTCTACAATGGAATTCTGAAGGCTCAAGTCGAGCAAGCATGGGCGCTTCAGATGGAGGATGAGGAGACAGAGCGGCGAGCGACGTTGCGGGAAGCGGTTCCTTTGCTTGAGACTTCATAACCCTTGCGCTTGTTTTTGCGCTAGTGACGGGAAGAGATTCAGATCATAAGATGTATGGACAATAAATATTAAGCGTGCGCTGAATCACCTCTGTGAACCCCTCAGTTGTCCCAAAATAATACAGTCCTGCAAAAAAGTTGCAGAAACGAGGAAGAAGGGTTAAAGTCCCTCCCTAGGCAATGGGACACCCTCCGTGCTGGGACATACAAGGGGTACCTTGACTTAAAGCACCTCGCTTTCTTCGCACACGTGAACACCTGCTCTGAATATGATGAAGCTATGTACTACCGCTATTCATACATGTCTAAAACTTTGCATAACGTGTTTTACAAGCGAGTCGGACAGACAAGCGAATCGGACACCCCACTAAGTTTGCCCACCTCTGCAGACACATTTCTCAACAACGTGATAATATAATATATAGCAGATTATAGAGTAGATTAAGCAGTAGCTACAGTATCTTTCTTGCACGTACGTGAGTTGTGGCCACGCTCTCTGCACCTTGTGCAGCGCGCAAGAGCCTGACGACTAACACCTGATTGCTCTCCTCCCTGACGCTCCTCACGATTAATCTGCTCATCAGCCTTACGTTGAGCGAGTAAATCCTCGCCAGCTCCCTTTGTTAATACCCCATGCTTCTGTATACGCTTCTTCTTGCGTTGTCTACGTGCTGACGCTGCCTCATTAGCTCTCTCAAGACTAGCGATCCGATCACGCATCAGCTCAGCTGACAGCATCATTACTTCAACCCCTTTCTTAAGCTGGTCAATTGCTTCAATAATTGAAGCTGGTGATGAGCTCTTGTGCTTGCGTACGTTGCTTGGTGTACGAGCCTCCCACAGAGCCTCTGTGAGAGTGTTACGATCAAAGGGCAACCCGCAACAACACTGAACGAACAGGACTACGCAACGATACGAGAGGAGCCGAGGAACTGAGTATCGATTGACCCGAGCAGTGAGGCCGCGTCGGCGATACTCAGTATGATCATCACTCTCAGTTGAGCAACTCGAGCGACTCGAGCAGTTAGGACGCGTCAGCGATACTCAGTGTGATCATCAATCTCGGTCGAACCGAGCAGTGAGGCCGCGTCGGCGATACTCAGTATGATCATCAATCTCAGTCGAGCAACTCAAGCAGCACGAGCAGTATAATCGGTACGATCAGTATATTCGGAACGCTCAGTATACTCGTTACCGAGCGATCTGAGCAATCCTCCTGCTCAAGTATATAGCAAGTAGACACGCTGCCCTTATGGCATCGTGTTCAACATCGTCAATCAACTTTGTTATTAGAATCTCACTTGATCTCGAGCCAGACAGTATACTCTGTACTACTCACTGCAACCAGTCGCCACGGTCTTTGACTAGACGACTACCTGACTATTACAAAGGTTATTACAACCCGCCCGGATAGTCTACCCCTGACCACCCGAGCTTTGCTTAGGTGACTGTCAACCCCTACGGACTCCCTGTACCTCCGCTCATCCCCGAGAACCATCATGCAAGGACGTCAGACCTTCTGTATTTACTGGCGTCACAGGCGTTACAGGCGTCACCTGTACTTCTTCAGGGTACGGTCGCACAACCTCATAAGCTGTAGGAACAGCGAGGTCTGCAGGCGGCTTCGGTGTGTTTCGGAGCACTCTCTCTGGGTTAAAGGGAAATAGGCCGCTTGCGGCCCATGCGGCCGTGATGTTCCTCGTTGTGAACGCTCTGCCCCTTGCAGGGTCGTACAGAGAGGTAAAATCCTCTTTACTAATTGTGTCTATACCTCCTCGGTTTAGGCGCTTAACTTGATCCCGATAGGCCGTCTTCAAGGGAGCAAACACTCCAACGTTGCACGGTTGAAGCTTGTGCGAAGTATGAGAGGGGAGGCGGCACAGAACAATGTTGTTGCCAAGGCAGAACTCCAAGATTTCCAGCGTTTCATGAGTGCCAAAGCCATCACAGACTAGCACCCGTGGTTTGCCGTCAGCTATGTCTTTGGTTTGGGGATCAAAAACACACGTAAGCCACTCTAAGCAGATCTTAGAGTCATTATACCTGTTCTCAGAGTGGCCATAGTGCCATCCGGGTGTCGGGTGCGTAGTCCAGTTGCTTCGGTGGGTCGATGCTGGCCAAACTATAAGAGGTAGCAGCACTCTCCCGTCGGCGCTTATACACTCGACCGCAGTCACCATTATCCGCTTGATACCGGCACCTCTATAGTCGCGTCTATTGTCCTTACCTACCAGGACCTTGACAGAGCCAAGCTTGCTCAGCATGCCGCCTGTTTCGTCCATGTTGTAAACATTTTGTGGAAGTATTGCAGGGTCCCGCAGCACTTCTCCAATCACTTCAAACCACTCTACGATCTTATCGTATATGTTATTCTCATGACATCTCCAGTCTATTGACCTGACTCTCCTCGATTTGAGTCCAGGATGGCGTTTCTCGAAGCCGCAAGCCCAGTTCTGTCGTGATGGTCGTTCAATATTCACAAAGGAAGTCTACGCTGATATGTTAGTCATGATTCGCAACAGCTCATAACGAAGTTGTGTACCGTACCTATGAAAGTGCGAAATCAATCAGCTTTTGCTCTCGCCCTCCTTCTTGCCTTCGTCCTTTTTCGTCTCCTCTTTGTCACCAGAACCGCTGCCACTTCCCCTGTAATGGCTGCCCTCCTTACCCGGTTCGAAGATGGTGTTACCTTCAAGAGCAGTCCCATCAGCAATATTCTTCACATTACAGACACGAGCACCTTGGTGGGGCACATACAAGAAGCGCAATGTGCGTAGCTGCCGTCCTTCGTCAAATCCGCTCCGGCTCCACACTCAGGACAGAGGACCATTGTAGAAGTAGTACGAGTTGTTTCGAGTTTGATTGGGTAATGCGCATGAGTACCTGAATAGACGTTCACTGCAAGAGATCCAGGATGATGATGAGGCAGGAGCAAGCGAGCCTCGCGCTAGTGCGGGGCATGATGTAATCACGCGACGCGTTTGAATATTATTCGGGCGAAACTCACGATGAGAGATAGCGAGGAACTGACAAGCTGGGCGATTCTCGTTTCTTTACTGTGTGTATTCCGCAGTACAACAGTAACATGTGCCGCTGCTTAGACTATCAATTTGAGCTTGTACATTCGTATAATGACAGTGTCCGTCGTATACCACATCAGAGCTTCTCAAGTCACTTGTCCTCCTTATCAATCGCAAACTTCTTCAGCATATCCATATCCACGCTCTCCAACGCCCTTTGATTCGTAGCCTTCAACACTACCTTGGGCACCTTCTTATCATCATCGCCCGTCCTGTTCTCAAACGCCTCCTTCCAGCGAGAAACGCATAGGCACCACTTGCAGCCGTCGGTAAGCCCAATGTCGCGCAAGTTGTTGCCCTGTGCGGCGCTGTAGTCGAGGAACTCGTTTGTGACAATGCCGGCGATGCTGTGGTTGCCGTGATCGGACTTGGGCGCTTCGCAGTAGCCCGAGCGGGTGAAGCCTGTTAAGGGCTGTGTGGAGTGGAGGGAGAGGGGCTTCTTGAATACTGAGATGTGTTATAGGCTGTACCAGAGTAATCGGGCGGACAATGGCTGGTGCAGAGCTGCGTCGAATAGCAGGCTTGCGCATAATGTTTCTCTGAGGGCTCAATGCCTTCCAATGATGTCGTGATGGTCTTTAGAAAGATGTGTACGTACCATTAAGTGATTGCGACATATCCTCTCTACCTGATTCCTTCTCGAGTATGTCTTTCGCAGGGTATCTCGAGTATTCAACTCTGACGTCGTGAACCTGTGCGTAACGTCTTCTCCCTAGACTCGTAATGAAGTTTCGAAGGAAGCGCATCAAGAAGGATTGCAGGTGGTACAGTCACGCAGAATATAGGTGTAGCTGAACCGTAGTTGTATCATGGTGATGCTCACGACTGCGTCACAGATCTGACATAGATGCGTGTGGACAGCAGCAGCCCGCCGCAAGATCGGCAGTGCGATCTGCTTGGCTGGAACCCTGAACCTTAGGTGCGTGATCGGCATCGTCAGGGTCAATTGCAATGCAAAGTACCTCTACCAATCTTACGATTGCCGAGAGGTCATTGTTGAGCGATTGTGCATGCGTTGAGTTGTTGATGTGGACTGACTGTTCGGTCGGTATATCGCTCCGAGTTCGGCGCCTGCTCAGGACGTGCTGCTGAACGCTAGGATGGCTTGGTAGAGGCTCCGAAGGTCACAGGCGATGCACACGGGCAGAATACGAGGTTTGGAGATTTGTCTTATTTGTTTGTACTATGAAGGGTATATAGACTGACGCGGTTCTTTTGTATAGCCATTATGCATCATTGTCGTTACTGCACATGTAGGGTGATTCAAAGTCCCCTGTGTTGATAAGTTATAGCAGAGATGTCACAAAAACTCCGGTTCCCAAATGCGTCCCATCCAACAGTTGCAGCGCAACATGTAATGCAAATCAATAACCAAGAGCAATGCGCCGGAAAGTGTCCCAAGGGATGAGGAATAAACCAGCCCATCTTGATATGCAACTTGCTGCCATCCTTGTGTAACTTTTGTGACGTTGGGTATAGAGACGAAACGCGTCCATCAAATCGCGCATCAAGCGCCCAGGTTGGTGCGAAACCTGTCATGCTCTTCTTCATCAGCGCTGCACCCTGGCGCCGGCCTTGATCTCCCTCTTCATTTCTTCTAGCTTCTTGTGCATCTTGAGCAGATCGTTTCTCTGTGCTTCGGTCGGCGGAGAAGTAGCCTCCGTCAACGTCCAATACAGCTCTTCGTACTTGGTGTAATACTTTTGGAACCTTTGAGACAGTTCGACTGTCTGGCGGAAACTCAGGCTTGGGATGGTAGGTGATGTAGTCGAGGACGACGAGTCGCCTGGAGAAGGGTGAGAGTTGTTGTGAGTGTAGCGGGAGACAAGGCCGACATTGATGCTGGCGACTTTCCGGACCTTGGGGGCAGTAGTAGGTGTGTTGGAGGTGGAGGAATCGTCAGACTTGCGCTTGAGAGAGACGTTGCTCGAGGGAGTAGAGCCGCTAAGCCTGCCGTTGGTGTGCGAAAGGGTGTGGTTAGGCGTTGCGCGATTGGCGTTGGACTTTTTCACAGCAAGACTGTGATTGTGAATGTCGCTATCAATGTCGTTTGCCTTGCGCTTGAGTGATCGATCAGAGTTGCCGTACGATGACTTCACAGGGGAAGCGGCTGCCGCAAGAGCCTTATGGACTGGATGGCTGTCCTCGAAGTCGCTAGCGTTGACTGGAGGTGAAGCTGAAAGAGGAGAAGGGTTCTTTGGCTTCGTGTTGTAGACAGGCTTGACGGGTCTATGCTGGCGGTTCTGATAAGAATCGCGTGCAACAGCCATCTTGGGCTTCGTGCGTGGTGTAGAGTTGGAAGAGTTGACTTCGGCTGTGGGTACCTTCTTGGTACGGATCTTGGGAGCTTCAGTCGATAGAGCAGGGCGGGGGGCCGCTTTGCTGTCAGAGGAGGCTGGGACCGGCGTTTGCGTTGCTGCTTTTGTGACATCCTCATTCACCTCCTTTGCAACTGGCTTGTCTTGCGGCACGATTCTGTCCTTCACTGCCTTGCTCAGCTTGCTGCCACCCTCCTTGATCGTCTTGATTTTCTTCTCGCCGTCGGCCTTCTTCTCCGCAGTCTTGTCATCAGCCTTCTTCACGGCAGGCTTCTTCTTGGTGAAATCTGACATCTTGTGTAGAGGAGTCGAAGCTTTGGGCTTTGCCTCCAACGGCTTCACTTTCGAGCGTGATAAACATTTGCCCTGTCCTCGCTCTTCACGTGGCAGCAAGATCTGCCAAAGCTTGTCATCTTTCGTCAATCGGAGGCGATCAAACGACTTGATTGCACCTTCGATCGCCTGCTCTCGCTCCTCAGAGGTTGCGTAAGGAAAGTTATAGGGGTTAATTTCGCGGAACGATTTGTCAGTCAGCTGCCACTTGTCTGTGTCTTGGGTAGAGCGCTTGGCAATCTTGGGCAAAAGCTCCCGCATGCTGGCGGTAGATGTGCGACATGTCTTAGCAAGAGAGGCCTCATTCGCAGGCTCACGGGCGAGCAAGTGAATGACGGGAACACGAAGAGCAGCAATGATAGCCTCGTGAGTACCGCTCGGCTGCGATGTAGGAGGGCGTTTGTGCATGGGCGAGGCAGGCATGCTTGGGAGCGGCGAGCCGACCTTGGAAGGCGCAAGGTGCACCGGCTTGAACCCTGTCGAAGGGTAACGGCGGTGCCCAGGAGTGCGAACAGGAGTAGCATCGCCGACGATAGTCCTGAATTGCAACAATTGTCAGTCCAAGTGTTCTCATGTCACTGTGTCTATGTGTGATGCACGCAATGCGAGGGTACAGGGGCGGGTGAGTCTCTCGACTCGACACCAGAGATCGCTGGGCAGCCATGGGAACACCGGGGAGGCATACTTGTTGGCTTCCTTGAACTCTGAGATCGCAGCCATGCTACTCTTGAGGGTGGCTAACGCCGAATCAACGCCCGCTGTCACATCTGCGGCCTCCTGCACAATGAGGTTGTGGTTGATCACGCCGGCGAATTCGAGGTCATCGTCGCTGCCAGTCCCGCTGGATTTGTACAGCTCGTATGTGTGCGTCTCGGGACTGCTCTGCAGTACGTGGGTCTTGTCGCCGCATTTCAGTTGCTGTTGTTGTGCTTGTTAGCCCTGGTCGCTCTTGCCATCTTGGAATCGAGCTCCACCACCCAATGCACCAACACCAATTGGTGACTACACGGCAAACTCCAAGGAATCGGTACACATACAGGAGTCCGACCAAAGAGAATCTGTGGCGGTTTCCCGCTCCTCATACTCTCGAGGAGCTCGTCGACAATGTCCTGGGTCATCTCCACCTGCATGGCCTGCACCGACGGTGGTCTGTCTCCAATGTCGCCATTCGGGGCGCCGACGAGGGCAATGCCTCCTGACGGGAGCATTGTCGTCGTCATGTTTGGTGTTCTGGCGTATCGTCCCTGGAGAGAGGCGGAAAGAGGCCTGGAGCTCGCACCCGGAGATGTCGTCAAGGGAAGCAATACATGGAGAGAGCACCCAGGCACGATCAGGTGAGCAAGCAACCAGCGCGGGCGTGAAGTGGCGGCCCGTCACTGAGCTCCTGATGTTTGATCGAGTGTTTGCACTCCAGGAGTGACGAGGAGCGAACAAAAGGCTCGCTACTCGAAGGACCGTCAGACAAGGTCGGTCGGTCAGACTGTCATAGCGCGGTGGTCCCGGATTCCCAGCGAGCAAGCGTGCACGGGTGTCAAGGTACGGTGCTGAAACGATTGGTTGTTACGAATGGAACGAACGGCAGGCAGGACCGTTCTAAACTCGCAAACACACCTCGAAGTGCTCATACAAGTGCAAGAGTGAAGAGGAAGAGCAGGTGCAGCAGCAGCAGTTGGCAGCCGAGCGAAGCGTGATGTTGGGCGAGCGTGCATGCCTGTGAGGGCGGTGGAGCCGGACAAGGGCGGTCGAGGGATAGAACATTACGCCTGTTCTGGATGCCAAATCCAGCGGCGGCCTGCATGAGAGGCACCTTGTGCTACATCAATCTGGAGCCTTCTGCAAGGCATTGCCTTACTGCGCAGGCTGGTTCCCATTCTATATCATAAACACAAGCCATGGCCGCCGCAATCAGCCCTGAGACCGAGTGCGCTCGAGTGCCTGATGCCTCCTCAGACCGCTCATGTCCTTGCTCGAGTCACTCAGCACTGCGCCATGCACACCGTCGCTGACTGACCTGAGCATCGCGCTTGGTCTGGCGCCAGGCTCGGCAGCTCCACCGTCACTCGTGGCAGGCCTCCGGACAGCAAATCGCTCTGCGTTTAAAAAACGACAGCGGCGGAAGTTGGGTGCCGGGCCAAACACCCTGGTATCTCACGCCAGCCAGGGCCGGAGATGTGCTGGCGTCTGTTTCGACCCGGACGTGCGCCAGCACAGCGTTTGAGGATGCAGCGTCGCCATGCCTCCTGTTGACCTTACGCTTCACATCTACACAATTCATTCAGGGCAACCTTGATGCTCTGGAGGGCATGGGCGCCTCACCAGCAGGGGACCGCAGAAACGACGCGGCATGAGGCTTCGGCTGTGAGCATCACGTCACCTGCGCGCGCTGTCACCCGGTGTGGCGGGTTCGTAGCCATCGGTGTTTAGGTCAGCTTGATCGAGACGCGCTACGGCAGCCATCTGCCATCTGCACCTGGCAGCGAACGAGACCTATTTTGGTTACAGCCCTGGCTCGCGGGAGCCCCGCACCTGGAACCAGCCCGCAAGACAAACATGCTCGTGCTGGCGACTGCTGCGAAGTGCTCTTTACAGTTGCTGCTCCCCAGCACCGCGAAGGGGAGCATATCGGGAGTGGATATTACCTACATCATCAGGTCATGTTTGTACCCACTCCTGCCAATACTTCCCCACGCAGCCGTGGACTCATCTCATACACCACCCCACTCCGGCAATCGCCCACTTTTGGCGTGAGGTGACAGACAAGCAAATCAGGCAAGCGAACGCGCAGAACAACGCAGCAACGCAGAGTCAAACCTTGGAATTGACTGCGTGAAGCAAACTAACGAGCACTAGGAGACAGACTAGAAATATATGCGTGTCGGAACTTCGCATTCGGCTCGGCGGAGAGCAGGAACAACCGGCTGTGGACGAACATGTTACTCTGCAGGTGCGTGAGTAACCACAGGTGCAGGTAGGCGAGCTTGAGCTTGCTTGATCTCGTTCGATTCATGCAGCGAAGCCAGCGCTGGCCGGCCCCGTATTGCTTACGACTGCAGGCACCCTTCAACTTGCCCTGCAGACGAGTCATTCTCAATACTCTGCTAAATTAAGTTCGAGGCGAATGTCAATCAGCAATATGGATGCTATACCTGCAGTTCAAACACATTGCTCCAGATGACGGGCAGGCTCTGGAAAGCAAGCCGCCTTCTACGTTGATATTAAACGCAAAGCCGCCGCGGAGTACATAGATGAAGTACCACAAGCAGCAGTCACCAGATCACCAGGAACAACAGGCTAGTGCCGGTGTTGCCTTTGTCCAGTTCGCCTTCACTCGTGTAACCGCGTCCCGGGAACTCCAGACCCCATGTGGCCGGAGTGCAAGACCCGACGACTCTGAGAAAGTAATCGCATAGTCTGGATGGATACAAGGAAACGAACTCGTGACAACACTCTCAACAACAACTAGAAGCTCAAGGACAGTTCTGAACATCATTACATGTCACACGCAACCCAAACTTCCGGAATTGCTGTGTTACCTCGACGTTCAGAGTGCCAAATAATGGCGCTTGTCTGGATCCTTCTTGACCGTGAGGCTGGCTGGCAAGACCGCCTCGTCCACCCATTTCACCTTACAGCACACCACAACGGTTTGCTTTTGCGGTCCAGCGACAGCACCCCTCTCGGTAGCAAAGCCCGACACAATGCTCCGGAGTTGCTCGCAGCCTGCGAAGGACTTCAAGTTGAGAGGACTTGAAATGAACATTGATCGCCGATCTACCAAACACCCATGCAAGCACTTCGGTACCTGATCATCGCTCACCTTTCTTTTGCACGGCCGTCCATACTGTACACGGCAGACGCCTCATTACACTTACAATTGCAGCGACCCATCAAATCCAGAGCATCCCCCTTGATTCAATCCCTAACTTATTTCGCTTCTTTCCATATCACCAGGCACACCAATCTCGAAATGCAGCCTAACCCCTCGCATTCCAGCTCGTGTTCTGGCGCTTCGCAGATTGGTTACCAGACATGTCACACTGCACGCGTCCCCATCCGGCAACGTCCTCTAAACTCGTTTGGGCAGTCCATAGCAGGTTGATTGGGGATATCACTCCTACACGGATATACGATATTGGAGCGCTTCACGCCTGCTATTCATGCCATGGGATGCGCAATAAGACGCATGCTGCAAAGGACCTTCGAGGTCCTTCGTGTTGTGGAAGACGATGCCGGTCGAGGAAAATGTGCGCGACTTGTGGATGTGACAGGCTAAGCCCCGATGTGACTGTGCTGCTGAGGCGGCAGTGGCGCAGGGCAAATCGATCGCCTCATGCCCAGTGCCAACGATAGCAGCATTGCTATAGGCGCCTTACTGTTCACATTGGCAGATTGTCACATTTGCAAGCCACCAGAAGAGAAAGCGATAGCGATGCGCTTGTGAGTACCGTAAAGGTGTGTACGTAGGAATGTAGGTTCTTTATGCGCCACCAAGGTATCGTGTATCCATTTAGTACTCCAAAAGCAAATAACACCAAGGTGAAGATCAACAGATACGCCGAAGCGTCATCAACCCCTGTCATGCCAGTCCACTAAACGCCTGCAATGCTGCTTCCCCCTACTCCAATGTATCGTTCCCAAAAAGACAAGCCCTCACGACCAGCCCAGGCCTCAGGTATACACAACGTCTACTCCGCCCAAGACCGTGTTGAAGGACCAGAGTATTCGTAAGGCCAAAGACACTTAGGTGTCGAGTTCCTCAGGCGTCTGGTGGCGAGCGAGAACGAGGCGCTTGTACTCGGCGGGATCCTTGTCCCAGAGCTCAGCAGCCTGGCCGTTGAGCGGACTCGAGCTATACATCGTTAGCCTTCACACTCTTACACACTCTTCATCTCTCAACGACAGAGAGGCAGTACTCACTTATTCGGCTCCCCCAACAAACTCTGCAAACTCAACAACACCGTGCCAATGTTGTAAATCGCACTCCACTTGTCCTTCAGAATATCCAGACAGATCCTGCCCGAGAAGTCGACGTTAGGGTGGTAGATTGGTGTCTTGAACAGCACTGTGGGTGCGCTGTAAGGGTAGTTGTTGGCGAACTCCATCGACAGCTTGAAGACCAGCCCTGCGTATGGTGTGTCGGCGGGGCCGTCGATGGTCGCGGTCCAGAGCGTGATGTCGGAGTCGGAGGGGAAGGCGGTGATGCCTGGTGTGGGCTTCATCATGATGTCCATGAGTTCCTTTTGGAGTCTGAAGGGTGTCAGTTGGTGGGCGCGAAGGTTGAAGAACTTGAGGCGAAAGGGCAACGAGTGTGTAGGTCTGGAAAGGTATTGCGTACCGCTGGGCGACTGTTGCGTTGCTGCCTGCCATGTCCGCGGTGTTGTCTAATGTGTTGATCTCGAGGAAGCTTTCTGTCGTGTACGCTGAAGCTAGGTGTTGATACCCTACTCAAGCTCTTGAAGGTTCACCTGTCGATGTGAATGTGATGCGTGAAGATGGGGCTTTGGATCCTTCGAGGAAGCAGGCGGAAGTGTCCAAGAAATCGAGTAGTAATTTCAAGTACTAGTGTGGGTGTTGTGTGATGGGAGCGCGTGGTTGAGAGCTTGATATCTTTTGTCAGGCACGCTGTGTTGTGTTTTGGGTCCCTGCGTCTGCCGGGGAAACGCTTTGCGTGAGATCCCTGCACGCGTCTGCGGCAAGTCTAGCCCTTTTTATTGCCGATCGCACACGTCGAATCGCTGCGCGCCAGGCATGCGTCTTTGGGGCAGGATGCAGGATGTTGATGAGACGAAATTGCAGGGAAGCCATCTGGAGTCCTGATGGTGCTTGGAGATGTTATTGGAAGTAAGACACGGGGATCTGGCCAGCAGATGCTTTGCAAGAGATCAACCACAAAGGCTCGCAAAGGCACGAACAGCATAACTGGACAACTGATTGACGCAGATTATAGATCATCCAACCCACCCATCTCCTTCTCTTCCACCAGCCTCCTCTCGAGGCTACACCTCAACACCCTCTTCTCCTCCAACACACCCCATTGCTTCAGCCGATCGTCTTCCCTGTCCCAATACACCGCCCACCCATACCCACCCTTCTCCTCTTCCACAGCTACCAAGCTCTCCTCATCCTCGAGCGTCAAACCCTGTTCATCCTCTGTCCAGTCCCATGGACCCACTGTGTGATGCTTTGCTTCTGACCTAGGACCGTACTTGAGCTCTCGCGTCTCGCTGTCCGCGTAGATCCAATTCAACTTTGGACGCATGGTGTTCGACTTCGCCTTCGGTGAGGCCGGTATCGTGCTTACGAGCCCCAGGATGGGAGGTGCGGGCATGGGCCGGTGGGGAAGGTCGAGGTTTTCGGTTGGGAAGGGGTAGAAGAAGCCTGTGAAGGGGTGAGGCGTCTCTCCGCTGTCAGGGTCTTCTTTCGGCAGGCCAGTCTTAGAATCTTTCGGCCATAGTCGAAGCTGCATGTGCTTGTCAATGCGCTGCGCATTGCGCGGGTATGACTTGGACGTACCTTGCCGTCTTTCAAGACAATGATTGCGCCGTGGACCTCTTCCCTCTTTCTTGACTGCGCATCGCAATATACATCTAGGTAGAAGGGTTCCTGGCGTTCTGGCGCTTCGGCCTCTTCGTCAAGTAGCTGCTGTTGGTGAACGGCTTCGCTTGCGCCTACGGCTGTGGGAAGTCCAGCTATTGTGAGTAAATCTAATAAGACCATTATTCAAGTTTGATCAAGTTGTCACAATAATGCAAGGGATGCTGTCAAGACTTCACGCAACTGCAACATGGTGGGGTGATGGAAACTCCAAGAAAGTTGTTGTTGGAGCTGGCTAGGATGCGGCACGATGCTGTCATCGGTCGCGCGACTGTGGGGTTGAGCTTGGACCGATCCACTTGTGCAGAACTTCCAACGGTTCTCATTTCTGCACAACGAGGGTCACACATTTTCCTCCTACTGCCCTGGTGTAAACTTTTCTGATATTCGCCAGCTCTGCCATCGAGGGTAACATTGTCGATCTTCTTCATCCATGGGAGAAATCAGGTTTGCGTAGTCTTCGAAGTCGACAATGTAGCTACAGACAATTAGCTGGTGGTTGTCGGTACAGTTGGGTTTGCCATACCACTTTCGGGTTTGCTCGTCCCACATGAGATTGCGCAAGACATAGTCTTTAGGATCAATTCCACGGCTCTAAAGTTCGCTGCAAACATATTAGCATACATCCGGGCCACGCAAAGTCAGCATCGCTCATAGGAGTGCCGTCTTGAAAGCCTTCCTAATCTCATCCCTCTCCTCTTTACTCCGGTTCCAGAAAGCCACGACATCCGCCTCATCCCGGGGCACTCTTGCCATTAGAATGAACACCACAAACCCCCCGACCATGCCTTCCTTGTAGATACCTGGCATGAGCCAATCTGCGGTGTTGTCTAGGAACTGCGGCGCGTACGCACAGTCTGTCTTACGGAGCCGTTTGAGTGCTCTGATCTCGTTCAGAGTTTGTCCATTCGGTACTTCGACTGGATTGGTAGCCTGGTACAGCAGCTCTTCTGCCTGCTTCAGTTCTGTGAGTCTGCGCTTGTACTCTGTGGAATCGCAACTTGCAGTGAGCACCCTGATAGTCTCTGACATACAGCTGATAAACACAGATGCCTTGTCGGTTCCTTTAATCCTGCGCATGGGTTAGAAACTGCCATTCGTTTAAGACTGCGGTTCTCGCTTACTGGTACTTCACCTTGATCATGGCCCGTGTGACCCCACGATATAGGTCTTCTGGATCGTAGACACATATACATTCGAACACCTATCTAGCCTCGAATGGCGGCTCTCCCTGTTGGTACTTCGGGTGTGTTAAAGCTTTTGTCAACTTCCATCCAGAGCCATGGGAGAAGCAGACAATAACGCCAAGGAAAGTTATATGGTTGTCGCAGCCTGTTGTCAGTTCGATTGGCTCTTGGTGGAGACCTGCTTCGACCTGCGCATCGTAGACTTGTTGTTCGAGAGCCATTACTCGGATAATGTCGAGGCTTCCTGCTGGAGAAATTTGGGACGGTGTGATGGCGGTCGCAGGCGTTGTTTTGTTGATGGTGCCTTTGTTTGCCTACTGAAAGGGAAGAGCAGACGCAAGCAGCTAACCAATATAGGTATAGCCCCAGGAGCATCGTCTCCAGAAAGCTACTTCACTTGGACACGCACAAAGATGCCTTCTCCAAAGACACACACTATGCGCTTTTTCTGGAAACATTGCGGGTGAACAGTGAGCTTCACTCGAGGGTCATCGGCACTATGGGACATATAATTACCAACCAACCGTACTTACTATACGCCTCAAAGCATCCAGTCCGCTTCCTGTTAGCCGTTTCTATATCAAGACCACAGCTTCAACTCCTCAAGCGGTGGTAAATTAGTCCCATCATTCTATTACGTTCTTCTGGTGCTAACAATGAACAGGTCCGCCAGGCTCTGCGACCATGGCAACTCTACCAGATTGGACCCTCAACGCAGAGCAAGTACTTTGTCATGGCATGCCAGCCTTGAACATAGGTGAGCCTTGCACACAAACAGTGCTCAAAGCACCTGCGATCCGAAAGCACTTCACTGGTATGGTTTCCCAATGGAATTCTTTCGAGGGCGACGTTCTAAAGGAATGGAATCACGAGCGTACAAAGGCTGAACTACGCGCCTGCAAAGGCGTTCCCGTCGCTATGAATCCGGCAATCAGAACACTCAATGAAAACGTTGTAACGCCCGAACGAATCCAGTGTGGAGGGGAATGCACGCTCTCTGGTAGGTTTTATGCAAATGCACTCGCACTTGTCATCCACGCAGTTCAGACGATGGCTACCCATTCGTACGGATCTGGCGACAACTCATACCTTCCAACACAGCTCACGTTTGGTGATGCCTGGATTCGAGACATTTTCATCCGCGACAATAGATTGCAGCCTAATGTAGTGGGGAAAGCTCCAGATCAATGGTACGGATGAGGTACGCCTAGTGGGAGAATTCAAGTTTTCCGCCCACGTAGATCTTGGTGCCATGGTCAGCAAGATAATGCGAGCGAAATCTACAGAGCTTTGCAAAATTCTTCAGATCATGACTTCTGCGTGACTGACATCCTCCAGGTCAAATCGCACATTACACGGTTGGGCCCCGGCTGAAACATGCATTCCTTTCATATGGCTTCACCACACTGCAGATGGCGACGGTAAGCCTTTTCCTCGAGTTTACGTCTCGGAAGTAATCAGCAATAGTGACACCTTGAATGAGACGAATGGGAGGATAAGCATACGGGTTGCTCTTTTCTACCTTGTGCGCAAATCCTCCTCGCAAACGGAAGAAAACTGCGTATCTCCGAAAAGACACTAGAGCTGACGAAAGACTGGGTCAGGTTTTTGAATGATCCATTTCGATTTGTCGCGACCCACAAGGCTTAAGCCCTCGTGCCTATGCTCTCTATTGGCGATCGTAGTTCGTTACGGGGATGCTCGGCCATTATGGGCGCATTTTGGCCAGACATGTGTGTTGCATAGGTACACCCTTCGAGGTCTGCGAGCGCCGGCGATCGTCGCTCCGAGATGAGAAGTGAAGGTGTCTGCACGTGTTGGACTCTGTCGCACTTGCGCACTCGTTCCCCTTAGTTCATCGACTTCCATCTCGTACTCCATCACCATAGTACCATATCTCCACCAGCTTTGGCCGATCTATCATTGTTAATCGCTTTTCGCAATCCTCGGGCTCGTTTTACGACGGACAAGCGATGACCCTAAATAGACCGCCCTCAAGCTGGATGAGACATTGCTCGCTTTTACTTCCCCCAAATCGCCGCTGACAAACACTACTTAGCACCGCTGCATACGACGCTGTAGCAGCGAAGACCTCAGCTCTTTTCGCGTTGGTACACAATGCAACACTCGCAGCAGACAGCAGAGTGAACATCGCCACAAGACCCAACTTCGCTTCCGGGCTGGAGACCAGGTAAAGAGTCACAATCGCGGCGACACGCAAGACGGTAGCAAGAATCAGGTCTAAGGTGGCGACAGTCCGGACGATGTGTGAGTTCCTGTACAGGGCTGTGCGGTCAAGAAAGTTGGTAGCATCCCGCTTCTTGAGCAGCCAGTGATCCCGCAGCAGGCGCGATAGATGATCCGTCTCCAATGGCTTCTGAAGTGTAACAAGGTCAATCTTGGAGTCTAGAAATTCGCTAGCGCGACCCGCGATAAGATCCAATGGGTTCTCCTGAGTTGCCCCCAAAGCTGTTCCTTTCAGGAATTCTTTATACGCCTCGAGGACGCGATCGCTTGGTTTACTGAGCTAAGCCACTTGTGATCTCAACGATAAATGCTCATCTTCGCATGTCAGCTCCAACATCCTTCCGGGGAGGTCTTCATGACTCGCAGCCAGCTTACATTACTCTTCCAGAACAGTCTGACTGTCTTCAAGCTTTTGCAGCAACTTGCTCTCGATGCTGTCAACGACTTTGGCATTCTCCGACAGAGTCTCCCAGCATTGCAGCGCTTCCTGAGCATCAATGGATTTCGCATTTCGCGCTTCGTCCAACGCATCTAGCTCAGCCTCAATCTCCTATAATCCGCAAGGTAAGCTCCGAACCAACGATACCGCTGCACAGTACTAAAAATGGTAACAGAGCACATCGACATGTCAGCCATACCGAATAGAAGGTATGCGGAAACTTGTCTCCGCAGCCAAAGCAAAGCCAGGATTGTCAGACTCCCCAAGGCTGAACAAGACGTCGCAAGGCAAGCAGAAAAAGAACGGCGGGAGAATTGGCAAAGGGAAATGGACACACTTGAACAAGCTCAGATAATCAACGCCCAACAACCCTCAGCTACGACAACTCCGAGTCCAGCGTCAGCGGCTACACCCCAGCCACCGTCGTCGCCTACAAAACGATCTAGCTTTTGGCTAAAGCTCAAACGTCAGAGAGGGCAGAAGCCATCAGTCAGTCGAACTTGAAGGTGGGTTCAAGGTTTCGATGGATCGCGGATAGAGTCGATTCTGAAGTGCTGATGCTGACACGTCCGCCATCGATGGTTCAAGCCAGTGATGCATGTTGATTCTCAAGTGCTGATTTCAAACATACTTGCTGGCCGTAGCTTTCCTTTTGTGTATGTATCAAATTCTTGTTATGGAGTGTCGATCTGCTGTATATTTATGATACCCTAGAGCAGAGAATAGACCGTATTACCGCCTCACTTGCACACCTCTTCGCAATCAACCGCGTAACCCATCGAGTCCACTATAGTCAGCGCCCCAGACATATGCGCCGTAGTATCGATTGTAGTTCTGCATCCAGACAGCTCTGTAGCCTTTGATTACTGCTCTCAAGTCTTCCAGGAACTGTGCAGCCTCGTCTTGCTCTTCGGCATTTTTTGACGGGAAGTACTTGGATTTGATGACATTGAACCAGAAAGTTGTCTCGGCTGTCGCCATCAGTCCGAGACCAGCATAGACAGTGTAGCGTACTGCTGGTCGCGCCTCCCGAATCTGAGCCCACAAGTTGAAAGACGACGCCGAGTTCTCTTGAGGTGGGACGGCTTTGTGTGAGGAGATGTGTCTCCTGGATAGTGGGGCGAGTTGGGTGCTCAAGCCTGGTAGGCTGTGCAGTTGGCGTGTTGAAAAAGGTGAGGCTCTTCGCGCTGGTACCAGCATCTGGACTGCACCAGCGAACATGATGTTTTTGTGGTTTGACGACAAACGAGTATTGAGGGAGAGACTTTGACGTCTGACATGAGAGGCCTACCGAGCTGTACTTACCTCTGTCTGCTCTACTCAGACATCTCGCACTTTGTTGCCTGTTACTCGGTGTTGTTGTCGCAGTCAGCAGCCAAGCCTCAGCCTCTCGTTCCGGATGAAAATCGCGAAATCGACGCAATTTCCCACTAGCCGCGACAACGGGCGAGGGGTGCTCATGTGCGCCGGTGACGTCTGCTTCGCAACCAAACAAAGACGTGCGAACACATGGTGCGGGCGTGGCAGATGCTCATGGCCAGTGGCCAAGTGATGGCTGTTGATGTCAGAGACATGCTTGACGCTTGTCAGCCACTCCCTTTTTCCCTGTTTGCTGGATCGCAGCGCGGGGAAGGAGCGAACAGGGATACCGCGGCATGGTCCATATCCACTTCGTTTGTTGATGACCCACCCTTTTGCATGCATCACTCAGGAACGCAAAGCAAACTCCATGCGCCTTGGGGCACGCAGCGCTCAACCCTCAACACACCTACCACCTGTTTTCTGCACTGTTTTTGACCCTGTAGCTAGCTGTCCACTCGAGTACTATGCACACCACCGCCCATCCCGCCGCACTGCATCCAATATCTACTATAACCGTCCAAAACTTAAGACTGCCGCCCGTCCTGGTAGCCCCGCGGTAGCACAACAGCACGCATGTCGACCAGCAGCGCGGGCTGCATTCCTGGGCCGCGCTGTTGCTGTGGAAGCAGCGACTGCGCCTTCCTCGCCCATAATGGCCGCCTGCTCGACGGCCTCGAACGGGACGTCTCCAAAGCTGCACAGCTCGGTCAAGTATGTCCACGCTCGCATGCCCGCCGCCCTGCTGCCCTCACCTTCGCGCCATGCCGCTGACCTTTGCTCTGCAGGCCCTGCTCGTCCGCCATGAAGCCTACGTCGCCGACTCGGAGCGCGAGCGCCGGCAGATGATGGCCAATATCGAGCGCCTGGAGAACGAGAAGCTGGAACTCGAAGCCAAGAATGCGCAAACGATCAAAGAGAACCGCGACCTTCTGGACCAGCTCGAGCAGCTGAACGAGTCCGTCTGCGGCTCAGATGCTCAGATCCAGGCGCTGCAGGACACGCTGCGCTCGACCGAGGAGGAGCTGCAACGGCTGGCGTCGTTGGCCGCACGCACGCAGCTGCTGGAGGCGCAGCTATTCGACCTGGAGAGGGAGCAGTCGCGGCTGCAGCACAATCTGGAGACCAAAACAGTCGATGAGCGCACGGCCATACAACGCTGGCAAAAGGCCGAACGAACGCTTGGCGATCTGCAGGATCAGATCGACCGTATCGAAAGGGAGGCTGGTGAAGAGAGGGAACGCCATGTTGAAGTCGTCGCGCGTATGGAGCGGAGGATGGCCGTCGAGGGCGAGCTGGGCTCAGCAGCAGCACGTCTAAAAGCAAAGGCCGGGCAGGAAAAGGGTGGTAGCACTGTCGTGTCTCATTTTGTCAAGGACATACTCTTGGACAATGCGAATCTGCAGCACGGCATACTGGAGCTGCGGGAGATGCTGGTCAACTCCAACGAGGAAGTCGAGCGGTTGCGAGACCAGCTGAGGATACACCAGCCTGTCTCCACATCGCCAACCCAAGAAGTTCCCAGGTCAACGCTTGACAAGGAGATAGATCTGGAGACTGACATCGTCGAACCAGTGGGGGGTCAGGAACTGCACATCCACCATCACTACCATGGATCGAAACCAAGCAAGAACCCACCCAAGGTACAGGCTCAGCGACGATACAGCAAGAAGAAGCGCTTCAGCCTCACATCCGGTCATTTCGATCCTGCACCGCCCCTCGGCCGAAACTCGACCGCTACCATCCTCTCCCAGACTGCCGTCACTGTACCCAATTCTCACCGCTGGTCACAAGCAACGACACTTGGCCCTGGTTCCCTTCCAAGTTCGCCGGTATCCGACTCGCATCGCGGCTCCATGTACGATCGTGTGTTCAGCGATGCAGCCTACGACTCCTCAAGACCTACCAGCCCCCCTGACTCGATCGACATGCACTCCCCCATGTTTGGCCCTACAAACTCTAACGACGTTTCTTTCGACCTAGATTCGACACCTCGTCACCACCGAAGGAGCAGATCGCGGGGTCTGAAGCCCCCGATGATGCTGTCAACATTCCGCAGTGCTAGTAGCCCAATCGTCATGGCCACCAAGAGTGCTGCTCATGCTGTTATCTCCGCTGTCAGCAGTCCCGTTGGCTCATACACAAACGATGCATTCGCTCTTTCGCCCACCCCCTCAATACACCCTGAACCTCAAGCCGCAATACCCGAAGAAAATGAGGATGCCTCAGTCCTGGTACCCGAACACGTCCTAGTAACGCCAGACGAGACTGAAACCGACAATGATCTCATATCACCTGTCACGCATACACGACCTGCGCTACGTCACCACGCATCTCATGAATCGCTCATATCAATTTCTGGAATGGACATACATACCCTACAATCTCGCCCTGCCCAACTTCTAATGTCAAATCGATCACGCTTCTCCACACCGAAGGGCGCTGGCTCAGCAGATCCTGAGCTCACTCCATGGACAGCTACTGCTCACGGCAGCCTCTCGCAAGGCAGAGCTGATAGCAACCGCAGTCGCTCTTTCCTGTACTCCACAATCACAAATCAGAAATGTGGCCCACGCAAGAATGAAGGACCAGCAACTGGCAAGAGCTCTGGAGGTTGGTTCTTCGGCAAGTGGGGCGCTACACCAACATCTATTTCGACATCACCTGCCGCGTCACCGTCACTGCGGCCGACTTCCTCTGGGTCGCGCCAAACACAGTCTTCGCAAGACACCGCAAAAGCAACACCGCCTGAGCCTACAACCGCGAAGGGGAAAGCTGCCGCCAAATCCACAGTTGCGAAGCCGAAGCTCAGGCCGAGTGGTGTCAATCAGAACGGTCCGATCTGGGGCTTTTTCGACAGCATACCTGAGACCCCAACAAAGGTTGTGGTGATGGACTACGACGCTGAGGCGTTGGGAGAGGCGCTGAATGACCGCAGTCCACCTCGTGTGATCAGTGGAGTCTAAGCGGGATCAGTGGGCTTGTGTATGACATTTGTTCATACTACTTTTTGGATACCTCATCTATTACTAACTTTTACTATCATTTAATAACTTTCCTACTGTTTGGGATAAAAGAAACGCGTTGTTCACTTTTCTTTGAATAGAAGAACCATATGTGGATACGACAGATGTGCTTGGATAGAGGAAACGAGAGGGCTTTGTGCATGGAGAGTGGTGGATTGTGAATATACCCCGACACCGTACGGTCGTCTCATATGTATGGCAAGAGCAGAGAATAGCATAATACTTAACCGTTTGTGGCTTGGACATGGACTGCAGTTTGGACGTGTTTGGTGGACCACAAATCCTTGTATGATGCTACCTCCGTTGCTATGCCATGTCTCAATTGGATGTTAAGCATTTCGATGGACAGGAAAGTCTGTCAACGATCGCATTACTGCGCAGGGACATCTGACAGCAATCTCTATGCCATTGCTAGATTGCCTGTGAAGCTACTAAAACCTGAAGAAGTACAGATATCCCTACCCAGCCTGGTCACAACTCACGTTCGGCCGCGAAGAAGAGTGCCACAATGGCTCTGTTCATGAGGGTTACGGGTGCAAGAAGGTACGGTTCTGGTATCCAGTCGCGGAGCGCGAAAGGAGTAAGAGTGAAGTGGGGGTGCGTGTCCAGGGAGGGATAAGATGTATGGTGATCTGAAGAGGGTGCATCGGAAAGAGGTGGGAGATGGATACTGACCTGCCTTATGGAGACTATGAGGCCAGTCGGTACGCATTCACGGTTTGAACATGTGCTAACAGCATCTAGTACCCCGTAGAACTACGAGAGTTGTGCGATGAACGAAACTCCTGTCTCGGAGTGATTGTCTCACCGCTATATTCTCATATATTATTACTGCATGAGCAGTGTCGGTCGGAGGCTGTGTATCAACACTTGTATTGCCATCTGTGTTGTTGTTCGGTGATGTTCTTGTCCAGGAGTTCTCAGCTCAGAGGTAAGTGCACTTGCTCTTGGGCGGTGCCTTCCACAATAGGATATCATGTGACTTAAGCCATGTAGTTACATTATTCGTCATCCGTTCCGTCGTTGCAAGTGTTCTGTCTATGGGCGGGGAATTTTTGCTGGGCGAGAGGAAGTTCTGGGTGTACGTCGCGATCGTGTGACCTGCTTTGCTGCTCATTGGCAGGCTTTGGTTCATCGCGGCAAAGCAGTCTGAACAATTATTTTCAAAGAGGGCCATTCGAAAGAAGTTAGACAGATGGCATTCTGCCTAATGAGCACTACCCCCTCTTCTCTGTACAATCCAGGTTTCTGTCAGGCCGCCACAACTACGGAATGTATCAGTCTGTTGATGCATGAGATATGAACGCAGTTCAGTTAACACCTGTGCTCTTAATCCCGATCTCGTAATTGTGGGTACTCAGTTTCAGCTACAGGGCTACCTCATAGGAGCCATCCGGAATCCGGGATTGTATAAAAACCCGAATCTCGAATCGAGTTTAACATAAAGCCTTAGCGCTCGAAAGCACAAACAATTCAGAACCCAGCAACGAAAACTCGGCCTTAGATCCTCCTCCTCATTTTGCTCGACGCAATGGCTGATCCAATCCAACTCACATCACTCAATCCACGCGAAGCCGTCACAGATGCTCTCCACCGCTGCATTCTTGGCATCGACAGCAACAACAGAGACCTTTTCAAATCAGCATGCTTAGCCAACGAGGAAATGACTTTTGTCGGGGGTGGATTCACCGTGGAAGGCTGGATCGCGATTAAAGAGTTATTCGAACGGATTTTCGTCCTAGTCACCACACACATCACCAGCAACATCCGAGTTGAAATGGAGGACGGCGCGGACACAGCGTTCATGACAGCCCACGCCATTTCATATCATGTACGACCGGACGATGCGCTGAAGCTAGAGGACACATCTTATACGGCATCGAGCCTATACTCTATCGACCTTGTCAAGAATGGCGACGATGGCTTGTGGAAGATCAAGAAGTGGGATATTAAGGTGCTGTGGACCACGGGTGATAGAGCAGTTCTCCATGGATGAAGTCTAACATGCCACCATCATCAATAAATGAATATTGCATACGTGGGCGCGCTCGCGGTTCAAAGGTCTTACTTGAACTCTTCGTGCATCCAGGCTGTTCTCACAATACGTCGCTTTAGGCAACCACGCCAACATCAGGTAACTATGCACGGTCCACGCACCCAACACCCGCACTTCTGCCATTATATACACCATTCCAACAAAGTGAACGCACTCAGTACCTTTTACAAGTCTATAACATCGCTATGGCCAGGACCAAGCAATCAGCTCGTTCCTTGCTCGACGATGACACCACTCCTGCAAGAGTACTGCGGACACGACAGATGCCAATACCAAAGAAACAGGTTCGTCTGTCCTGAGCACAAAGCATCCATTGGAATTAATCAGGAGTAGAAGCCAAAGTATACCTGCAGTTGCAACAGCACTGCCGCTGCCGGTCAACATAGCTCTCAGTGTTCCGTAAAGCGCTGCGTGGAGCCTCTCGCCTGGAACATCGATGCCGACTCCGTTGTGGCACAGACAGATTGTCCACTTTTTACCACCATTCCAAAGGAGCTCCGGGATCTCATCTATGAGTACGCGCTTACCGAAAGCACACACAATCAATCTGGCCAAGTCGAACCGAGCATGAGATCCACGAACTTACGCCGTCGAAGAGATCATGAGCAGAGCCAACAACGTGATCGCGCAGAAAACCTCCTCTTGACCTGTAGGGCCATCTATTTGGAAACATTTTTGCTTCCCATTCGCCTGAACCCCGTTCAGTTCCCGTACTTCAATGGAATATCCCGTTCCGCGCCAAAGATCATGCTTCCTTGGCAGTTTGCAAACATCCAATCTCTCGACATCGCCCTCCAACAGACGGCGCTGGAGGGTGACTCCCTGTACAACTTCCTCTTCAGCCCAACAGGCTGGCAGCCTGAAGCACGACACAAGGGCGTGTACGTAGCGCCATATGTCGGCCTCAAGAACACAGCCGGAGGCAGCTGCCGGTCTTGCGACTTCACGCTGCTCCCTGCGGGTTTCGATGATGAAAGGCTGCATCTCAGCGATGCTCTTGAGGAGTTGCGCTTGCCACCTGGATTTCAGAAACCAATGTCTGATATGCGCCTACAACGCGCAAGGCCCCTCGTTCAGTTGACACTTCGCTTGTTAAGCAGGAATTGGTGGACCTGGACCGATGACCCAAACAGCACGGATGCTAGGCACCATCACCTGGGCCTCGAGCCTGCGCTCGGCGATGGCAGTGCTGATCTTAGCCAGCGTCCGACCAGTACACGGATGCAGGAACTAGCACAGCAGAGGCGCGATGGGTATAGACCAGTCTCAAGATCCCCTCTGGCGAAAACGATGCCGGGTTGGGCGCACGTCATCGCCAAATTGCCCGACATCAAGACCCTTGAGCTGGTCTTGGAGACATTTGGAGAGAAGAAAGCACAGCTGGAGAAAGTAATCGATTGCGCAAAGATGTGGCGCTTTCCCATCGCAGACACGCAATTCGAGTTGGCGTGGGACGGCAAAGTGGAGGAAAAGCGTTGGAGCAAGCCGCTCATCGAAAACTGGGAAACTCAACGCGGAGATTGGCACGCTCAAAGCACCGAGTTCGAAGCGCGAACTGTACGTTTCACTCGGCGACGCATGGCCCCAGGATCTATTGATGAGGACTGCAAGGTCCACTAGTCTTCCATATTCACTCCTTACAATTTCAACATAACCTTCTCTTCCCTCCCCTTCAGTTTCGGATGCTGCGTAATAGCTGGCCTCGTAAGTGAAAAAAACGCCGTTCCGCGAGAACGACTTCAAAGTCCGATCAAAACTTCAACAACCACACATCATCTAACCTCTCATTGTCTTCACCAAGCCCTCCATGCACAACCACGCTATCGTTCCCCAGTCCCTCTCCCTTGACCACGTCGGCGTCGAACCAACCCCTGTTCGCAGGCGTTCCCTCTTCACCGCTGTTCGGCTCCAGCTTTGTCCACCACTCCTCACTGATATCGTAGATCCATACGTCCCCCAACATCTTCCCCGCCCCCGCATGTCCCAAAGAACTCGGATCCCGCTCGCCAAACAGCGTAAGCAACTTCTGCTTGCGCCCAAGCTGAACGGGGAGGAGCGCGCATACACTTCTTGCCTCGGGTCCATCGCTGCCGTCAGCCTTGAAGCTCTTCGTACTCCACGAATTGGTTTCGGTGTTGAAGATATCGACACACCCACCGACCTCGGTCTTGCCGTCGAAGCCGTTCATGCGGTACAACTTCCCGTTGCTAAACGCAATACTCGTGCCTCCACGATGCGGCGCGGGAGCGTCGGGAAGCTGCGTCCATGTCCGCTCTTCGCTGTTGAAAGCCCAGAGATCAGCTAGACGGCCTGAGGTGGGACAGCCGGCGTGGACGTAGAATATTGACTTGCCGTCGGAGGTTGAGGTGTGGTAGCTGCGTGCTGGCGGAAATGCGGCAGAAGAGTCGGAGGGAGTGAGTTTTTCCCAGGAATGTGAGGTGGGCGTGTATTTCCAGACGGCGCCGGATTCTTCTACGGGCGCCATGTCCACGCCGCCCCGGCCGGAGAAGATGTATAGTGCATCGTTTATGACGGCGGACGCAGTGCCTACACGAGGACTGGGTGCGTTGCTTACGCTTTTTGTTTCGTGGTTTAGTGATTCTGGAGATGGTAGTATGGTGACGATGCTGGAGTACCTTGATGGCGAGATTGGAGGGGTGGATTTACCAGCGTTGAGTGCAACAATGTCCACCTTGTCATCTACGGGTTGACGAGGCTGTACTTCTCCACCGAATATACACACCTGGCCATCGACGACTGAGAGAACCTGGGATGATCGTTTGAGGCGGTCGTTCTTGACCAAGCGCTGCCAACTGCCTTTCAGCGTGTTAATGGGCATTGAGACGGGCATCGTGAGTCGACGACAAAAGTTCCTGGTAAGCGGTAATTTCGAGTGGACAGTTGAACGGCACAGGTTATATGTAGTTGACTTGAGCAATTGCGTCATTTGACAAATGTTGAAACGGTGCATGTATCTCCTGCCTACTGCGAGCTCCCACCACGCTAGCTCGCCCAACACAGCTAGAACAGCCGCAAGTCCGTCATAGCTTCGCGTCTCTCAAATGTTCACGCGCCGTCACTCCCAAAACCTTGAAAGCGACGCAACGATGCGTTTGCGCCTCACAATCCAGCGCAACGGCCTGCCCGCCGCCAACATTCTTTGGAGCGTCCCAGACACCAACAGCACAACCGCGTATACGGTCACCAGGCTGTTAGAAGACGTCAATCTCATCGTGCCGCTTGAGTCAGAGCACTGGGGCCTGGAGCATTATGTCGTTGAGGTGGGCGGGTTCGAGTGTTTGCATTTCATGCCTGTGGGGCAGTGCTTGAAGGAGGATGATCATGTTTCGTGCGTTCACCCTACCCTACTTGTGCTCGTGAAAGTTTTAAGGTGTAGTGTAAAGTGCTAACGAATGGGCTCAGTATAAGACCTCTCATGCGCGCCGAAGTCCGTGCCCGGACGCTCATGGGTCGACACCAGATCAGCGATGGAGGGCAGCATCTTGTTGATGGCGTGCCATTCGGGCGACCGCACCTGAGACAGCCGAATCGTCCTGCGGTCAGGATTCCGCCGAGGAAACGCCAGAGGCTGGAGGAGATCACGGATGAGGAGGAGGCGCGCTTGTTGGTGGAAACACAACAGGAAGAGGAGGCAGAGGAGAGTGAGGCGCTGGCCAACGGGAGTGCGCTGGCGGCAGCCGCACCGGGGCGCAAGTCGAGAGGAGCGGAGAAGACAGTGCACTTCAAGCAGCCAGAGGTGGAAATGGACCTGGATGAGGACAGCGAGGACGACGGAGATGACGATTTTGCGCCCGGTGAGGAGAGCGACGACGTGGGTGCCGACGGCTCCAAGGACAAGGACTCGGACTCGGACTCGGACTCGGACTCGAACTCAGAAACAGACTCGTCGAATGCTTCAGACGCCTCAGATTCGGACTCGGACTCGAGTTCGGACGACTCCTCGAGCGATTCAGATAGCGACAGCGACGCGGCGCCTGAAGTGCGGTCTTCGAAAGCACCAGTACCGAAGAATGTTGTCCCACAACCACCGACCCTTCTAAACACATCTCCGCCTGGCGAAGGCAAGAAAACCACACAGTCACGAAACGCGCGCCGAACGAAAACGAACCGCCTCAAACACCTCAAGGAAGCTGGCAAGCTACACAAAGACGCTGATCTGAAAGCTCTTGAGAGATACGATGAGGAACAGAGGCTGCAGCAAAACGGTGCACAGCTGGAGCAACGGCATCCTTTCGCGCAGCCAGCTGGGAAGAGGAAGCGCATAGAAGATGAAGAGCCTACACAACCCGCTATAGATGAGGCAGCAGAGCTGGAAAAGCGCAAGCAAGAGATGATCGCCAGATTTGGTCAGGATTCAGATGTCACAATGGAAGTGGAAGAGCCAGCCTCGAGCAGGACCGACAAAGCTACTTCGGCGTCACCGCAGCAGGAATCGAAAGAGCCAGGCGCAACCCCAGAGAAAGCTCCAGAACGAAAACGATTACGGCCCGATGTCTCAGCTATTGGCCGTATGCTCGCTCGCCAGACCAAGAATATCTTACAAAAGCCTGTGAAGGCTAAGGAACCAACTCCAGAACCAGAAGGCTCGACAGATCCGGAGTATTGGAAGACCAGGATCAATCTCTCGGCGTTCGAATGCTGGGAGGAACAGTACGAATTGACCGCCCCGCCGTTCCCGTTCCAGCAGCATTGGGATCCCGTAAGCAAGGTCATGCGTGACGCCGCGAAGAAAAAAAAGAGCAAAAAGGGTGGCAAGAAGCCAGTACCCGTGCAAGAGCCCGAAGAGGAGGAGGAGGAAGAGGAGAAGATATTCCTCAACTACGATGATACCCCGAACGACGATAACCCAGATGTTGAGATTCACGCAGCCATCGAGGACCAGCTTCAGCAAGACATTGCAACAGCCTCGCAAGCACAGTCCGACCTACCACTCTTACCGGATGACCTGAGCACATTACCAGACTTGACCTCTGCCGACATCAAGGAAGGAGCAATCATCGTCTGCAAGTTCTTTGGCGTCAACCCGATCACCGTCACGCCTGAAATCAGTGGTTTCAAGACTGCTGTCGTTGAGCGTGAAGGCGATTCGGGCGCTGGCGCGGGCACGATCAGGTTGAAGATTGCTGAGCACGACTTGCCAAAGAGGCAGAAGAAGTTCAACAGTAAGGGAGAAAGAGTGTATGACGCTAAGGACGGCTTCTTCATGGATGAGGGGGAAGACGAAAGGCTGTGGAGTGGTATGTTTGGTGAGCTGTTGGAGGGAAAGCTACTTAAGGCTGCTTGAACGAACTCTCAGCTATGGAGCCAGATCTCAGCTCTGCTTTTGTACAGTCTTCGACGCAATATACCCTTTCACACTTCATGTACGGCTGCAGTCTCCCGTGCAAGTGCCCTTCCGGTCGGCGTTCGCAAATTTCAGCAGCCGATGCCGGACCCCGCCAAAACGTCATGCCGTCCCTCCATGCACCTCACTGCAAGGCACCCTGATCGCCCATGCAGCAACGGTCGTCAATCCTCTTTTGCATGTGTCAACTTTGAGTTTGCAACTGCCGAAGAATACACAACAAGTACTGTGGGGTGACCTCTTCGTATTTCTTCAAAATGGACCCTGACTGCCGAGCATCTCTCCACATGCCGTGCTCAAGCGCTTGTCCTCGGCGCCTCGGACGGATCCATCCATCAATTAGCTCGTCGAGACAACTGCCGTGAGTGGATGGGTGGGGTAGCTCCACGGTCTGGTTGGGTTTGGGTAAGTATGATAATGTGATGCGACACGCGCAGTACCAAATCTCTTAAAGCCTTGCTTCCCTCTGGACTTGTACGTTCTGTAACTATACCGTTCTTCACATACTCTCCATATTGTAAGTAAAGCTTCCTTGAACCAGGTCATCTGGGCTTCTCAAAAGCTCCATACCATATCGAAGCTCCGCGGCACAACAACACCACAACCCCATCCTAACATCCCACCAGCACAATGCCTCTCCCCTACGGCGTCTACCGCGCCGATCACGTCGGCTCCTTCCTGCGCCCGAAATCCGTCCTCGAGGCCCGCCAGAAGGCTGCCAACGGCGAGATCTCCGCCGCCGACCTGCGCAAGGTCGAAGACGAGGCCGTCGCCCAGGTCGCTGAGAAGCAGATTCAGAATGGTCTCCGCTCAGTCACAGACGGCGAATTCCGCCGCGCCTACTTCCACCTCGACTTCCTGAAGCACCTGGCGGGCATCGAAGAAAAGGGGCAAGTCGGCAACATCAGGCACAAGGATGGGTTCAGCCCGCCAACTTTGGTAGTAAAGGACAAGCTCGGCCACCCGGAGGCCATCCAGGTCGATGACTTCAACTTCCTCGAGCAAGCCATCAAGAACAATGGGGGCGCCGCAACAACAAAAGTATGCATCCCCTCGCCCACAATGGTGCACTTCCGCGGCGGCCGCGCCTCAATCGACATCTCTGCATACCCCGACCTGGATGTGTTTTTTGAGGACTTGGCGAGGGTGTATCAGGAGGAGTTGAATAGCTTGTATGAAGCCGGGTGTCGCTTCGTACAGCTCGACGACACAAACCTCGCATACCTGTGCGATCCGGATATGCGCAAAGCCGCTGAGACGGAGCGGGGTGAGGATTTGTCGGTTCTGCCGCGCAAATACGCTGCGCTTATCAACGCAGCTATTTCTAAGAGGCCGAGCGATATGAAGATCGGTATCCATCTATGCCGCGGAAACTACAGGTCAAAGTGGTTCGCGAGTGGAGGCTACGAACCCGTCGCCGAAGTCCTGTTCAAGGAACTCAACGTCGACGCATATTTCCTCGAATACGACGATGCGCGGTCCGGCGACTTCTCACCCTTGCGCCACCTTCCTGAACACAAGGTCGTCGTTTTGGGTGTCATGAGCTCGAAGAAGAATGAGTTGGATAACAAGGAGGAGATCATCGGGCGGTTGAAGGAGGCGGCGTCGATCGCGCCCAAGGGGCTGGATCAGTTGTGTTTGAGCCACCAGTGTGGGTTCTCGAGCACAGCGGAGGGCAACGAGTTGACAGAAGAGGAGCAGTGGGCGAAGGTGAGGCAGGAGGTCGAGATTGCTAAGCAGGTCTGGGGCGAGGATCTGAGCCAGTAGAGGCTGTGAGTTGATGTTGGCCAGGAGTTGTGGCGCACACGAAAAGCGATGAAGATGGTGTAGATTATAGTCCCAACGAGGACTGATGAAGTCATGTCTCAACGACTGATGTGTAGATGTAGCATATACCCCAATCGAACGGTTCAACCCTCAGGCCTCGACTCCACAGCGCCCACAACGACCTCGGTTTTTGACAAGTCTGCTTGACGCTTCCTCAAGAGAATTCATCAACAGCACAAGGATTGTATCTCGACTGCTCCGGACCAAGCCGTTCTCCCGATGCTGCTGCTGCTCACTAGTACTGCGGCTTACCATGCGCGTCGAGCTTACGATCCCACTCTTCTTCCGCAGGCGTGTTGCGCCTCTCACTATAGACACTAGCCAGCTCTTCCACACCGAAAACCCTAGCAATTGTCAGTGACATACTCACTCTTAGACCAAGCGCATTAGCAAGTCACTTACCGGTCACCCTCAGCAACAGCATCACACGGTCCAAAGACCCACATTATATACTTGAACAACTCTCGAATATCGTAACGGAACGGGAAGAACTGCTTGGGGTCAAGGTACTCACGACACCGGTCCTGCAAGTTGAGTCTGTACCGAGCATTCTTGGGGTGCAATTCCTCGACCCGCCAGACGCCGTGTTCTTCATTCCACCATCCCTCGGCAGCCCTGGCCCCCTTCGGCACCGGTATCGAGACGACCACTGTTCTCGAGTGTTCTCTGTCTGCGATCTGAGGGAGTGATGTCCGCTGCGAAGGTCTTGCGCAGAAATTTGTGCAAGTTTTCAAGATCGAAGAATGTGGTGCGACTGTCTGTTGTTGTTCGTTGAGGATATAAAAGTTATTGCACAGTGTATATTCACGCTAATCCTTATACCGTTGTTTGTTGACGAGGGTCTGACCGGGTTTGCGTCTTGGGCCAGGCAAGTCAGAGTTGCCCTCACCCAAACGTCCTCCAACAACAGCAACGCCACTTGGTTCGAGGTCGCTGATGACATCGTTCCATTCACCTCCAGGCTTTACGTAGGCCAGACCCTTGTCTGCGTCGTAGCTTGCGCCGGCAAGATCAATCATACCGATTTGCATGCCACCCTGAACTGTTGCATGACCAACGTTTGGATCGTGGCCTCCACTACGTGTGGCGAACCTGACACTAGGGTATTTGCTGAGAACCTTCACGACGGCAGCAACGTCCTCTGCGGAGGTAGGCTGCACAGTGCATGCTGAGTCGACACTGCGCAGAGTGGTGGACCAGTACTGCTGTGTCTCATGCTCATACTCAAGAGCAAGAAAGCCCGGCGTGAGGACCTTTCCGGGAAGTGCATTGTTGATATCGGTACAGACTTGAGTAGTAGCCTGATCAGGCGCAGTGAACGACTTGCCAGCGCCGAGCAAGAAAACAGCAAGGGTCAGAGACAGGGTGGGAGCCATATTGTAGGGCTGATCAATGACTAAGAACGGGATCCACGACCACGATCAAGGCGGGTTTACAGGGAGCTCTCCCAGACTGATATACATCTTCAGAAGAACGGGGCGCTTTCAAAAGGATCTCCCAACTGCCACCGTGTATGCACTGTGTAGAGTCAAGCACAAGTGACGTGCTGCAAGGGTTTCTGTATCGAGGTGAGCTCGTTCATCTATACCATGTCTTCGGCCTGTTTAGTTCGCTTCAATTGCTCAGTTGAGTTACTGAGATGCTTAGTCTCCGATCAAGTACCGGTATCAGAGCCTTGTGTGAACGCGAATGCGAGCAGCGTTGAGATTCTGGTAAGCATGTGGCCTCGGTGGTCCGCCCCCTCAGATAGGCAGGCACTAACTTGCATTCGAGAACGTAGTGGGGATCATCCTGCATATGTAAGGGATTTAGGATTGCGGCATTGCTTCATCCTTGTGGAGTCGTGAGTTTTTCGAGGCTGACATGATAAGAAGTGGCATGACTGTCGAGATGAGCTGGCGCCGCGCATGAGGTGATGTAAATCTCAGAGTATGGGATGAGCAGCGTTGCTGGCGAACGTTGAACTGAAGAAGGATCGAAGCAGCCTTCGTGCGGGTTTCAATGAAGACTAGACTCCGAGAGCAGTAGGGAGACGCCCCTTTGACAAGCCACGAGGATGGCGTAGGACAAAATTGCGATTGATATTGGCACGTTGGAAGAGTGAACGGTTCAAGGTTTGTGGGTCTGAGTTGGCTCGTGCACGTGAATTCGGCAACCACGACCGTGTGTTTGTAAACACCAAACGAAAGGCTCACCACCGCCATTGTGCACGACAACGCTCCATCACGACTAACATGGAGTCGTATAACCTCAAGACCGCGGCAACATACATCAACAACTTACTTTTGGCTCGCGGACTATTGCGTGATGGAAAAGGCATTGAGTTCGCGCACCCGTCGCGAGCAGAGGGCGGCAAGGAGGCCACGATGGCTCAGATCATCAATCTTGTCCATGATCTGATCCTGAAGCGTGATGTATGGTGAAAACAACTACCACGGGATGTCCTAGTACTGACATCACTGCAGCGTGACCAGGAGTATCGAGAATCTGTCGCAGAGACCGTTCGCAACCTACGTTCAGAACAGTCGCGACAGTTGATATCGCTCGAGAAGCTACAGACTCGCAATGCAGACCTCACACGTCAATTGTCTCTTGCGCAGTCGCAAGAGCATGCCGCCCGCGCCGCTTTACGAACCGCCGAATCGTCAGCACGCAAGCTGCGTGCAGAAATGCTGCGCCTCAAGACAACCATAGATCAAGTCCGGACAAGTTGCGCAAATGACGTGCGAAAGCGCGACGTTCAGATACAGCGCCTGAAGAGCCACCTGACCACCCAGCAGCGTGGCAATAAGACGGGCCTTGTAGGCGCAAGCATTACAATCAACCCCGGTGTCGCTGGGCTTGGTGGTTCAACAAGTGCTCTACGAAATGAGGAGCCAGATCTCGAAGATCCGGGTTACAGCCTAAAGCAGGAGACCACGGAATTTTTGACGCAGCTGAGCCAGAGCTTGAGCGACGAGAACGACAGCTTGATTGCTCTTGTGAGAAGTACGCTTGTGACGTTAAGGGAGTTGCAGGGCATGCCAGAGATGATTGCACAGGAAGATGCAGATGGGCTCTCGGTAGTTGGGGAAGAAGATGAGGACGCACGACAGGGCATGATGCACGCATTACCTACCAGCTACGAGGTCCTCGCCAGCGACACAGACGCAGTACTCGACAACCTCAAGAACCTGCTCACAAACCCCAACTTTGTATCGGTAGATGAGGTCGAGTCGCGAGAGGAAGAAATCCACAGACTACGAGCTGGTTGGGAGAAGATGGAGGCTCGATTGCGCGAGTCGTTCAAGCTCATGGACTCATGGCGGAAGCGTATGACCAAGGGCGACACCATCAATCTCGACGAGATCACCAGAGGATTGGACTATGATACCGACATGGAGGCAGATGGCGCAGACGATATCTCGATCATCGAAGAGGAAGATGAGAACGAGTATGAAGAGGAAGAAGAGGCCCCAGAGCATAGCGACGAGGCTATGGAAGATGGTAGCTCTGTCTTCAACGAGGAGGTTGGGGAAGTTGAAGCGGAAGAAGAGCACCCCACACCAGAGGCAGAGCTTGCAGTAGGGCAGACAAATGGTGATCGTCTGTTCAGTGTCAAGCTGCAACCTGAACAACAAGCTCTCCAAGAAACGAACGGTCACAGGTCACCCAACAAATCGCCTCGAAAAGTTGCTTTCTCAGCTTCTATCCCTAACACGCCTTCCAAATTGGAAGACGGGAACACAGATACACCTGGACTCGATCTGGCCGATGCGAAAAAGTTCAGCCACCCATCTTCTGCCGCAAAAGCGCCCTCATCAGAAGAGCGACCATCCCGACCGCTCAGCCAAGATGAGCGCACACCACGCCATGTACGTTGTGACAGCATTTGCGACCAGATTATCAAGATGGCCAGCAAAGTCACTTTTTCTTCATCCCCATCCTTATATTTCGACTTATCGACAGCGACATATTCTAATACCCAACAACAGACAAAGAAACGACATTCAAGTCCACATGCTCACCCCGAGGAGCGCTCCCCGAAGCTAAGCATGTTCGACAAGCTTAAGGCAGTCCAGGCGGAAGCGGAAGTAGTCGCTGCCAGGATCCAGTCTAGTCCTGTCAAGTCCTTCAGATCGGCAAATGGCGAAGACACAGCGGAAGAGAAGAAGCAACGACGTATGAGTCGCTCGCCAACAAAACCTTCGCGCATTGGAGGGCGCCCGAAAAGGAGAAAGAGCACGTTGACACCTGCGGAGCTGGAGAATCTCTTGGGCTGCTAATCGGCCGTTGCTCGACTCGTGAATGCCTGTACGGTGTCACGAAGATAATTTTCGGGTGGGGCGTGTAGTGAAGCTGCAGTCAATCAACGTTTCCACATCGTGCACTCAACTGTTAAACCCACTTCGCGATGTCAATGTATTGGCGTGGCTGGTGCACGGGTGGCCAATACTCCCTCAATCCTCCTTGATTGGGCGGATCAGAGGGAAGATGCATGAACGAGTCCATGGTCGGCGCGTAGGTACGGGTGCGATTACTCTGACCGATGCATAAAGCATTGCATCTTACGATGCAGCAACGGACCTCAGAGGTATGTCCTCGATGCGAACGAGTGCGAATAGGTGTGAGACTTCAACCATAAAGATGTCTTCGTACAGCAGTTCAAGTACACGATGACGCATCGCCTGTTCTTTGTTTAGCACAGCAGGTCTCACTGCAACGTACGCAACACAACATCGCGCATCCACACGTGCAACGTTCTCTTGTACCTCGAGGGTCACGGTACATGATGCCTACATCATTGTTATCTCACGACCATGTTCTCTAGCTTCTGCGACTCTGCTACCAACCCATTCAACGTCGCAAAAGGCGGCCTCGTTCTTCTCAAGCGCTGTGCCTCCACTTTGCAGCCGCATGATTTCTCCTTCCGTTGAGCACCTCGCGTGCACTGCACCTCTGCACATCATCAAGCCTATCTCCACATTGCGGACATCGTGAGCCGGCAGACCTGCTTGCGACGCAGTTGGACGTTGATGATAACGGCGGTGGTTGGTTGCACTCTCAAGCCTCTAAGTTTAATAGCCGCCCACGTTCCACTTTGGGACAATTTGTGATCGAGCACAGGACTGCCAAAACGCCTCATTGGTCGATGAGGAAGTTGGAGGCTGGGCGACGCAGGAAAAGGCTACTAAAAGCTACGGACGTGACAAGGTACATGGCTGCAAGGTTGCAAGGACGAGGTTAATACACCTGCATCTGTCTTCGGCCTTTCCTTCGCTGCACGTTTGTCGACGCACTGTGATGGAGCCGTGGATGCACGGGTGGAGCGAACATCACATGGCTCTCTACCCACACCCTGGTGTGATAGGCTGCGTGTTTTCACGCTGTGTCCTTGCGCGAGAGATGGATATTCCCCGCTCACTCCAGCCAATAAGGTTTCAGAAGCATAGCGCCGGGTAGCACGAAGCTGACCTCCCACCACTCGACATCGTCCGTCAAGCGCTCAACACACATTCGATAGACTGCGCATCCACGCCCCGACCAGCCTGCTCCCTGCGAACATGGCGTGTGTAGGCTGCACAAGTGATCAATCGCTCCGTAGTGCCGTCACTTCGGCTGGCCCCTCGCAAAGCGAGTCCCGCTTACGCCAATCCTAGCCCTCTCTGGCGAAGTGTTGTGCGATGTTGGATTCTATATATGTTGGCCTTGGGCCCTCACTCTGACCTTTTTTCTTCAGCAAGCGTGTGAACTTCTCAGAGCTGTTGTGTTCGTTTTCCATCCTCTTTTTACCTTTTTTTGTTTCTCGGCCTGGTGCCACCTTAATTCAATCTTTATTCACTATTACCAAAATCTCGTAGCCGGTCTACACCCCCCTCAAACGTAATCTTCAGCTCTACTTGCTCGATACACAACACCAAACAAACCCGATAAACCCGCATAATCGACTTTCGTCAACGATCTTTCTACCGCTTCATCAGCAATCACTTCATCGTCTATCCATTAGTTTGGCCAGGACGCATTACAAGACTCATCAGTCATCATAATTCAACTACTACCGAAAGTTTAAGATCGAAAACTCAATCACAATGGCCGCTATCCAGCTTAACTTCACTCTCCGCACTTCCGCCAACTGCAAGACCGTCCACCTTCTCGGTTCCTGGGACGGCTACCAGGGCCAGCTTCCTCTTTCCAAGGACCCCAAGAAGACTGGTGGTTGGGTCGGCTGCTTCAAGTTCCAGGGTGCCACTCTCAAGCAGGGCCAACGCTACTGGTACTACTACATCATCGACGGCTACCACGTCTCCCACGACCCCGCCAAGGACCACACCACCGAGCCCACCACCGGCCGCAAGCTCAACATCATCGACATCCCGTCCAAGTCCGTCGCCGCTCCCGCCAAGTCCTCCCGCGAGTCCCGCCGCGCTTCCCAGAACATCCCCAAGGGCCGTGGTGTCTCCCCCAGCCGCATTGTCGCCCCCAAGCCCCAGCGCCCCGGCCAGACCCGCCAGGTCATCAACACCCAGTACAACCAGACCACCCTCGAGGAGCTCAACCGCCGCTTTGCCCGCCAAGACATCAACTCCGACTCCGAGGATGACTCCGATTCTGACGCCGGCTCTGACGTGCCCTCGCTCACCTCTTCGCGCTCTTCCGGCAGCTCCTCACCATCCAGCGTCAGCTCTGGTAGCTCATGCTGCACATGCGAGCGCTACGGAATCACACGCAAGGGTGACCGCGTCAAGCTCGACTGTGGAGGTGCCCGCTGCTCTTTCTCCGACGAGTCGGACGAGTGCAGCTCCGAGGACGAGTACGTCTACGAGCAGAAGCAGACCCGCCGCCACGGTGTTGTCATCCGCAACTAAGTGCATCAACCTCAAGTGCCAACCAAACGACTGCAAGAAGCCCCACAACCCTTGCAGTACCTATTACGACCATTCTACGTTTCTCGATCTTTAATTCTTTCTGTGCATATTATGACGACCTCTTTACGATTTGTTTTGGACCCTGACGCTCTTTTTGTAAGACGCGCTTTTATTGCTGCTGGTATTGGAGTACGGAGGAAGAGCAGTAGGGAAGACGGCTTCTATGCCTCGAACGAACAGACTAGAAAACATCACGATGGAGTTACAGCTCATCGAACCATGATGTTGGAGAAGACACGCTCATGTAGATATGATCAATTACATGGCTCGTGTACTATATTCACAATTTGTGCATTTTGCTCATCTGTGGTGTGATGTGCATTGTGTCGTGTGGACTGGAAGGTTCGGGGCTTGGGGCGCGAACGTTCGCGAGCTTGAGCGCCTGCTCAGTTAAGTGTTCCTTCTCTCGTTCAGCAACGAGACATTGATCATTCATGTGCCATTTACCTTTGTTCAGGCCTTCTCTTTGAGCTCTTGATCATGGTGTGCAGTTCTCGAATGCGTTGCGTGACCGCCTAGGCTAAGGACAGCACTGCGCCTTCCTGATGTCGAGTGATCACAGCATGACGTCGAATGCATCCCTCACGTGGACCTTGATCCGAACCGATTCCATGTCACCTCCTCGTTAAGCACTTCACTCTCGGTTGCTCGCACACTGATGGCTCTGGAAGCGTATGGGCTATTTGGCCTATGCGCGTCACTGCTTTCACCTTAACAATGACCCCACCCCGGGCTTAGATCCCTCTTCCATTTTTGGGTCAGCAACTGCTGCTCCAATCGCCTCCCCGTCTCTTAACCACGCAAATCCCGATCCGTTCCATACTGAATTCCGCAATGGTGATGTCTGGCCCGGCCCACAACGATATCGCTTCTCAGCCCGCTGAGACCTCCAAGATCTCACTCTTAGATCCACCTGGTGAAGCGGCGAACAAGATATACCAACTCTTGTTCGCTTACGAAGAGCCAGTTCAAATACATGGCTAGCTTATCAGCGGCGCCCCGCAACACGATGGATCATATGACTACGAGGAGAACAGTCGTTACGCTTTCGGGTACGGGAGAACTCCACTAGTAGGTATGTCGTTGCTCTACACCTGTCGCACAATTTACCACGAAGTCACCAGTTACTTCTACCTCAACAATACCTTGTTCAAGAGAAACAACCAGCCAATTAGTGCGCGTGTAATCCCTCGAGAGGTTCTAGATGTGCATAATCAACGTTACAAGCAGTTCTACACATCGAATTTAGCTCCCTGGGGGTAGCCTATCGCCCAGCTGACCAGCTGTCAAGCAGTTGTTGCTGCTCTTTTAGCTTTCTTAATGATTCGATTCGCTGTCCACAGAATTTTATTCTGCACTATGCAGCTGAGAGTAGCCCCGATTTGCTCGGTCCCGGAGACTCTTTCACTGCCGGTCGTAAACTTGAAAAAGAGCATCGACATCACATCGAGGATCCCTGCTGTAAGCCCAGGGAGCCAGCTTCACTCCAAGCGGCGAGCGGGCCCCTGTCTTTCGTGAGATTGTATAAACTCGCCGCACCTTCCGTACAGAAGTTCTCCTTTTCATCCCTTTTCCGCATTACCATTCCGCCACTAAGCAATATCTTGCAATGACGCGGCACTATCGACCCCCAGCCGACCCTATCGCTCGAGGCGGCGATTCGAAACCCTTACACCCCGGCGCACCTTCGCTACTCACTCTCCTTGCCGAGATTCACAATCGCGTTAACACATGCCTCTCAGAATACGCCTCGCCTATTGGCATATACTTGCTACGGTGAATGGATAGCCCGCACATCCTTGAACCTGGAGGTTGAAGTGAATCTTGGCCTTATCCTCTCCTGCCGAGAAACCTGCTATGAAGCAGTTTCTGTCTTCTACAGCAACAATACCTTTCTTCTCGCTGGAGTGGAAGGCCCCGGCTTGATACCGTGCTATTATTCCGTATCCAGCTCCTTTTGCTAAGCTGCAGGCTCCTAAGCTAGTTTGCTTTGGAAGATTGTTATCGACATGGTGGAACTGCCCGATTGCCATCACGATAGATCGGTTGACCCAAGCGCAGACGTCCAGTTCAGAGGCTGGTACGATTTGAAACCCTTGGCTATAATACTCGAGAGCATGTGGAATGCTAAAATGGACGCCGACATTTCCTTTACAATGCCCGAAGATCCGGGCCGAGCTTTCGATGCGCCGTTGATGAGCGCGACAACCAAGTCTTTAGTTGAGAACGGATTGAAAATCAAACATTACAGGCGTCTTCAGCACGAAGTCTACATAATCAATGACTGCTTGACTGGCCTCATCGTATGGCACACATCGTCAACGCTGAGACATTGGAACGGCGGATCGGGGCACAATTATCTCCGTTTCTCGGTTGAGCAGGACGGTAAAGTCCTGCGTCCTCTTCCACCACCAGACAACTGTAATCTCCTCGGATTTGCCGAAGACGCTGCGCAATCGAATTATCAAAGATAATGTGTGCCCGGGGAACATACACATCGATCTTGATACCGGAGCGGTTGTCCGGTTCAGTCTTGCGTGCGTCAGTCGAGGCATGTTTCGCGAAGGGAAGCGCAAGACCGTAGTTGGGAACAGTTTCATCTTGTCAATATCGACGAGTCAGGCGCGCAGTACGTTCTCTAATTTCGAGAGCTTGAGGCGTTTGATGCGTACCACTTTCCATCCTATCAGTCCAGACCACACTCATGAACGTGATAAAACGCTCGAGAGCTTTTATGATAAACGCATCGACGTCGTTCCAGACTTCAGGCTGGAAGAAGAGATGAGTCTGGACACGGTGCGTATCAGTGACTTACCATTGGTCATGGAGACCTCTCAGACCTCATGATACAACCGGATTACCATTCGTACCTGGGCATCCAGGAATGGCTCAAAGGAGATTATTGCACAGCATGTCTTGACTCAAGACGATCTTCGTAAGAATGTTGCGAATGCGATGAAAGCATTTGCGCCGTCGCACCCTGATGGGTACACAGCCAATGTCTGGATCAACAGCTTCGGGGAGGTCGTGAAAACGAGTGTCATGCCTTGTAGCGGCTCTGTTGATGTTCACAACCTAGCTTCAGATGTGGTTCTTGGACCGGATTCGTTGTATCGCGTGAACAGCATGCACAACAGGCATGCAGAGTATAGCTGTCGAACGTACCGACGGGAGGAGCGCACTGATTGTATGTACGCCGACTGTAGCCAATTCTTCCCATTCCCGGCTCTCTCTCAGAGACATATCGATACAATATGGGCGATACAAAGCAACGGTAGCAACGGCCACGACGAGTTCCGGTAAGTCACCCTTGTACAGTCACAGGACAAAAGTCTGTTCGCGCAGTTGCGCACAGGCCACCATCTCAGCTTTGAGTGAACGTTCACAATGCTTTTTCTCAACAACCATGAGGTGAAAAGTAGATCTGACTTGATAGATTATTGCGCTTATTCTCAGTATTTAGTCTGATATCCTTGTGCTCTGATGCAGGCTTTGAGTCGCTCTGGCATTGAGTAGATGAGTGATCTGATCAATTTGTCGGGTATGGCCATCCATGCTTCTTTCAAACCTTCACAAAAGCACTCCCACTCATTGGCAGAGTCTCCAAGACTGTCAAACTCTGGGTGAAGCTGATGAAG